TTTGCAGTCCAAAACTGATGGCTTTCGTTTGTGTGCTTTTATTAACTTGCGGACGCAATGTCACGAGAGGGCGATGTATAACTTTATTGGAGCCGGGATGATTCCTTTCCCACTTCTTGGAGCGCTGCTTATGATGTACATGTACAAAGGGAACCTGGCCCAGCTGATGTGAAGGATTTTTAGGAATGTGAAAAATGTGATCTCGATCGGATAATGAGGCAAGAGGTTTCATCGTGTTGCTAGCTACCTCGTTCTTGTAGAAGGAGACTACTGGCGTTCAAGGGGAACTCACAGCCCAGCAAGGTAATTAATATTCTCTATTAACTTTGTGTCTTAGAGAAATTATTTCTTCCTATAATTAAAAATTCCAATCATGAAACAGTTCTCAGAGAACATATTGTGTATGCAATAGGAATGGTTTACGGTTGCACTCGAGAAATCCCATGCATAATTCTCCCAACTGTTCCTGGATTTTTGCTTTATTCATCGTGATATTTCCCGTAGATTATTTAAATCTCAAAAGATGATTTCATGACGGAAGTTTTTAGTGTGTGTCTACATGGTACTAGGTTTTACCTCGGATCCAAGTTACACATTGAAATAATTAACATGTAAAGTTTGGTATGCTGCTTTCCATTTTCAGCGCGAAACACGATAGAGTGATAGTTCTTCATTGTGCGAATTATTAGATTTGGTCGTGTATTAATATTGTTTGCTTATTGTAATTCAGCCAGAGATCGAAGCCAAGAATCTATTTGATACCTCCCTAAAAATGATTAACGCAAGTTGTCTTTTTTTCTTTCTTCTGCATCAAATGACATGTGCACATAACCAGTAACATGTAGAAACCGAGGAATCAAGGAATATTGAAAGAAACGGGTTACACATAACATGCAAATCATTATTTTTGTTTGAGTAACACAACCCCGCTGGCATTTCAACAGCCTTCAATCCACGCAACGTGTACACCATACAGCTGCCCAAATAAGGACCGGGATGCCAGTGAACGGGTATTCACATCTCAGCTCACAGACACGTTGAGCAACTTTGAAGTGTTTGATTGATTGGTACAGTTGGGGAAGGATGTTGGGATAGACTTCAGTGCGTGTAATGTTAACGATAAAATTGAAATAAAAGGCACAAAAAAGAACACAGACACAGGCCTGTCTTTAAATGGGAAACAAACACAAGCAAAGATTCAGGCGAAAGGTTTGGCACGGCCGCTTCTAAAAACCTGCATGGAATGTATTAAGGAACTGGGTCGGAAACAAACTGACTGCACAGTTTTGTGATGGTGGTGGTGGTGATCCTTGGTAAACGGTGCTTTATGCTCTGGTTTGTTGATGGATCAAATGATTTAGAAATGTACACAAGGCAATCATAGATTGTGGTGGTTGTAGCCGATGTAGCGGCGAACACCATTCCTCGGGTCACAAATTGTCTTCATTTAATTTGGTTACTACTTTGTAAGCCTCGCATAGGATGGTGCCCGTCATTCTTGCAGGCATCTTGTGAACCAGTCTGTCTGATGACTACGAAAACTGATGCAGCAAAATTTGTGGTAGTCTTTGTGTAGCTATCTCGCTTCCTGTGCGGTTAATTGATGAAATTCTACATCATTGTTTCATTCAGCGCACCGCCTCAACTTCCGGTGAGATTACAAGCAAGTACAAGTCATCATGGCGGCTACAGAAGCGTATGATTTCATTTCATTGTAATTCTTTCTTAAAAGTAATGACAATGACAACCACACTATAACTGCAGCAGTGACGACAAGACATCAAAACAGCGACGACAAACACAACTTCAGCACGAACTTGGACAACAATAATAAAGTGACAATTACTTGCAACAAACTGCAACATCTTCACAACAATCACAACCACAACAGTGAGCGAAAGCGGATTTGATCTTTTTTTTCACAATCTTTGCCCTTTTCTTCCTTTAGTGAAGAGCAAGATGCTCTGGCTGTCATCAAGGTAAAGAAATCCTCATTTGTGACTTACATTTTGAAAGCACTTAGGGTATTGATTCTCCTGTAGTTTTTCAAAATTGATGATGTCCAATGAAGGTTGGCCCTGCAATTCACCCCCTTGCAACTGAGTATAATGTAAAGCACACCTTATCGGTGTGAGTTTTGACTGACGAATTCTGTGTTTGGGAGTCATGCCTCATTATGTTTGATTTGGTAAGAAAATATTTACTACTGCTTGAAGATAAAGATTCCTGATTACTAGATTTCTAGAATGTTCTAGAACACGTTTTATATGGCTGATCCAATCAGAGACGACTTTACATGCTCAGAAAATGAGATGATGCAGTCAAGCTATACTGATTGGCCAATTTGCTCACTAACTTCTCTCAATTGGTCCAATCAGGAACAAGCAGAGAAGAGGCGCGAGGAAGTCAACAAAGAGCTCCATGTTGCTCGGGAAGAATACCGCCGAAAGAAGGAAGAAAAGGAGAAGGAATTGGAAACCCTTCGCGCCAAAAGAGTAAGTTCTTATGAACTCACTATTGGTCATGTGTTTGAAAATACGACAGATTTAAGGCGCCTTTCCATATGTACGTTTTCGGGGTATGTTGCGTACACGATGCGTTCATGCGTTTCACTTTCACGGACACAGAAATCGACTCCATTAACATGACACACGTGTGCGTTGCGTTCAGCCGTCAAAATCGCCCCAGGAGCAATTTTGACGGATACGCAACGCTTGGCGCAAGTGTTGACGCGCACATGGGCTGACGCGCACATGGAAAGGCGCCTTTACTCTGCTGAATTTGTCCCACGGACTAGGGGTGCTTTGGGACACTACACTGTTGTCACGGTCGGAGTGCTTGGTATGGAGAGCCGTATAGGAACAACAATGGTCACTAAGGGGATTTCAATTTTGCTAATGGCAGTGAATTTGGGGGGTTGGCTATCAGTTTGCAAATGCTTGTCACATTCTTTAGGAGGAGCGCCGGAAGCAGCAGGCGGAGGAGCGCAAGATGCTGGAGAAGTTCGCCGAGGAGAGGCGAGCCAAGGAGAAGGAAGAGGCGAGGAAGAGAAAGGAGCTGGCCGATTTGAAGAAGAAGGAGCGAGAGGCTAGAATCAAGGCCATGCACGACCCCAACGCGTTCAAGGCGGTCGTCATCGAGGTATCTCTGTCTTATAATTTTGGAGTTTTCTGGCCCGCGTTTGTCACTATTACATGCATGGATGAAGAGGTTCAAACAGGCGCGCGCATGCCCCTTTCCATTTACAGTCACGGACAGATTATGCAGACGCCCTGCGGTATGTAGGGATCAACACCAATACTCCAGTAATTAAACGTAAATTCACAGTGTGAATAACCAAGTTATGATTAAGTCATTGCCAGCGACTTGAAGATTTTCAGTAGTGGTTAGCATTTCCAACCACTGGTCTGTGAGCCAACGGGCAAATTACCGTATATAATTTGCTCCGCAGAACGTCTGAAAGCTTGGCGTGCATGCAAATTTATCATACCTGGCAGCCTATCACAGGTATTTATTCAGAAAGGAACGAGACAAGGGATGATGATTGGCCAATCTCTGCTACCTGTTAAGGTAGACGCCCGTTGAGGGCGCCGATTGGTTATAATCTCGAAGTCAAGGTGCATTATTTGTCGCCAAATCTGAACGGGTATTATGATATCATAGACATTTGGTGCCTATTAGCTGACCAAATCCCGGGAGGAGAAATTAAACACACTTTTCTCCTTTCTGGTGGCTTATTTTATTTATCTTAAATTATACTCTTAGAAACAAGAGCCAGCCAAGAAACCGAAGAAGTCGAAGGAAGAATTGGCCCGGGAGAAAGAAGAAGCGATGAAGGAGCGCGTTCAGTCCCTTCCGATCGGTAAGAAATTCTCGGCTCACCTTTGAACAATCGTCACTATCATGTTTTCCCGTACTCCGTTCACATCCCAGATAAAATCCTCACAAAACTTGCTTACGATAATGACACCGTTGCCGTCAAAGCGGTGGTTTCCTGTTTATTTAAACACGTTTTCACAAAAAACTGAAATGATTACGAAAAGTATGTTAACAAGTTTGCGCATATTCCTCAGAAAATCATAGGAACGCTTCGTTTTGTGGATAATCTGAAAATTGTTGATTTTCAGTGTGTGCCTCTCACCAGTTGACAGGACGGTCAGTTAACCTAACGACCTTGTCGATGCTGCTTCTTGCAAACACACCATTCAGACTCGCCCCTCTTCAGCCAAGTAGACTCCATGAGTGTTGGAAATGGGGAGTAATGTTTGTGGATTTGTATCCGTGCGGGAATAGAGTGTGGCTGTGTCCTATTAATACATGCAACAAAGGAAGTCGCTGCCTACTTCCTTATCGCGCGTCACGACTTTTGCACCACATTGTGCCAAAGACTTTGCAGGCTATCCGCCCGAGCTGAAGTGCACCCCCAATCGGCGAAAAGAAAGACAGTTGGTTACAAACGGGTTCTTGCATGCGTTCTGCGTGTACGCAAAGACCATACATGCCGGAATAAATGACTGAGTTCGGGCGGCTTGTTTTCGTATGTTCATGAACAGCTCGATATGTTATTCGTGGGTTGGCCGCTCGAACGCTGTATTGGATCGTAAAACTGGTTATCGCTGGTAGTAGTACTACCAAAAAAAACAAAATGGCGGCGTCCGTTACGTTCTTCGAGGGTAAATGCTTAGATAACTGGGCTGAATTCTGTACTGTTTCAAAAGGAGCATTCATTGTGGAAAATTATTGTTGTTCATTTGGCAAAACTTCCCATTGTCTTCGGCTTTGTCAGCTTAGCCATCTCGCTATTTCTTACGGCTGTTCAAAAATCAAAACCTCACGAGTTGTTCCGTGTGTGATCCTGTTCCGAGAACAGTGTTCGTGAGTCGTGTTCCTGCCGTTCGAGGGCGAGAACAAGAAACCCGTGTCAAGAACAGGCCGCCCGAGTTACGCGTACTCAGCGTGTTCCGCGTCAAACGCGCATAATACTTGCGCGCAGAGAAATATGGACGGGCTGCGTAGCACCGTGATCAGAATAACGACAATAATATAATATCAAATCAGTGCTGTGAAATATGTGATTGCCGAGCTTTCGGTATTAAACTGGGTACCTTCTTCAGGGCAAACAGATTCATGGCAAGCACATTCAGTTCAGAACTGAATCTGCTTGCCCTGAAGAAGGTACTCAGTTACCGAAAGCTCGGCAATCACATATTTCAGAGCACTGGTTTGATATTGTATTCTTGTCGTGATACTTGCGCGCCTGGTGACGCGCTATCCGGTTGGTAAGTGTGACGTCACTTCAGTTTAAACAACGCCCACTAGACACACGAGCACTGCACATAGAGTTACATGCATTGATCGCCGTTTACATGGAACCATGGAACCGGAAGTTAACGCGCAACTTCAGCGATCGTCCAATGGGAGCCTGCAAATCATGGCGCGTCTGCCTTTGTGACAAAGTCACTTACGAACCGGATACTGTGAGTACAAAAACCCAACACACCCTCTTTTGTTCCACTAAGAGCGGATAAGGCTCAGCCAGCAGACCTCGGACAGGAAAGGAAAGCTGGGAATATCAATAAGCACGAGAGCAGTATATGGGGCAGAATTTATGCACCTGTTCTGTTTTTAATCCTGTGTTGACTTTAGGAGCAAACACGGCCGAGGACAAGATTCGAGAGATTGCCCGCAACCTGCTGCAGCGCCTGCAAAGCATCTATTCCGAGATCTTCGACATGAAAGTGCGCCGCAAACGCCAGGAATACGACGTAAGTCTATAGCACGTGTATCACTATGGAGGACGAAAAATGGCCATCTGCTTTTCTGCTATCAGAATGGTAGACAAGCAGATTTTATGTTCTGGTAACATGCAATTTTGACTTTCCTACTTTTTCTGCCACCTCAACATTGTGTGGTTATGCATTATGCATTTTTCTATTTTTCTGCTTTTCTTCTTCAAGAAAAGCATATTTTACTTTTTCTTCATTCGCTGGCGGCCGAAAAGCGGTGTGTAGTTGGAGGGCCAATTCGTCATTGGCTGGTTGAATTCACGGTTGTCGTCAAAATGTTCGATCAAAATTTCTACCTGCTCGAAAGCAGAAAAACAGATGGCCGCTTTTCAACCGCCAGCGAATGAAGAAAAAGTAAAACCTGCTTTTCTTGAAGCAGAAAAATAGAAAAATGCATAACCAAACAATATTCGTTCTGCTTTTTGAGGCGGCAGAAAAGTAGAAAAGTCGAAATTGCATGTTACCAGAACATAAAATCTGCTTTTCTACCATTCTGAGAGTAGAAAAGTATCAGACTAATTTCATCCTGACTGTGTTAACGGTCGACACGTTTTGGTTGAGTTGTTTCGTGTTTGAGAGGAACATAATTATATGGCACGGGTAAGAACTTAAGCCGGCGCAAGCGTTCCTGAATTCAAAAGTTCAGATCCCGCTCCAAATTCTTTCCTGAACCGAATGTCGATTTCTAATTTTTTTTTTTTTTATGAATTTCGATTACAACCGAAGTGGTCAATTTCCTGTCGTGGTTTAGTCATTTTGGAATCCAGACTCTTAGTAGTTGAGGAATTTCTCTTGATAGCGCCTATAGTTCAAATCGATCTGAGGGGAAAAATGAAGTGTTTATTAGAGAAACACTTGACAAATATCGTTGATGTAGAGTTGCTGTCTGTTTTTTCGTGAATTGATTAATTGATTATAAAGATGAACAAAGAGAATGAACCAGTTCGGAATTCAAACAGCGCGTGCCCAAACTGATGCGCGTCCGAGGTTTATCCGGGAACAGCAGTACGCGTGCACGGCACGATCATCTGCCCTATCAGCGCAGCCATACGCCGCCTCAGGCATGCGCTTTGTTCCCCAAAGACCTAGCCTCTTTGAATACCAAACTGGTTCATTGGTTCAATTACTGATTGCATAATTATTATTCAAAGCCTTTCTTCCTACCAGCACAAGGAGTTGCTCCAGCGCATCAAGGATCTGACGAAGCACAAGGAGTGAGTACCAATTCAAAAAGATCAAAAGTTGTCAACGTTTGAAAAAAAACGAGCGATTCACAATACGGGAGATTCACAATAGTGCGCCCCCAAGAGTTTGCAACGCGTGGGCCAATCACAACTTGCGAAATCTGTCGACCTTTTCCAAATGCTAATTGGGTCGACAGATTTTCGCGCATTATGATTCTTCAACGCATTGCAAACTCTTAGAGCGCACTATTGTGAATCGCCCGTATTATTGAAACAGCAGAAAAAGGAACTCTAGGAGACAAAAAAGTGACAAACTGTGGGTCTTGTGTAAGACGCGAGGTTTGTTATAGGACCATTGAGGTCGAGAAGTCAGAAAATCTGATTGCACAAACCCACATTATATTGTTTAGGAGAGATATGCAAAGCGAGGACTACAGCTTTTACCGGAACCGAACCGAGGGTAGCACCTGTTTCGAGGGTGCAACCAACCAGTTCCCTTTGGAATTGTGCTTATTAAAACAGTGTAACGTAAGCTAAAGAATTAGGCTAAGCAAGGAAAGGTAACAAAAAGGTCTACACCATGGAATTCGAGAGCGCGCACATCAGTGATTCTCTGTAAAGCAACTTGCCAAGGCCTACTCGTCCATGAAAATACATGTATCTTGTTGCAAAAACATCAGTTCAGAATCCAGGCGGCAAATGCGAAAAAGGGACGATGTCTCAGTTAAATAAATAGCACTGTGTTTTTGTGATTCCTTTATTTGTATTCATTCTTTTTTGACAGGCCTGTAGCCGCCGAATCCTCTGGCACGTACGTATCAAAGAAAAGTGTCGGCTTGTGAACATGACAACGACGACGACCACAACCATGACGATGACCACGACGCTGTTTGTCGAGTATGTGACGACTGTGTGGCATGATAGGACAGTTATTCCAAAACTAACGATAATGTGTGCAGGGGTGATTGTAATGGTGACAGGCATTACGAGGACAACTTGAGTGTGATTTCGACGTGTGCCGTTCACCTGCGACGGTAGCACACTTTTGGTAGTGACAAATGCAAGTGTGGATATTTTGCAATTGGAGGAATGAGCAGAGTCGGTATTTTAAAAAAAGCAAGGTCATTCGAGGGGTTGCGCTGATTGGGCAAATGTGGCACGAGCGTCCAAATGACCGCGAGCACGCTTCATTGTGGACCTGTGCTGTAGGAATACCGAACTAACAATATTCGAGGATTTTTTTCATTTGAAAATGACGCTTCTGTTTCGTTCTTTTCCACAGTGTGCATAAGTTTAAGGAACTTGGCGTGTTCAACTCCCAGGTAATTTGATTAACCCTAAATACCACAACATAATAGTATAGATTGCAATAAACGAATGAGTTATTTCTCGCAAAATCTTATTAATCGTCTTCCGAGACAAGCAGTGAGTCCACTATGGCCCGCTGCCAGTCGGTAGCTGCAGTTGGTACTGGTCTTAATTTGCCAGTGCACAAATTAATTTGAGGGATTTCGATGATTCCCCGCCCCAGGACCAGGAGCAAAAATCGAGACTGGAGAAGGAGAAAGAGGCCGGTTCCATTATGTCGTCCGGGGGTGTCGCAGGCCGAACGAGCATGTTCGGAGGCAGTACTGTAAAAGCACCGGTGAGTACAATTCGTGATCCCCATTTAACGCGGGAAAAATCCAACGCTGCTTAAGTAGACACCATCTTTAAGCAAGAGCTCGTACTCAAGCACGACTGAGTGGTTTGTTCCAAGTAACCAAGTTTCCCCTGATTTTGAAGAAGTCAATGCATAGGCAATAACTTCTGCGATTGCTCTCGGCAAAACTAAGAAATGATACTCATAGTCCTCACAGCATGTGGTTTAGCAAGCATTAGAAGTTTGCAGGGGCTGGACAATTTACAAATGGCTGTGCTTCGGCATTGTCCGAAACTAGCTTCCAGAGCTACGGCTATGTCTGTTGCATTCAAGTACCCACATATTTGCAACTAGCAAAGGCATAGACGCAGCTCCAGACACAAATTTCGGACCAAGCCTCAAAATTGGATGATTTTGATGACCCAAAAGACTAATCCGGTGGGCAGAATGGAAGACCTTTACTGTGAGGCCGTCCTGTTCGCACGCAGGTGGTACGCGCGTGTTACATTTTCTCTTGGACCAATAGGGTCTTGTGGCTTGCCAAAGTGTGCCCATGCGCTCAAGTTATAACCTGCGCGTGAGTGTGATGGCCCCGCAGGAATGACGTCTCCTCGGATTTGTCTATTGTTTGACCCCTCCCTCGGCCCCGTTTCCAAGGACTGCCAGTCCCATTGTCCACTCGTTCTCATCACCTTTACTGCCCGGCGCTTGGAAGGGAATACGTTTTGAGAAAGTTACACGTCACATAGAGTAAGTGACGCGCAAAGCATTGTGTGTTACTTGCTATTTTAATCCATTTTCACTGCGCTCGTGTCAGAGGCACCCGAAAGTGTCTGATCGTCTTCTTGTTCAAATGAACTGTATCCAATGAGTAGTCAACAAAAATTACGTCATACTTTTGTCTTTCCCAGCGTCCTATAAGGGCAGTAGGGACGACGGAAGTCCCACTGAAGCCGGTATAGACCTCTATCATGGGGCAGCCATCTTGATTTTCTACCGTTCAAACCAATGTAACCAATCTGGGGAAGGAAGGGAAAGCCGTCTGTTCCGTCATGTAAACTTGTGTTACTGAGTCTAATGGGTCTACAGGGAACAAGACAAACATGGCAGCGTCATGGTAGAGGTCTGTGGCAGGCATGCAGTTTTGGGATGTCTGTGGTTAAAACTGAAATCGCCTACGTCCATTTCGACTGCAGCTGAGGTCTAATGATGCCGTAAAGATTTGCATGGTTTAAAGTTAAATCTTTCGCTAAGAAGAGCTGTAGTGGGGTCAGTTTCACAGAGCGGCTCGGAGAGGAAATTTGTTGAGCTCAGAAAAGACTGCCTCGGCAAAAGTGCGGGTTGCCAGCCAAAATGTCTTACTATGTATTTTGCCCATCGCCGGTTGTCTGCTGCTAGTAGGTTTTGCTAAGCACATCGGTTCACAAGCTCTGTGAAATCGGCTTCAGTAAGTAAATTGAATCATGTAGCAACTACCTCCGCCTTTATGAGCTGAAAAATAAAAAAGGGTTGCCAAACTCTTGGTGGCAGCAAACATGTGCTGACCGAAAATGTCTGGATGTAATCGTGCTGGAAGCTGTTGTGGGATAGGTCGCGTTAAATGTCAAACTTTTTGTTCCAGTTGAGTCACACTTTCCTTTAGAAAACCGAAAAAGGGCATGCATGTTTTCTGCCACTAAACTGTAACCCGGGATCCCAGCGAATGCCTGCCAGCTTAACAAGCATGTAACCAACCCGCCTGTATTGTTCGATCCCTTACAGGATGAGGAAGGCTAAACGATAGTTTGTGGGCAAAAAATCGCCGGAGGTGCCACCGGCGAGGCTTGCCCATGCACGCTGACCAAGACCGCGGATTGGCGAGAGGAGAAAATGGCGCCAAAAATTGTTTGCATTTCCCGCAGTGTTTGAATGCATATTGATCGTCTGCATGAAAAACGTGTCACTAAACTACCTTTAGAGTAGCTCCACTACAGTAGGTGTCTAGCCATTAGATAAAACATCATTTTAATCTAGTTGAGGGCGAGACTGTTACATTTTATTTTAAGCTTTTTAATTTTAATGTTGCGTAATATTAAGTACGCCTTATAGTTGAAGGAACGCTGACAGACACTTCTAGTTTTCTCGCAATTTTTTTTGATAAGTCAAAATGGGAATGTTTTCAAATACCATTTCTTACCTGGCTTTGTCTTCTTGAAATATATTTCCTAATCTCATCGAGTTTTGTGACTCGAAGACGGAATATGTCAGCGGGTATGTTCGAATTATAATACATGCAGTACATGTAACTGCCTCTCTCTTTCCAGTAAGCTTATATTACAGCTCTTTCAATAGCAAAGCGTCTTTCCGTCTAGATTCATGAATTTATTATGTTCTGTGAATGCCTTAGAACAGTAAATTTTTAGGGCATGATTTCACGTGAAAAAAGTTTAGCTTTCCCACTCTTCATTTTCCAAACACTGTGCGTCACTTTCTTGACATCTTGATTTTCGTCCATCCCTCTGCCCTACTCGTTCATCTATCCCCCTTTCAGAGTTTGGAGCGAGGTCCGACCATTGACCTGACCAAGTAGCACAGGTTAGCCACATCAGCATTCCCCCAATGGTGGGCTTGGATGTGTGCCACGTGATGCCGCTTTCATCCAATTAACGCATGACTTCCATGTCAACTCCCTTCACTGCCGGTAGACTCCACAGCAAACACTTATAACCTAAAGGCGAACAGCTAGAAAGGCAAGTCACCCAGATTATAAGCATCTAAAAGTCTCAGTGCGCATGTGGCAAGAGGATGTAGCCAGTCATGTATGCCCAACAGCTTCCATTGACGCATGTGTTATTACCGGCCTTAAAGCGCGTTCAACCGAAACCCGACAAACTTAAAACTCTTTACCAGTCCCCACAATGTTTGGCCATTCTCACTGGGCCATATTGTGCTCCATGAAGATAATCGGCGTAACAAGTACCCCAGAGCTGTTCGTGTTTAGGTTTCCACGTTCGTGGTTAGCACACTCCATCCGCATCGCATTTATAAAAGTAGGGGCACCGTAGCTAGACTTCAGCATTGTTGCGTGAGTTTAATTATAAAGTTACACTTTGAGTGAAATGAATATTCCATTTTCAGACTTCATGGATATGGGTTCATTATGTTTCACACAGCAATTTCAAGTGGTCTTAGTGTGTTTTTTTTCACGAAGTGTTTAGAATGGGTTTTATACCGCAAAAACGGTGGTGTTAAAATCAACACTTTTGGTGTTATTATCAGATGACCACACCACAGGGCGTTACTTTAACACCGCCGGTGTTACTTTGCCCACGTGTTACAATTCACTGGAGGGTGTTAAAAGAACACGTAACACCAAATAACACCAACATTTTTAACACCCCCGAAAAGTGTTGATGTAGTCCTCTGATAACCCCTTGGGGTGTTTAATTTAACACCTCAGTTTTTGCATTGTATCAGTATGTTCTTGAACCTCAATTTGGTACCTCATGCCAAGTGTTTATTAGACAGGTTTTTGTAGGACCATTAAACTGGAATGTTTCGCTTTTTTGAAAGGCGTCCCACGAATACACCTCCTGGTGAAACGGCAGCCTTGAATGTTAAGTTGATCAATAAATAGGCAAGGTGTGACACTGTCATACTGTGAAAAGCGGAAATATCCTATCCTGCTTGAAGCATCCTGCCAGAAAGCAATTTTTTGGAGAGAAGGTTTTGCCTTAGTTATATAACTAGTCACAGAAGATATGCCAAACCGGGGAGGAATTTTTAAGGGCTTTTTGGAGACCGATGAATTCGGGTATTTTCAATAACCACACCAATGTCGCCAGGCTTACGAAGGCTTTTCAGGCCTGCCGTTGCCATGAGAGAGTCTGATGATGTACATGGAATAAAAGGAATTCATCGCGCTCACGAGAAGAATTAGAGTCTGGAAGAAGAACTTGTCAATTTGAAAGGATGGTTTGTCAGTTTTACTGCATTTAATGTTTTGCCTAATGAACTTTTTTTTCAACGTGATGGTTTAATTCTACAAATTTTGTTATCGAGACAAGTTCTTGTTTTCTGTTGGTCGGTGGCATTCGAATAGCGAAATTTAGGCCTATATACATCTGCAACCGTCTACGGGAAACAGCGGGAATTGAAATCCTGAGTGAGACCATGTTTAAAAAGCTTTTTAACAGCAAATAATACAAAGAGCCTCGGGCCGGTTTGTCTCATATGGATCTGGATAGCGACCACCGATCCCATCGCTGGTTCGCGCTGTCCATAGGCAGGTTCTGGTGTAAGTGAACGAAGGTCAGATCATAAGGCGATCCTCATCTGCGTGAAACGAAGGGGTCAGTATGTTTCACGCGGATCCAGATCGCGATCAGTGATCCGTCGTTTGTTCACTGACACCAGAACCCGCCTAATGGATAGCGCGAACCAGCGATGGGATCACTTTGATCGAGCGAGATCCAGATCTGTCAGAAACAAACAGGCTCGAAGCCCAGTAGCTTTATGTAGTAAACAACTTGTATAGCATGCGCAGAAGGCATTTCAAAACAACTGTGAGCGAGCGTCAATAGGCCTATAGCGTAAATGAAGCGCAAGAGCAGAAAAACATGTGGGCCAGCATCCTTAAGCAACTGTGCCGTTCGTTTAGCGCAAAATTTTCTGCTGTGGTTGCACAAGAATGATAGGAGACTCTCTCCCTGTGGGCACGGAGGACCATAGCTAAGCCACTAGGAAAATAGGACCAGCCGTGTTCGAACCACTCAGGAGTAGGAATTTGGCCGTTGCCTCAACATCTGCCGAGAGAAAAGAATTTAAAATGCACACGGTTATAATGTAAGAGACTGTGGCAATACGCAAAAGGTAAATTTTACAGTACATACGCCAATCTTGGAATTTTCATCAATGTGAATGGTTATAAACTGGCTCCATGGAGTTTTTTGCGTCAAAATGTCCGTGTTTTGAATAGAAATAGCGATTTTGTCAAAATAAGAACAATCTCGGAGAAGGCTAACATAATTTTGAAACATGTCGCGAGTGTTTTCAAAATAGAAAGAAAAGGAAGTTTGAGAATGGGGCAAAATCATCTTAATTATTCAAGATGTGCTTTTTAGCATTACAATGGTTGTGGTGCCAAAATTGAAAATGGGGTATAGCTTTTTCAAATAAAGAAGAGATTGTGATATGTGTTATAATATGAGTTTGAAAGTTTGGGCTAAACTCAAGGTGGCAGGAGGTTGTGAGACTTGGGTCGATATCAAATCTTACAGTGCTGACTATATCGAGTGGAAATTTTTGGGACCTGTCATGGACAACGGGCACATTGATCGAAGGACGCATGTCTTGGTGGTGCGCACAACTGTGTGCGATGTGAACAGTGAAAGGGTTTTACGAGGGTAAACATTATTTTAAAACCCAGTTTATAACAAACAGAATAACGTAGCGAGTACGGGGCAAGCCACGGGCCTGCCGTGAGGCCCTTGGAGCCCCCTGAGGACCTTGGAGGGCCCACGGCTGCGTGGTGAAGGTGGATGGAGGCCAGCTGACAGCTTAAAACAAAGTTTGCCTGACAGGACCCCAATTGTGTAAAGGTGAGATAGGACATAAAGACCTCTTGAAACAGAAAACAGTCCTTGGTGTGCTGTGTGTTTTTGTTTCAGTTTTTCTCTCTTGCCCCCTATACCACGTTCTCGCTCCTATCACCGTTCGGACTTTGATTATTCGCAAAAAGTTATATTGCCTATGAGGTCAACGTAAGCTCACCATCAACTCGGAAAATTTCCCTTGGTATTTTTTTGCATATCGTCTGTATCGATGGCCAGTTTTGTAACAGCTGTGACTTGTTTAAAAGCTATACCTTCGAACAGTGCATCTGCAGATGTAGGTGCACTTCCTAGACGGGCATTTTGTTGTGTTCCCTTTTTGTCAAGGCGTGGAGAAATTGTCAGGTCAGGGAATCATACTGTTATTGTTTGAAGGATGTTGTACCTGTCTGCAGTCAGCCAGTTGAACTGTGCATGTGCATAACAGAACTTCTGCAAGGTACTTTGGTATAAAAGAGATTGAACAAAACAAAAACAGAAAATTACACCTTTTCGTGTAAAGACACACATCTAATTGAAACGTATTGTACCTCATCTCCAATTATTTTTCATTTTTGGTTGGTAAACCAATGACGTTTGGAGAAACGTCCATCTATAGAGTAGCCCAAAGCGCTTCGCACGAGTGTAGCTGGGACATAATTCCTTTCCAAATGAAACGGCGGTGGTTACACGTGGAGCGACTAATACAGAGTCGTTCACTCGAGCTGTGAGACTTGGATCGGACTTGAGTCTTTACTTTTGAGATTCACGACTTCACTTGTAACTCTCAGCTACTCATGCAATCTCATAATCTTTCATATTACGCCTATCAATTTACACCTTGAATGCAAAAAAACAAATCAGACTTTATTTTGTAGTATGATCTTTATGGGTATTATGTGTGTGTGTGGCTGCCGACAAACAAAGAATTTCATTATTATTAAGTTGTGCGCAGACGCAACGCTTCTGCGCGCCACTACGCAGTAGTCCAGCTGTTATTCAAACCAGGGAGTGTTTTGACATACGTTGGATTAAAAAAACTTTTTACTTTATTCCTTTGCTTAAGTACGGAAAGGCATAGCTAGCCCTGTGGTTGGCAAAAGCTATGACTAGGTAAGAGAGATCTATTATTGCTACTAGTGATTTCTCCCGCCGTCTCTCTGATACAGACGTTTGCATAGAGGGATCCCGATACGACGCTTTTAGCGTCGATCTGTGCACTTCCGCGTTTGAAAACGAGGCCCTAATGTGTCAGTTTCAATTCTTAATACGATCAGACGATTAAAAGTAAGGAGTCAAGACAGAAATACATAAAAGTATGTTAAATTCAGACTATTCAGGCTGCAAATTTTTGTGAGAGTGTCTCAGGATGACACGAAACGTAAAATGAAAAGAAAAAATAACGACAATTTACCACGAACTAACGTACCTGCGATGGTCGTGTATCTTGTGCAGTGGGCGTGGTTAAAATTGAAGTGGTGTCACACTTATGAACGGGATACTGCATGTACTGTGTCGACTCCGCGGGCGCGTGCGATGAAATTCAACACAGAGAGCCTCGGTTTCGATGCGGATATGCGCAGACGTGTAAAATCCCCCTATACAAAAGTGGTTTGTCATCAACCTGTTCAAAAAAGTGACATGGAAGTGTCGCACGTGAACCTGCTGTGTTGTATCGTGTGATAACATCAGACAAATGTTCGTTGGCTACGCCGATATGACCAACAGTAGACTTGAATCATGTCGAACTTACGCTGCTCTTCCTTAGTCAGCCACTCTTCAGCCAACGGTACGCACTACACGGTCGTTGCGCTCGGCCAGGCAACTCGCATAACCCTTATGAGGCCCCCTCATTACAGCCTGTACAACGTGGGTCGGGCATACGTCGGTCACCTGCGATTTCGGAACTGAACTAACTCGTAGTAATGAGTGGACATAAGAGGGCGCGAAGCAAGTAACGGCGCGCAGTCTAGTCTCATTTGATGTGTATCCAAAGCAGAAACGAAGACATCCCGACTTGAATCAAGTCTAGTTAAACTCCGGCAGAGATTCAGGCCTTATGCACGCAAACCACGGCAAACAAGCTTCCACCCTTAGCACGGTACAACGGCGACGGATCCCTGTGCAGTACATGCACACCGATTTATACGAAGGCTATACCACTGCCATAATACAAACCGAATGGGCAGCGCTGACACGTGTGCGCATGTCGCCGAACTGAAAAAAGACCCCCCTCATAATTTTGTAGTTTCGCCCGTTACCCTTCTGGTATTTAAATATTTTCTTTTATGATTACAATCCATCGGCCAATCAGAATAGACTACGTAAACATCAGGTTGTATACCTGGCCGAGCAACTTGTACTTTAAACGGATCAAAGGCCGGAAACACATTGATTTTTGAAAATTATACGACTTCGCTTCTCTATAACTTTGCCTTTTGTGTGTTGTATTATGTTAAGCTACACCTTCTTCAAACCCACATTGAACTTTAATGGAGAGAAGTGAGAGCAATAAGCCAACAATACAGTTTGACTGTCACCCAAACCCCTTGTTTCACGTCCACCTTTCAATAAATTGTTGACCCCAAATATCACATCCCGTAGACACTAGTCGATGGCAGCATGCCATCCATGTCGATGTCCATGCTGCCATCGACTTGATATTTAGGGAACGCAACAGTGCCACACAGGGCAAACGTATTGTAGGCCTCACGTACATGATGTACACTGTTAGAAGATCTTCAACAAACAACTTCGTTTAAGTTGTCGTAAAAAGTAAAGCCTTCGGTTAAAGTTACTACATGTTACTCATTTGGGATTCCCACTTCAGATTACTCTGTCTGTAAATGACCAATAATTTTACACAGTCAGTTCGTTGAATTTGGAGATCAGAGGTGTTGAAAGAGTGGAGACCCGGTGGATTAAGCTGAAAACAAATATTCATATACTGACATTTAGCAGGGTTTAGTTTCATTTTTGTTTAAATCAGACCAATGTTGAAGATGATTGAGCTCATTTTGCATGTTTAAAGATTCGCTTGCATCTGAGAATGCCCGACTTAATGTCAGATCGTCAACATATTTATAGTGTTTTAAAGCCGGATGGTTGGGAACAAAATCATTAATCATGACTAAAAATGATATAGGCCCGAGTTTTGTTCCTTGTGGACCTCCTGCACACAAAGACTCCCATTTTGACAAAACATCATTATACCGAAGTGCCTGCAAACGGTCTGATAAAAAAATGCTCAACCAAGGAATTAAGGGAGCTCTCACCCCTAACTGAATAAACTTATTAATGATAATGTTATGATCCACTCTGTCAAAAGACTTGCTGAAATCAGTGGCAATTAACACGGCTGAATTCTGTGGCTTATCAGAACACTGTGAATATCTTCCAAAAATCTAACCAAACAATAAGTTGTGGATGAACCTTTCAATGAACCAAACTGGTACTTATCAATGAAAAGCTTCCACCCCACAATAAAGTCTTCAAAGATCTTGGAAAATATACAAGTAAGCGAAATAGGACGAAGGCTGTCTATGCTTGGAGGGAAGGTCTTTGGAATAGGGAAAACAAAACCCTTTTTCCAAATTTCAGGTACTATTCCTTCACAAAGAGAGCAATTAAAAAATATCAGCCAAAGGGAAACAATTCATAGGCGAATTCCTGTATCAGTCGTGGTGGAAAGCAGTTAGGCCCACTGGATTTACCCAATTTAACCTTTTTCAACTTACTGAAAACCCGTTGCGGTGTAACAACGGGAACTGGCAATTCAGAAGGCAAGTACGCAGGTAGGTTTCTCAGGTCTAAATGGGGGATATCATCTGCTACTGAGGTAAACCTGTAGTACCCCGTTGGGGGGGGGTGTCAGAAGATAATACTGGAATCAATATCTTTGACTGTAGACAAAGGGCAGAAAAGGACACTTGCTCACTTAAGCAATGGTCTGCCTCAAGTAACCAGCAGAGTCAACAGCAAAGATCGTATAGCGCCGCGTTGCGGCGCAAGATGGCGAACTTCACCGTAAATACACGTAAAACGTTATAATCGCAAGAGTGCCATTTGAGCAAGCTATACGCCTGCGCAATGCACATTAATGCAAAGGTGCAGGCGCCGCAGCAGGTGCAGTGTCCCAATTCAAGGAAAATTCTCCGCCAGGCCGAGGCGTACAAAAAGTACCCCCAGAGATTGTTTCCAAAAGAGGGGTCTGTTTGGGCCAAGAAATGGTGGGATTGTGTCAGTATGGCCCAGGATCATCTCTGTAGATTCAGGGGCACCCATTTAGGGGCAAAGCAGACAAAAATGGGATTGAAAATTAGTCAGAAGAGCCCCAGGAAGGTGAGGGATGTCATTTGAAAAATGGCCGCTGGGAGGGCTTGGCAACATTCACTTTTTGGAGGGTGAGTTTGTTTGGGGCGGATAATTAAAAAAATTATTGGTTAACCTACTAAAAATTGAAAATCAAATGAAATCTGAAGGACCAAACAACACATTGTTTTTGGTTTGATAGGCCTCAGGGACTTCAGTTGCCTGCCATGGGGCTCCAAACTTGGTTTATTTTACACTATTTTCAATGGAGCTTGAATTGATTCAGTGCACCACTCGTGCAGTGAGCCTACGCCGAAGCATTACCGTAAACTGCGCAGCCGTAGCGCTTGTTCAAATGGCGCCCATGGTAATTACACCTTTTGGGCAGAGTTATCCATCTTGCGCCTTCGGCGCTATACGATCTTTGGTCAACAGAGCAAACATCCTGTCCTTTGGGTTCTACCATAAGTCCAGGGATAGGGCCACTAAGTAACTTTAGGAGTGGTCCATTTAAATTCTGTTGGGAGGGGAAGCCTAATTTCTCTATCCTCTACAAACCTTCTATTGATCTTATTAGCAATTTCTAAGGATGAAGTACCAGGTATATTGAAACTCTGCTTACGCTTAAAACCAGCTGTTTTTTTTAATTTGTTAGTGCCACTGCCTTGGATTGCTGATACTGAGCTTTGCAACATTAACACTTACGTTATAAAAAGCAGATCTTCCTACATGTACTTTTAAAAGCCTAATGATTTTGTTGCGGAGTAACTTCCACCATGCTTCCACGGACTTATTTTACCCTTATTAGATGCTTTCTGACGTTTCACAATAAGAGATTTAATCTCAGGGGTTATCCAAGGTTTGCCACCATCGTGAACTGTTAAAGTCTTGGTAGGAAAGTACTCGTCGACAGCATTTTGCAAAGATTGATAAAAACATTCCACTTTGCCACTAATTGTTGATGCAGAAGTTGTCAATATTCCAGTCTTGAGTGTTTTGTAATCCACTGGCCAAACTCACGCCTGTCGTGTCAATGATTAAAGCTGATTAAGGGCAATGCGAGTCCAGATTTTAATTATACACGTCCGTGGATGTCACTCGCAAAGCATAACGGCCCGACGTACTAAATGCAATGTTACCTTACGTATTAATAAAAGCAAACCTACTGCAACGAAGGGACACACCGTGCAGTGTTTCTGCCACGCACGTACAGCTAGTCTTGGCACAAGACGTCAGTGATCGATAGTTGTTTTATTTCTGTTGAAGAGCGCCCTCGCACATCTAGATTTTACTTACTCTCTGTACTGCACTGGCGCACAGTCTAATTGTGAGTCGTTAGGGGGCGTACTGTGCACGGTGTCCGCTATATCAAGCACTAATGTGTACAGCAGGCCTGACGGCCGGGGTTGTCAAAATTCTCGCCCAGCGCCCTGCATGCATCCAGGCCTGATCAAGGCTACTGTTGTGTGTGCACGTATGGGCCTGTGCGCATGATTGTTCGTACGCGACATCGACAGTGCAGTCGGCTATCATCATGACCTGACCAAGGCTACATGTTCACTGATCAGCTGATAGCGGATTGTGTTTGTACATGTAAGACATGCACAGAAACCACTCAACTGACCCACTCACTTGGACACTTTACAACACAGGCCAACTGACCTGTTCGAGAAGGACATGACAGTGGGTGCAGTACGTAGTACTTATGCAGTTTTGGTACAACAGAGTTTGTACAAAACAATTGGTTGGGCGCCTTGGACGGTGGCAAGACCGTAATCTCAAATAACCACGTTTATAGAATTCTTGATATCACTGATACTATCAGGTAACTATTTTGTGAAAGAGCTGCCAAGTGTTCGTCATGAGTTTGTCAGCTAACCTACAACGCGAATGGGTTCCAAACCAAACCCTTCCAACGGCTGGCCTCATCGTTGGAGACTTTGTAGTGATGACCTACAACCTACTGAACAAGGACCTTGGGCCGGACGGGCTGTTCTCGTACTGCCCAGACGAGTTGTTGAGCACTGCCCGCAGACACCCGGTGCTCATGGGCGAGATTGACCACCACAAAGACGCAGATATCATCTGCTTTCAAGAGGTACGTATTGGAAGATGGGTTTCTGCTCGAAACTTTTGGCTATGTCATGAGTATTTCTTTCAGTACAGGATTAATTAGTTTGAAGCTGCAGTTATGTCGAATGTTGAGATATCAATTAAAATACTAACCATGATTTGTTTCACATATTATGAACACATACATGTACATGTACATTCTTTTCATCCTGTCACGATCAACATGCTCCACCCCTACCCCTGTGCTGGTCTGGCAATCCACTTTGAGTCAGATTTGACGCCGTACGGAACACCTCAGATTCAAAACTGATTTTGTTCTGTTACATCAACTGTCATGTATAGGTCAGTAGTTTGTACTACGACGAAACCTTGGTGCCTGATATGCATGAGAGAGGCTACACTGGTGCTTTCATCAAGCGGCCCAGTGCTCGGTCGGCTGACGACAAGCGACCGTGGACTGATGGGAGTGCCACCTTCTTTCGAAGTGCGCGGTTTCAACTGGTCAAACAGGAGGGAGGTCATTTCAAGGACCTGTTTGAAAAGGTGGACCCTTGCACTTTGTTGGCACAAATGAAGCTAATCAGTGTGCTGTCTGAAGGCTGGTTCATACTCAGTGCAAGAGCGAGCACAAATGCGAATTTCTGAGGGCGGATCAAATATTCGTGCTGCGAATTCGCAGAAGTTGAACACATTTCAACTCGAGCGAAATTCTGGTGATATTCTGTTGTAGCATCAAATTCGCTTCGGTTTTAGATTCACCTGCAGTATGAACCAGCCTTGATGTGGCCACTCCCGACATGTAAACAGAACAGATCAATTATTTTGAGAGTGCCACTGGACAGTGCCTGTACCCACGGTGTAAATTCAACTGAATACATGTATGTAGATTTTCCGTCATGCTGTTGATGTACTGTCGACAGAAATTGTCACAAAACGTAACTATGCCAGCGTTTCAAAGCAATAGAAGCCTTTCCAACATTATAATGTAAGTAGCATGTTACTTCGTGAAAACAGTGACGGTGTGTTTCCAAATTAGCTAGTATCTATCCAGTGTTTCTGTAGACTTTTTACAATTTGACATATTAAAGAACAGGACGAATTTCTACTTTGTATCGGATAAAAAATCCTGGTCACTCTCTTTTACAATTTTCCACCACATGTCCTTTATGAAATTAGTTGGGTGCTTGAATTTCTCCTCTGTTGATAAACTTTCTGCGCTGCATCTATCCTCCATCCAGGAACAGGAGAAACTTCAAAGCCCCACCAATACCACTTCATGTGACCCTGACTTGATTGACAGCAAGAGGTCCTTCCTCTTCGTGCTGTTCCGCTGTCTGGAGACGGATAGGCTGGTGGCGGTGGGAAACGTTCACCTGACGTGCGTCTATGGCAGTTACAACCGAATGGATTTGAATTCTTTAGAGGTGAGGTTTTAAAGTCGAAACAGATGGGGAACCACTTGACATTCGCACACACAAAAGCAGTAGAGTTATGATGTACATGTATTGAACTTTTGAATACTTCCACAAAAATCTTAAGGATAGCCAATGGTATCCAAGCTGTATTCTTAAAAGTTCTGTCTAGTGATCTGAACTTTTACCTATTTTAATCTTTCACTTCGAACACTTTAAAACTGTGGTCCTGGGGAAGAATTTAGCTGAGAATGACGAGGGTTTCAAACTGCATGTCATTATGTAATGATTTGAGGTTTGTGATTTACTCAAAGAGTTATGAATAGCTTGAGTCTTTCAAAACTCCTAGCATTGCACTGTAGTGGAGTCACAAGCAACAAGTGACAAACAGCAATACAGGAGAGCTCTGGGCTCTGAAACGAAAAGACTTTCAGGGATGACTCAACTATAACACTATTTGAAGAGCAATATCTCATTTATGCATCATCTCGTCGTTTCAGGCTGCATTTGCTTTAAGAGAGCTGGTGCGTTTCTGCGGAGGAGCAGATGCCCCCCACATCTTGTGCGGGGATTTCAACTTTGAGGAGCACCACCCTGGATACCAACTGATGCGAGACGGGTTGCTGAGCGAAGCCTCAGCAACGTATCTCCGCAACCTGAGACTCCCTGGTGAAAAGGATGGCAGCAAAAACGTGAGGGATTTGTCGAAAGAGGAGGCAAAATAAAAGGAAATAAAAAAGGCACCACTATCCCCATTGGCACCAGTGTTGTAGATCTCTAGACTTGGTCTCTGTCTCGAGACCGTCTCGAGACCTTTTTTGCGGTCTCGGTCTCGGCCTGTCAAAGTCTTGGTCTTGGGAGGGCTGGTCTCGGTCTTGGGAGGGCCAGTCTTGGTCTTGGGAGGGCCGGTCTCGGTCTTGGGAGGGCCAGTCTCGGTCTCGAAATTGCCGGTCTCGGTCTTGGATGCCATAGTCTCGGGTCTCCCCCTCGAGACCAGTCGAAACCATAACAAAATGCGCATGTAGCTGCCATGCATGCATGGATGCTGGAATGAAGACTAGTCAATACAGCATGATGCAACCTTGTCCCAAGTTGTTACTTCATTTCCAATCCAGAGTAGCCATGCTGATTGACATCATGGAGATGAGCTTGTGAGTAGCGGAATTCGTACACTAGACTGGTTCCCGTTCCCTACGTAGTCTCCTGCTGAACGTAAGGCCAGGACGAGAACCAGTCTGTGTGTGTGCGCACGCTATGAATTGTATGCACCTGTGAAAGTGCTTTCATTCCGTCTTGTATGTGGTACGTATTCTTTAAGTAGTTTCGTTATGGTACATCTGTTTGGATATTTGTTTTTCAGTATTTTGCTTACAAAAACAGTCTAAGGATATTTGTTTTAATGTTCACATCATATCATTTGGGACACTCGGGTTGAAAATGACCAGACCAGGGTAAAAGTAGAGCAGTATCACTTATAAAAGAACTGAGACATTCTTTAACAAATATTTGACCTATTTGTGTGTGTGTTTATGTTAATGTTTGCATTTTATTTCTTTTATACTTAATTGTACTGCCATATGTTTGTCCCTATTTACCTTTTGGTAAAAACTAAACATTGGTTTTTGGTTGGTCTCGGTCTCGTATGCTATGGTCTCGGTCTCGACCTGCAAAAGTCTCAGTCTTGAAGTCCTGGTCTTGGTCTTGAAGGAGTAGGCCTCGGTCTTTGTCTCGGTCTCGTATGTCTTGGTCTTGGTCTCGGATATCAAGGTCTGGGATACAACACTGTTTGGCACTTTTCGACTTCTGGTAAAGTGCATTCAATAATTTGTCATGCAAATACTGTGTGAAGTGCTTGTTCACTCAAACATCGTGCAATTTAGTCTTGACAATTATTAATTTAAAGTAAACATAATAAGGTAGTAAATATGTGCTTGGCCGATCTTAAACGTGCGTTTAAGACCCGCTCAGGAGACTGGACGATACTAATGACAGAGGGCAATATCAGCGTTCAGTCTCCTGAGCCAGTCTTAAACGTTACTGTAAAACTGGCCAAGCACACACTTATTCCCACCCATAAATACCTTTTTAGTCAGAGAGTCAATAGAAGTCAATATATGATGGATTTTGGGCAATTTTGTGCTAGAAGTTTACTTTCAGTTTCCCGAACACCCCCGTCCATTTTATGGAATATTCCTTGTGCAAATTGTCCAATTGTGGCGAGCCGCTGTACACAGACTCTTCACCAGTCAGAATCGATTAAACTGTCTTGTATCCAGATGCCAGCAGGTGATTTACGCAGCAGGCATTATCACATATCAGGAGGCATTATCACATATCAGCGGGCATTATCACATATCAGCAAGTATTATCACATATCAGCGGGCATTATCACTTCTCAGCGGGCATTATCACATATCAGTGGGCATTATCATATATCAGCAGGCATTATCACTTCTCAGTGGGAATTATCACATATCAGCAGACATTATCACATATCAGCGGGCATTATCACATATCAGCAGGCATTATCACATGTCAGCGGACATTATCAAAATTTGATAATTAATACACGGTCAAGTTGCATGTTACTAATAGGGAGACTGAGGCACTTATGAATGTAGATTAATATTCTCATTTTTCCTCCTTGGGCTTAAACCTTTGCATTCATTTTTCCTCCTTGGACCTCACTTCACTTTTAACTTTCTTACCATATCCTTTTCACTCTTACGTTTTAAAGGCTAACAGAATTTGAAAACATTAAGTTCACGTTGTGTTTGATGTACTGTATGTAGCTTGGCCCACAGGCAAACACTGTCTCAGTTCAAGAAATACACGGTAGGACTGTGTCTTTTAATTTCTACCATGAACTGAGACAGTGTTTGCCTGTGGGCCAAGCTACATCGAACACAAGGTGGTCTGTTGCAAGTGTGCAATACTGCATATACTTGGTGCAATCATGCAATGTACATGTACACTGTACATGTAGGCGTTCTGCCAATGACGTCTTCAAATCAGCCTGGGAGCGTGAACGGCCAAAAGGGGATTTTTTGTGGGCGGCGAAACGCAGAATCTTTTTATTCAATTTTGGGTCACGATTGATGGGGTAAGCATTAAATTTATGATGTTTTTGAAATGGTTCTATGTTTATTGTTATTTTGAAATACTTGTACTTCATGTGAGCAAAATGTTTTCAATTTCTGTTAACCTTTAACAAGCATTTGTTATCGAGTGCACAAATGAAATGTAGTACCATGTGTCTTATTGGGCTTTGCTCAGGTCATGTCCCTGCTAGACGTTTTTCCAGACTTTTTCACACACGACTCGGTGAGTCTCAAAAGTTCCTACAAAACTGTTATGGTAAGTACAGCACATGTAACCCCTAGCAATTAATCCAAAGATAATCCATTCTTAAACAGAAGACTGTGTTTTAGGTGCTTCCAAATCATTCTCCTGTCTTGGGCAAATTAAGTTAATGGAATCGGTTCACTTGTGTTGAGATCAAATGGAGGAATTTTAGACACAGTGTATGATTATGACATAAAGATATTGGTGTTATTTTTCATTTAAATGTAACTGGTCCAATATTCAAAAAGCATGTAATTGGTATTTATTTATATTTATAAATTATATATATTTGTAAATTAAAAAATTAAATTATATTATATTTATAAATATATATTTATTTAAAAATATATATATTCTTAAATATATATTCATTTAAATATAACTGGTCCAATATTCAAAAAGCATGTAATTGGTATTTATTTATATTTATAAATATATATATTGATTTATATTCAAGAATAGCCTTAACCTTTGCACGCAAAGTTTGAAGGATCTAAGTCTGAGGCAGACTTATTGGTCGAGGGGTCAGGGCATGCTCAGGAAAAATGCAATGTCCAACCAGTAAAAACTTTATTATTTGGTGCCATCAATGGTATTCTTCAGCACAGTCCAACCAATTTATCACGGAGACTCTTGATCAGTTTGAAATTTGTGTTTATCAAAATAGGGACACGAGCCACCCTTCACATGTTACGAAGACAGCTCTCCGGAATGTGCAACTCCAGTTGGACCACTGCCGACCAAAGCTTTGCAAGCGCTGTTTGATGTGGCGCTCAATTACACTAAGGTATACCAACTGATAGCTCATACTCCTTCCATCTGTGTACCGGTTGCGGTTAATCTCTTTCATCAGATCGATTGCAGAATACCCCGCATGACCAACCTCATAGCCAGGTATAGGTCAAAGTGTCACGTCAAGGGATTTTCACCTTGTACCCACGTAACCAGTCATTCCAGGGGTTGTTTTTTAGAGTGGCGAGAGAATACCCATTCTGCAATTACTCCCTTTCGTCAAATAATGTGACATGTATAAAATGCAAAGCATTATGGGTAGTTTAGCTGGTGACACTTCCAGCACTAGCAAAATTGGCCCAGCTACCACTGAAAAATCTTGTCAGCAATTAAAATTTTGCCCTGGTATTTCCACCCCATGCACAAAACACACCCTGATGGGTACTGGGCAAAACTGCGATGTAGCGATGACTTGAAGGGGAGCCTGTTATGAAATTGCTCGATGATGTTTTCTATCCCACAATATCTATTGTTTCCAAACCAGCAGGGTCGCGGAGCAGACAAATATGTAGCCGCTGTGGACTACATCTGGTTCAGCTCCAGCTCACTCCACTGCAGTGGTGCTCTCAGGATGCCGGAAGAGAGGCTGATCCTGCCGTTCCACGCTTGTCCCAACGCAGTCTTCCCATCGGACCACCTGCTCATGAAAGCCCAGTTTTCCTTCCTGAAAGCCTAAAGCTGAAATTTTTGGTGTTCTTTGTAAAGGAAGCAAAGTTTTTTTACATCTTTAGTTTATTATTATTGTACATTATGGTACCTGTAAGAGAACTCCTTCGCACAAGTTAACAGGAAGGGCTTAGTTCTTTTTTACTATTTCTGTGAAATTTTCCCAGATTCCTATTGTAACGCAATGCATAGCCCACTGGTGCGCTTTCAAGCGTTTGTTGCTTAGCAACGTTGTGCGCGCTGGCGTGTATATAAGCGACCGCGTGCAAAGAGTCGCTCTCTTCCCGCTGCGACAGTCACTGTGTTGAGTTGGAAAGCAACTTCCTGCTGCAGCTGCCACCAATTGCAGTGAGGGGTTCTGATCGGAGATAAAGTGTACTTTTTAATCGTCCAGTCAATTACATTTATTTAAGTAGTCGCAGTAGGGGAGCCTCACACTTTGTGTGAGCTTGATTTGTGATTGTTAATAAATCCTGGCACCTATAATTTTGTGATCAGTGAATAGTCCCGCACGTAGGTGAAGCACTGTGCGCCTATAGGAGAATAAAGCATCAAAGCAAAGGGTAGGCACAAACTGGCGTCCGCCCCCCCCATTTCTTCCCCGGTGGTCCCCCGTCTGTTAGCCCCGTGTGGTGCGAGGGTGTGTGAGTGTGTTTTGGCAGTGGTGAGCCACGGGCCTGGCGGTAGACTTCCGCCAAAACGGATCTGCGTCTCGGGCCGTGGAGGTTAGGCCGCTCACCGCTATCGGTCGAGACCGACCCGGGCAGTCGTCAGAGGTTAGTTCCGCTACACTATTGTAGTTGTATATGAATTTTTAGAACTTTGTATTACACATCTTGCCAGCATGTTATGAAGTGTATTCGTCTTTATTTGTTGTCTCAAATAATGTATTTACCATAGTTGAAATTTGGTGGTGGTTTTAAAATTTAAGATCGCTTACAACTTGACCTTTGTCTAATTTGAATGTGTTTTAAAACTCTTTGTCTTGGCTGTCTTCATCAAAAATATATATGGAGTTTGAAGGAGGTGATTCAGTCGAACATGCAGACCTGCCAACCTGTCGTACTCCTTCCTCAGGTCTGGCATTACCACACAATAGATTAAAAGGTACTTAAATGAGCCCTCAGTTCATTCAAAATTCTAATCTTTTGTGTGGTGATGCCTGACCTCAGGAAGAAGTACGACAGGCTGGCAGGTGTGAACATGTTGTAGGGTAATCACTGTTGGACCAGGAGTTTTATTATGTGATGTGAACAAAAGCATGACCCGACAGGTGTTCAATACATACGAACGTAGGCTAACGCAGACGTGAAAGAGCTAGTTCGACATAGAGGTATTTCACATTAGCGCCGTCTGCGCATGTCTGCGCATATCTGCAACGAAACTGAGGCTCACTGTGTTGAACAATGTTGCGCGTGCCAGTAGCCGTGAACTCTTCACGGACACATCAACCCCAGCACCATCCATACGGCCAACCCCAAAACCCAGGACGAGATTCTACAATCCCGTGGCACCAGTGCCTACACCCGCGTATACGATAGGCGCTCCGTCAAGGACGGTGGATGAGGCGACGAGCTGTGGCGAGGAGGGCAGTCTGCCGAGCCGACAGCCGGAAACCCAGGAGAGGGTTTTGTTGCAGTCTGAAAAAGACGCAAGCCTGAGGGAAGGCGAAAAATCCCGGACCTTCGAAGTAACGAGGTCGAGAAGTGAAAGGCTGGGATGATGAGTAGCGAGGATGTTCCTACCAGGTGTCCGAACATCATCCCGGATAGATTTGGCGGGAAGACCCCGTGACGCGATTACAGGCAGCATTTTGAGGCTTGTAAAGTAGCGAACAGTTGGAGTGATCGTCAGGCAAAAGTGTTCCTGGCGGCGAGCCTACAAGGTGATGCAGTCAAGGTACTGGGAAACCTTGCTGCGAGTGAGAGTCAAGTGACGTAGTCCGAGTTGGTGGGACTGTTGGAAAAGAGGTTTGCGGAGAATCACCTAGCGGTTCTGCGGCACAGGCGACAGAAGCCTTAGGAGACGCTGCAGGAGCTGGGGCTGACGATAAGGGAGCTGGCTTCACTCGCCTACCTGGAACTTTCGGACCGCCTGGCCAGGGGGCACTTCTCTGATGCGGTGGAGGAGCAAGCCGTCAGGGAAGGAATTTTCCGAGCCAGACCATCATCGCTGGACGAAGCAATAAGGGCCGCACTGAACACTGAAGGGTTCCTAAAAATAGAGGAACAGTGGGCTGGAAACCGGCCTAAATATGCCCGAGTGGTGGAGGGCGAGGACCAATACCCCATAGATGTCCTGAAGCAGAAAATGAAAGAAAATCAGCGCGAGGTGAAGGAGTGGCTGGAGAAGATGACAAAGCGAATTGACACCTTCGAACGTCCAGCGGACTCCTCGCACGGTGCCAATCAAAGACGCAAGGCAAACCCAGAAGATGTTTGTTTTAGGTGCAAACGTAAGGGGCACTTTGCCAAGAGTTGTAAGCAAAGCGAGGAAAAGCGACTGAAGTCAGAAAACAAGGAGCAGCTGACCCAGAGGCCCGTGTGAAAGCTGGAGAAGAAAGAGGGCCGGAAGGCATTGGAGAAAACCGCGCCGGAGAAGAAGTAGGTGAAGGCGAGGGTGGAGCTTCACCTAAAGCCAGTAGCACAGCGTGTAATGGGTTGTACGTGTAGGCCATGTAGGGAGTTAAAGCAAGACTACTGGTTGACACGGGGGCAACACACACTGTGCTGTCGTCAACACTGTATTTTAGCATTTCAAGAGACCGTCGACCACGACTAGTAACAACAGGTGCAGCAGTCAGAAACGCTGATGGGAGTAGGATGGACGCACTGGTATATTGGTAGAACGACCAAGCCAATCAACATAGTCTTCGGCAACACGGACGAGATACAAGGGATATTGGGAATGGACTTTCTGATACCAACTCAAGGGACTTTGGACATCAGAACTCTGGAGCCACGGTTGAGCGGGGAGACGATAAAGTTTGCAGATGACCGTGGGAGTGGGCTTTGTGCAAGAGTGATGGTAGGAGAGACTACCAGAGTGCCGGCTGGGCACGAGGCGATAGTGCCAGGTTATGTGTCAGGTGACAGGCTGGAAGGCGAAGTAGGGGTCATTGAGCCTATGGAGAGAAGCGAAATAGCGGAAAAGGGCATGGTTGTAGCCAGGGTGCTGGTCTAAGCAGCTGAGAGTACACTCCCCATCAAAGTATTCAACCCTGGCAAGAGGGGATGTGTTGTCAGGAAGGGAACCACGGCGGGCACTTATACGCCTGTAGGTGAAGGCGACGTGCAGGAAGTATAACTGGGAGAAACTTCGTCCAGCGGCTCTTCAGATGTTCCCGCTTCAATACCTTGAGGACTTGTTCTAGAGAAGTAAGGAAGGTGTAGGTCCGAGATATCACAGCAGAATTGCTCAACTGTTGTGCCGTTATGAAGACGTTTTCTCTGAAGGGGAGGGCGACATAGGGCGCACGGACTTGGTCCGTCATCGAATCAACACAGGCAGTGCCTGGCCTATAAAGGAGAGGCCACGGAGACATCCTCCTGAGGAACAGGCAGAAATCCAACGACAGGTGAAAGAAATGGTGTGCAATGGCACTGTTGAGCCTTCGGACAGCCCATGGGCGTCCAACGTAGTCTTAGTGAGAAAAAAGGACGGGAGCAAGTGGTTTTGTGTGGCCTACCGGCGCCTAAATGCAGTCACCGTTAAAGACGCCTACCTGATCCCTCGGATCGATGAGTCACATGACGCCTTAGCAGGATCCAGGTAGTTCTCCACCTTGGATCTTGCGTCCGGCTATTGGCAGGTCGAGCTAGATGACGAGGCCAGAAAGAAGTCTCCTTTTGTCATTCGGGGAGGTTTGTATCGCTGGCGGGTGATGCCATTCGGGCTCTGCAACGCCCCCTCCACGTTTGAGCGACTTATGGAGAGGGTTTTGGCTGGCCTGCATTGGGAGACACCACTTGTCTACCTAGATGATGTCGTTGTGTACGCTAAGAGAACCGAGGAAGGTTGAGTCACCTTGAGACGGTATTTCAGCGTTTTAGGCAGGCAGGCCTAAAACTCAAACCGAAGAAATGTCACCTATTCAAGCAACAGGTCCTGTACCTGGGACATATAGTGTCTGGTGAAGGGATTGCGACTGATCCACATAAGGTGAGGGCTGTTCGTTATTGGCCAACGCCTATGACTGTACGAGAAGTGAAGAGTTTTTAGGATTAGCGTCCTATTATCGCAGATTTATCAGAAGCTTTGCTGATAGGGCTCGGCCTTTACACCGGCTGACAGAGAGAAGGGACGAGAATTTGCGTGGACCAGTAACTGTGAAGGAGCTTTCCAAGATTTGAAAAATTGTCTTTTGGAGGCGCCAGTTCTGAAGTTCCCTGACCCTGAAGCTGGGTATGTCCTGGACACCGATTCAAGCGGTGTAGGCGTAGGCGTGGTCCTGTCGCAGGTGACAGACGGGAAAGAAATGGTGGTCGCCTGTGCGAGTAGAGCACTCAGTAAAGCAGAGCACAACTACTGTGTGACGCGCCGGGCATTGCTGGCGGTCGTGGTATTTCTGAAGCAATTCAGGCAGTACCTTTATGGTAGAAGGGTCATGGGTCGAACCGACCACGGGGCACTACGCTGGCTGTTCAACTTTCGGGAACCACAGGGCCAGATGGCGCGCTGGTTGCAAGTTATCAGCAAGTACAACTTCACGATAGTACATCGAGCAGGACGCTTACACGGCAACGCAGATGGATTGTCCCGCGCGCCGTGTAGACAGTGTGGGAGAAATGAGCAGGCGGAGGCGACAACCCCAACAGGCGAACCTGTGGAAGAAAAGACAACTCCTGTGGCAGGAGTGAGAAGCGTTACTCTCACGCCTAACGTCACCTGCGCGGAGGTGAGAGAGGTGCAGCTGCAGGATGCATCCATTAGATGGGTGCTGAAGGCTAAATAGAGTCGACCAGAAGACCCGAATGGGCTGGGATGTCTTCAAGATGTTCAGCTGCGAAAGCATACTGGCGGATATGGGATCAACTTGCGGTGAGGGAAAGAGTCCTCTGTAGGCGATGGGAATCAGATGACGGTCGCCTAGTAAAGTGGCACACGGTGCTACCTGAGAGATACCGCATAGAGTTTGTGAAAGAGCTGCATAGAGGAAAGTCAAGTGGACACTTGGGCGTCAAGAAAACCTTTGCCAAGGTCCGAGATCGATTCTACTGGGTCGGCATGGCGGCTGAAGTTAGGTCAATTGTTAGGCGATGTGACGAATGTGCGAAGAGGAAATCCCCGGCCCGAACTAGGAAGGCGCCATTGCAGCAACGGGCAGTGGGGGCGCCTATGGAACGTGTCGCCTTAGACATCGTGGGACCCCTGCCAAAGACTAAGAAGGGAAACAAATACATCTTGGTCGTGGGAGACTACCTAAGCAAATGGATGGAGGCATATCCCCTAGCTGATCAGACTGCAGAAGCTGTGGCTGAGACGTTCGTAAAGGAATTCGTATGTCGGTTTGGCGTACCAGAGGTCCTTCATTCAGACCAGGGCCGCAACTTTGAATCCCAGGTGTTTTCAGAGATGTGTCGAATTCTTGGCATCAATAAGACCCGGACGTGTCCATACAACCCAAAGTCCGACGGGCTGATTGAGAGATTTAATCGGACACTTGTAAACATGGTGGCAATGATGATAGAGCCTGAGAGGCGACAACATGATTGGGACAAGAAACGCCCATTGGCCACTTTTGCTTATTCTGCGACACCACAGCAATCTACCGGCGAGTCGCCCAACATGCTTATGTTGGGATGTGAGGTGTGCCTCCCCATTGATCTAACAACTGAGACTTCAGCAGATGAGAGAGTGCCAGAAGGCGTAGTTGAGACAGACTATGCGAGTGAATTGCGGAGACGTCTAAGAGCTGCCCATGACAGGGCCCGGATATGCTTGCAGCAGAGTGCCAGAAGGCAGAAGACGTGTTATGATCGACGGACAACTTCACCTAAACTAGGGCCTGGTAACTTCGTTTGCTTACACAACCACGCCAAAAGGAAGGGTCTGTCGCCTAAACTGCAATGTAGATGGGAAGGTCCTTACCTTATCCTGCAAAAGTTGTCGGACGTGGTCTTCAGGATCCAGAGAAGAAAGAACGGCAAAATGAATGTCGTCCATTGTGATAGACTGAAGCCTCATGAAGGCGAGCCAATTAAGGTGTGGACTACCGGTGCGCCGACAGGCGACTCACCTAGGCCAGGCGACTTGCCTGCGGGCGGTGGGTCAGAGGAGCAGGTGACAGGTCCAATTCCTAACGAAGGAGGGCAACTTGAAGTTCTGGAAACACCCAACCTACCTGGAGAGGAAGGCGCTCAGCGCGCAGAACTGAGCCAAACAGAAGCAAATGACGACAGGGTCGTAGCACCACTACCGAGACGTAATCCTAGGAGGGACCGTAGAGTGCCTGAGAGATATTTGAGTTTGAGAGAGATAGAGATAGACAGACAGGGGAACCCTTAAATAGGCCTGCCCACCCCAATTAACCATGTCGATCCATAGGCATCTAAACCAAAATAGTGTTTCCATCTTCTGTTTTACAGATCGAAGCAGAAGGCGTCACGAGAAATGGGGGAAAGACCGGGAGGAGAGAAGTCCATCCCATAGCCGTTCCGACGGGGAAATGACAGAATGCCCACTTTGAGGCATGCTGCTGCATAGGAGGAGTCTGGAGAGACAGTAGGTGAACATTGGCCTTGGCGAGTCTTCCGCTGTCGAAGGTGTTCCCACAGGAACAATTTGAGAGCGCATGTTGGCGAGGTTTCATACATTCAGGGCGAAACGCTGGAGTCCCGTGGGAGAGACAGGCGCCTAAGTGAAGGTGAGCTAAGGCGCACAGAGATGCCGAGGAGCAAGGGCGAGAGAAGCGTGAAGGTGACAAGAAGGTGAAGGTGAGAGGAGTGGGACCGCCGATGTCTCACGGGGAGCTGGAGAGTAGCATGATTGGCAACATCTTCCGGATAACGGAAACAGAGACACGCAGCATTTACCAAGACGGGATGCTGGTGACGAAGGGCCACACTGAGCGGGTCTTTCAAGTCAAGTTCGCGACAGGAGGTTGCTGAACTTTAGGCGAATAGGAGACATACTGCGCCTATAACAAGAAGTCATGTTTATTCAGATGTTGTATAAGTGTTTAATAAATTTTTGTATCTGAAAATTTATCTAAGAAGTTTAAGATTTCTGTGAGGGACAGTAATCGCCTTTACTGTTTCGGATGAGCCTGAGCCTAAAGAGATATGGCTTGTTCTTTTATTGTTAACATTTAAAGTTTTGCTTAATGTTTCAAGTGTTCACGCTTTTAATGTTAAACTTTCAATGTCGCCTACATGTCCTAAATTTTAGTTTTAAGGGTGCCAAAGCTTGACACTGTAAGGACCATCAGGTTTTTGGAGGTGTGTTTATTTGGTTGAAATTTAAATCAGAGATCATGCATTGCTTTTATTTTAAGTGTCAATTTTTAGGTCAGGGACTGACCAAACTTGGAAGGCGCCAATGTAACGCAATGCATAGCCCACTGGTGCGCTATCAGGCGCTTGTTGCTCAGCAACGTTGTGCGCGCTGTGTTCATAAGCGGCTGCGCGCTAAGAGTCGCTCTTGTTCCTGCTGCGACCATCGCCACGCACAGTCAAAAAGCTCTGCCTGCTGCGACTGTCCCCACATACAGTTGGAAAGCTGTGCCTTCTGCAAACATCACCTGCAAGTGCAGTTTGGTTCAGATTTATAGTGTAAGCTGCAATCATCCAATCATTAACATCCAATCGAGGAGTCGCAGTAGGGGAGCCTCATACTCTGTGTGAGCTTGATTTAGTTTGTGATTGATAATAAATCGTGGCACCTGTAATTTTGTGATTAATTTCTAGTACTACACGTAGGTGAGGTACTGTGCACCTATATAGGAGAATAAAGTCCTGGAACAAAGAGTAGGCACAAACTCGCATCCAGTTCCCCCATTCTTTCTCCTTTGGTCCCCCGTCTGTCAGCCCCGTGTGGTGTGAGGGTGTGTGAGAGTGATCTGTCTGTGGCGAGTTACGGGCCTGGCGGTAGACCTCCGTCAAAACGGATCTGCGTCTCGGGCCGTAGAGGTCAGGCCGCCGCTCACCGCTATTGGTCGAGACCGACCCGGAAAGTCCTCAGAGGCTTTACCGCTACAATACCTTTATGTATTTTATGTCTTGACTCCTTACTTTCAATCGTCTGATTGTGTTAAGAATTGAAGCTGACACATACAGCCTCGTTTTCAAACCCTGAAGTGCGCAGATCGGCGCTAAAAGCGTATTGGGATCCCTCTATTGCAACAGTTATGCTGTATGTGCTCCAAACAAAGCATGTCCGAGGTCATTCGGGAACAGCAGTACGTGCACGAAATGTCTGCCCTACGGGTTGCAAACCTCACAAATTATTTTTAATTTAATGTTTTCAAAACTGCGCAACCATGTGTTACTGCCACTTCAAACCCTAAAAGACACATGAAAACTGTGTCATAACTTGTATTTAAAAAAAGAAATATTTGAATACGTCTTGGTAAAATGAAAGTCACTTGAAATGCATACAGTTTTCATTAATATTCTCGGATTATTGTATTAAAGACTAAATACTTGTGTGGTTAATTATTTCGAAGTTTCTGTTGTCTGATAATTACCCCCTCCCCTCAAAAAGTGTGTGTGTGTGGGGGGGGGATAAACCCCATCCCTCGGGGATTTACGCCCAAGACACCCACCCTCTTCAGTTCCAGGAAGGCGGTCGAAAACAGCTAGGTTACTAATGCTTTAAATGAAAGTCGCAGCCTGAGCCATTATTTTATTTTTAGTGGGGAGTGAAGATTTTTCCCTCAAGGGATTCAGTGTCGGGAAATAGCATAAAAAATGAAACTAAGCTTCCTAAACCATTTTGTGGACGGACTGTTTCGTCCCAGCGAGGCGTGTTGAACTGGGTGCAGGCACGAAATCCGAAAATTAACCTAAGTTCCGGTCTTACGTGTGGTGTAGAAAAATTGCGCCCTCTCTTGGTCCAGCTCGGAAGATCGCTCTGGACATTTCGGGCAGCTTGTTCTTGTTTGTTCACGAACGGCTCGATTTGTTGTTTGTGGGTCAGTCGCTCGAACGCCGGGAATGTACAACCGGTTCTTAACGCTAGTAGTTATTTATGGCAAGCAACAGGCAGCGTCCTTGCATTCTTCGATAGTTAATGTTGGATAACTGGGCTAACTTCTTTTCCATTTAAAATATTCCTTGCTGTCATGGAAAATTATTTGTTAATTTTGCAAAACCTTTCCATTGTTTTCGGCTTTGTAAAGCCATATCGGTACTTTTTGTGGCTGTTCAAAAATCAAATCTCGCGAGTGTTTCTGTGTGTTCGTGTAAAATCTTTACGAGGAGGTGGTGTGTGATCCTGTGTTCCCGCCGTTAGAGCGCGAGAACAAAAACCCCGTGTCAAGAACGGACCAGCCCGAACTCGACCATTCGTTCGTCGCCCAGGTTGCACGACACCAAATACGCTTCCATAGAAAACAGTGCAAAATCGGACCAAAATAGCGCCGCCTGTTGACTCTCGTGAAGAGGTTGGCCTTTGTTTGGTGGAATTCATCCCCCATGTTCCCTCCTTACTTTAAACATGAGAGGGCGCTCCAAATCAAAGCATTGTTGCAATCTTCGGATTTGGTCATCACTACATCTGCTGCACATAGGACCCACTGATCAAGTGATTACATTATCGGTTAGCCCTAGCACTAGGTAAGCATCAAAAACCAGCATTATTAATTTAGGGTCTGGTTCTTGCGTTGTGTTTGAACAAGGAGGAAGGAAATCCGCGGTTAGAACTTGGGGAAAGAGTTCCAATGTGTCTAGACATGGCTGGATACTTGACACCCTGTGCACAAACCCTGAGCATGAATGAGTTACCCCATACTAGCCTCAGTAGTACTCCCCAAGAACTGTGGGGTCCACCCCGCTCCCAAGAACGTTCGTGGGAGCGGGGCTGATGTCGGACCACACAGTTCTGGGGGTACAGTAGAGACTGGTCTGAAAATTTTAAGTGTTTTCTCTAAGTCCTAGTGCCTAGGCCTACATCATGTAATAAAATGAATAATAATGTCATAATACTAGTAAGCGCTGCAGCGGTAAGGCAAAGCCTAATTCAAGTGCTCCATATTTTCTGTGCTAAAATTGACTTTGATGATGGCTAATGAACCACTGTAAAGGGAAAATTAGTGATGTCCCTGTGTAGTTGGCCAGCCTTGTGTAAAATGCACTGCTTACTGGGCTAGGCCTACATGACCTGCAAACATGACAAAATGTTGCTCCCCTCCCATGCCTGTCTGTATGCCCCACCCACCTGGTAGAATAGTTAGTAAAGGCACAAACGGAAATATTGTGCTTTTGAGGTGACAAATTCCCCTACCCCTAAGTGGGACAACCTTTCCATGTAACGTGTCAATAGTGGCAGTGTGCTAAATGACAATGAACATGCGTAAACTCAGGATCAGGAAGGTATATGGTAAACTTTATGAATTTGCATAATTTACTGTTTGTTCACAATTTAAGCAATTGGTACATAGTGTGTACAGATGCACTTGACGGTGAGACTAGTCAGACTGCTTGTAAATAAATTGTGTAACTTATTAGCGAAGACAAGATTTTGTTATACATGTATTTTGATGGCATTCTCAAAGATCGATACCCGGTCTTTTTTGTCATGAACTGCTCTTTGGCTGGTGATTAATGCATTAATTTAATTTGCGTCTTGCAGATGTGTGGTCTATAATTCAAGATGTATCATCTGGGCATCAAGGACCTCCTTGATCGATTCAGCAATGGTACCTTGACGTGTGAAGCTTACATGAGATGGGTCATCCAACGGGCCGAGGACCTGAAAGTCTTCAATTACTTTGTCTCCATGAATACGGAGAAGATGCTGAAGGATGCCCAAGAGGCAGATGCCAGGTACGGGACTAAGACCAACCGGCCTCTAGAAGGGGTCCCAATAGCCCTGAAGGATAACATTGATGTCGAAGGGGAGGTGACTGGAGCTGGCACTCCGGGTCTCGCTGGCCTGAAGGCAAAACACACAGCCGAGGTAGCCAAAAGGCTCTTTGAAGCTGGGGCCATCCACGCTGGCCGCACTGTCATGCACGAGTTGGCCTACGGGGTGTCCACCACCAACCCCTACACAGGTGACAGCCACAACTTTCACAACTTTGACTACACCTGCGGGGGAAGTAGCGGGGGAAGCGCTGGTGCGATTGCCGCCGATATTGTCCCGGCTGCCTTGGGTACCGATACCGGCGGATCGATTCGCATTCCTGCTTCTTACAGCGGGGTATACGGACTTCGACCCACCTCCAAACGTTGGCCCTCGGACTACGGTCTGAAGGCGTCGCACCTGAGGGACTCGGTGGGTCCTCTGGTACGAAGTCCGGAGGACTTGGCCATCCTGGATCAGGTGATGACAGGAGAGGAAGCTTTCCGAGAGCTATCGCCAGCAGAGATCCGCATCGGGGTCCCCAGGTCGCACTTCTGGGAGGGTCTGGATCCTGAGGTGAAGGAGTATTCTGAGCGCTTCGTGATGGCTCTCAAGCGGAAAGGCTTCATAGTCATCGACGAGGGAGGGATTCCCGGTCTTTCCGAAATCTGCCGTGATTACTTCCTCCCATCCATCAACTGCGAGGTGGTTGCACGATTCCAAGAATACATCCTGCACCACGGTCACGATGTGACGGTGGAAGACGTGGCTGAAAAGATCGCCACCCCAGTCGTCAAGGCAGCTTTTGCCGACTCCATGAAGAACCCGCCCAGTGAGGACGTCGTGCAGTTGGCCACGGCGGCCAGGGACAAACTCGTCCAGGACGTGCGGAGGTACTTCAAGGACCATCGTCTGGAGTGCATCCTGATGCCAGCCAGCAAGATCCCCGCGCCCACCCTTGCCGCCTTCTGGTCGGACAAAGCCGGGGAACTCATGGTCATTGTGGAGAATCACGACTGTGCCAATATGTGCGACAACCCTTCCTTGGTCATCCCGGGGGGCTTCTCACGAGAAGGCGGAGTTCCTTTTGGCATGCAGATTGAAGGTCTCACTGGAAGTGATAGCCAGCTTATTGCAGTGGCAAAAGCAATTGAAAAAGCCTTGCATTAAACACCCTACGTACCGATGACGTCACACTTTGTTCATGTGCGTAATCTCCTTTATTACATTCTTTGTAGGAAGTAGCGCTTTATTTCTTGCCGCATTTTGAAGTGAAAAATTGAAAAAGGATCATCCCTCGTAGCTGTTTGTGTTCCTGAAATACCGCTAGGAATGTTCATGTCACACCATCGTCCAAATTGTTATTTATTTCATCCGTGTAAAAGTACCCCTCTGGCAAGTTTAAGAAGACAGCACATGGGCCAACACTAGGCCGATATTGTTGCCCATAAAACCTCATTTTCTCAAGTACATGTAGCGACTGAATTAGGGGGAATTGTGGAAAAGTTGTTTGTTTCGCAAATTAGGGATGCAATGATCTCAGGTTTCTCTGTAACACTTGGTTTTTATCCAGTACTTCACATTTGCATTGGGATGTTTTTACACCTTGCATTTTGCAACTGATGTAGTTTGATTTATATTATGTAGCCCACAGATTCTGTATCTTGACTGGACAGAACCTGTCACGTGGTATTCGTTCTATTGCTATCTTGCTTTTCATAGGTGAAGGAACTATACCCGCAGTTACCAAAGTGCTAAGCCCCTAGCAACCACAGGACTGTACATGTACGTATAATCACTGGCTTTTTGTGGAAATGCATAGGCCTACTGATGTGCATGCGCGTTGCACATTACGCACATTTGGAAGTGCTAGCATTCACAGAGCTTAGTTTCTCCTTCAGTGATCCATAGAGCATCACGTCAAGAGGCTTACTTCACTGCTCAAAGCAGTTCATACTTGGACAGCATACATGTACATGTACCTCTGTATGCAGAAATATTTTTTAATACAATCAACATTGAAATTAATGAATTTTCAATATGAAAACAACTCTGGTACACCTAACAAACAACTGTTCTAGAAAATGCATGTATTTTAGTGCATTAGATGTACCGATAAGCATTAGGTGCTTATCAGTAGTTTATGGATGTACTATTTGGTATTTTATTGAAGATAAATTCATGTATACAAGTATATTTTCACTGATCTTAATATGTAAATTTCGGCAGTTTATTTAAATTAGTACATACCTTTCACGATACGGGCGATTCACAATGGCATGCCTCAAAGAGTTTGCAACCAGTTGGCCAATCACAATGTGCAAAATCTGTCGACCCTTTCCAAACGCACATTGGATTGACAGATTTCAAGCGTTGTGATTGGCCAACGCGATGCAAAGTCTTGGAGGCGCGCCGTTGTGAAACGCCCGTATTGCTTAATCAAAAATCCACTGTTGCACTATTTGGATGTATTCATGCTATTGAGCCAAATGCTCAGTTTTATTTTTGCGCTCATGAGAATAAATAAACAAGCTTACTCAAACCCATTGCCCTTTGCTTACTTGTGCAGGGGTCTCAGCCGTGTTACGTTTTTTGGGGTACAGCACTCCTCAAAATGTGTGTTTGCCATAGTATTTGAACTGTGAACAAAAGTGAAACTACGCCAACAAAACCGTCACATTCACTGTCACATTCTGAACTATGGGTCATTCCGTGAGACTGGGGCACAATTTGTGACAGTGTCCTTGTTAATGCGTAACATTTACTATCTGTTATGACCTGTAGAGTAGGTCATTTACTTTGTAAAAATAACACACACCTCTGTATAATGTCAATAAGCCCCTTACGAGTTAAATTTGAATAAAATCTAGTACACTGTGTTATCTGATTGCACAGGAACGTAACAATTTGAATTCCCCAGACTAAAGACACTGTTGCTATACCTCGTGCTTCGGGGCAAGCTTTTGCATAGCGACCACCATCTCTGGAATGGACTTGTTCCTTTGTGCCCTTCTTATCCATTGAAAACAGTGTGTTGCTGCAAGGTGGCTCTTATGTAACTAAGCAAAAGCTTGCCCCGAATCACGAGGTATAGCAACAGTGGTTTTAGTATGGAGAATTCAAGTTTTTATGTTCATGTAAATTTAAAGAACTCAGTGTACCAGATTTTATTCAAATTTAAGTCGCAAATGGCTTATTTGGAATCCACATGCGGGGAATAACTGTTCCTTTTTATGAAATCCAATTGACACCGTCACAACTTGTGCCCCAACCTCATGGAATGACCCCTACGCAAATGTAAGTTGCTAACCAGTTTTTAAACATCCACTCAAGTGCATGTAGTCAGTGCGTGCCAGGTCAGCCTCTCTTCCAATCATGGGTTCTCATCTAAGTGTAAACTTATGGTGCTACATATATGAAACAAAGAGATACACTCGAGACAATCACAGGGGACCAGGTGTGGGTGCTGGATTCCACCCTCCCTGACCCTACTAAGCAACAACGGTGGAACGTTTTTCAAAGTGGAGGGGCCAGTTGTGAGACCATCAGGCATCAACCATTTATAGACCAATTCATGAAGCCCCACCCCATTACAGGACCTGCTAAGGGTGTTGGGGGCAGGCCCCACAGTTTAAAAATCAAAGCAACAGTTTCTGGCAAAGCTTCCATCTTGAAAGGTCAAAGGTTAGAAACCAACTTGGCTCCATTGAAAATCCACATGCATACGCTGTTAAACAACAGGTGTGTCAGTTGTGATCGGTGACCAAGCTTCCATCTTCTTGGTCCATGGTTCGAACCCAACTTGCATCTGTACCTTCATTTTGTACATCGAATCCAACTTTGAAGTCTGTTCAATAGTACATCGATACGCATACTGCACTTATTTAGCATGAGGGTCATTCAGGAACAAGTATTCCAGTATAGGTCAGAGACCAGGCTTCCATCCTGGCGGTCCATGGTTCGAATCCCACTTTGGTGTGAGTGAGACGTTATCGTAGTCGAAGTCTGTATCCAGTGAAAAGGGCTGCACTTCATCACTGGAGATCTGTGAGAGAAATACATGTATGAGAAACCTTCCACTGAATGTGTGGTGAACATGACCTGGCTTTGCTGTTACCCAACAAATGGTATCAGAAATCAAAGTATTTGTATCCAAATTACTGAATTTACATTCATACCTTGAGACCTTAAATATGAATACATGTATATGTATCTTGTGAGGCCCATCCCTGGCCCTCCTACAAATCTTGAAGCCATCATCTGGACTGGGAACATACTGCAAATCACTGCTTGTATCTTGAATCAAAACAAATTTGAAAGGCATTACCTTTGAGGAAGGGGAAAGTTGAATTTAAAATTTGGTCACTGACTGTTCATACCTCTAATCCCATCTCTGATGGCGGGCTGTCTCCTGGGGTTACAGCTTCTGGACTTCTCCTGGTTGACATGTCGAGTTCTGTCTGATGAACTGCATCGTTTGACAGGGATGAGACTCCAACCTCCTCCTGCTCTTCTGCCTCTCCGGGAAGAGTCCGCATCTCACATCCTCCTCCTCCGATGACTTCCAGTTGACCTTGTGATATCTCAAGTTTGTCATCTTCTCCATCGTCGGCTCCTCCTATCCTCCTGACGAGGTCTCCGGTGAGCTTCAAGGGTGAGGCACTTGAGCTGTCGACGATTTTAAATGACGACTCATATTGACAGGATGCAAAATCTGCGTCATCATCGTCTGCTCCTGGCTCCTCTTCAGAGAGCTCAGCATCTTCAACAAAATTGTCCATCTGCAATGCATTTATTGTAAAATAAAAACATTATCATCTTGGGTGTAAAAGCGGCAAGACAAGACAAAAGAGAGTAAGAGAAACAGGCCATATTTTTGAGCGAGTACTAGCACTGTTAACATTGGTAGGAGCATCCATCACTTTTTAGACATGCACTGGTGACACTGCTTACGACCACATCAACTATTTTAACAAATCACAAACTATGAAAACAATACTAAACTTATTATTTTGTTGCAAAATTATCCTACCTGAACAAATCTTGGTCCCGTGGTCAAATCTGTTATTTGGCGTGTTGGAGCATAATGTCCCTCATCTAGCTCCTGGTTAAAAATACAAATATTTCAACTAATTGTCTTTAAGCAGTCCCCAACAATATTAGCATTTTAAAGCTTCCAACATTTATACATTCAACTCAAGAATATTAACATGTATCTGCACAAATGAGCTGCCTGAAAGAATTATTTCGGCATTTCAGAAAAAAAACTCCCGTCTTTCAAAGGTGAACCCACCTCCATTTCAATGTCGCCCTGTTCACTGTCAGCTCTTGACGCTTTTGGATCTTTATGTTCTTCTGTCCTATGTGACCTCTGACCTCCTGCTGGCTCACCGTCCTGTTCTCTCAGCATTTTGTGGAGCTGACAAGCCTGGTGCTCCATGACATCCTCTGTATGAAAAGGAAATATTGAATGCTCATGATCACAAGGGAGTAGCGTTAACATCTATAACGCACCTGTTCTGGACAATCAAAATGCAAGTATTGAAGTCACAGGGGATTAGGAAAGCCTTTGATGTGGTTATTTTGAATGCCCATGTGACTTGCATTACACAGGGAATGGACGATGCAATTTGAAAGATTAATTTTCAGACCAATTTATAAAGGGAATAAGAAATTACATATATCATAGTGTCGCTGGGAACCTTTTGGATTCGATGAAGTATAAGGTAATATTTGTTTGACCAATGGGAATCAGGATCTGTTCCTCTCATATTAGCAATATATTGTTCTCATATATTGTTCTCTCAATCCTGATGGGTATCATCAAGTACATGTATCAGAGATCCAATTCATCGAGTCCTTGTCATTTGATTGGTGGAACTCAAATCACATGACTTTCGCTAGTATTGCTGCCATTCACGTTGTGGCTAAAAATGTCCCATTTGCCCATGGAGAATGGAATTTATAATTCAACAATATAGATCATCCTTGTTCCCACGGCTTTTGAACAGAGCAACAGATGACCCTCAGTAATTTTGAACAGCAGAGTGCTGCAGACCAAGCTCTCGGGAGGTTGTGACCCGTTTTCATGCTGCTTAACAAACACACACTTGTCATAGTGGCACATCATTTCACATGCCAACGTTTATGTTTGTTTCGGACATTGATTTAAAGGACTTAACTGATGCAGCAGTCTCGGATCTGTATGTCAGTTATAAAAAAAAAAAAGATTGTGAAATAGGAGGAATATTATCACTCAATAAAATCTTAACTTTTCCATTTCACTTGAGGGAATGTCAAGATTTTACCCTGCAATATTTCTCCCATCACACTCTGAATCACTCAATATTTGATTACTAGAGCACCAGACCTGTATGGTCACAGTCCGCATAAAAAATAAGACATCAAATTCAATCGACAAAGCCCAGCCCAGCAGGCCTTCGCAAAATTCAAACCCTGAGCACGCATGGCATGTAACCTTTTTTGAGTCCTATGAAGCAGCTCATGAATTCCTCATAGCTCTGCTCTGTCTTGCCAAGGACTGTCTCTATGGCACTCCTCATGTGGTCCTGCTTCATGTGCGTTGGGGAGTTCGTACAGTTTTCCTGTTCATGATTTCTCGCAGCCATTTTTCAGCGGACATAGATTCAGGATTATATAGCTTGACAATTAAGAAAAGATCATGGGCAGAACAACGAAAAGATTCTAGTCCTATATTCCAACTGAACAGTTTCCACCGTCATAGGTCCTCATCTCAGGTCCGATGGTTTTTCGTAGAATTTATGTTATGTGTATCTAGTTGAAAGAGTTGGAAGAAAGATTAGAAAAAACAAGATTACAGTAGTGAATTGAAGTGTCATCATAGGCAAGTTAAATGGTTAAACTAAGCATAACTGTTCGGCCTAGGCCTAACGTCTGAACGTTATGCCTAATTTTTTAGATCATGATGTAGGCCTAGTACTAGTAGTAGTAGATGTAGCCGCCCACAGCACAAGCACGGTAGCCCATCTCAAAAACTCAAGCAGCAGCCTAGCCGGAGCTGAAACTTCACATGTGCGTAAAGACACTCCTTCTATTTAGCAAATATGAGATTTGAACTCAATCATACAAATGTTTTTGCCGGTCATTTAAACTTCAAGGCTAGCATTGTAGCAACACTACAGGCCGAGATAAAGTGATGTTGGGGGCCGCCATGTTGTGGCCTTAGTCGCCTCATATAAATATTACAAAAGCAAAAACAAGTATTTGTGTAATTTATGTAGTTTTACTTATGAAAAATATTCATAATAACTTAATTACATATTTTTAAATCTGCTAAAATTATTAACTAAGTTTTCTTTTATCCAAACAATCATTTAAAAATAAGGTAATTAGGAAAGATTTGCTTGTGCGCACGCGTACTTCAATTTGCCATGCAACGAAATGACGCTCCGCTTGAAATGCACCTTGCCATGCATTGCCATAATACACGATCACCAGTCCGACGTCTCGACCTGTCTCGGTGACAAACGTTCACAAAGAAGACAAATGTGAATGGTATTGTATTAGGGGCTAAACGGAAAGATTTCAGTCCTTGATTCTTGAATTTGAACAGTAACCTATCCGCGGCAAGCCACCCCTAGCACAGTTTCTAAAGTACTCTTGCAGGAGAGAGTTGCATAGGCCTATCGATATGAATGCCACTTGACACCCTGTTTACAAAACCTATGTCATATGAGACTGGTCTGGAAAATGCTAGGCTAAGTGTTTTCTAAGTAAACAACTTGGTTTTTTCCTTCCTAAATCGGACTTTTCTGGACGTTTCTTTGCATTCTGATGGCTAAGTAGTACTGGGGAATAATAAATTAGTTGCATCGGTATCATGGAACTCTTCCCTTATTGCATAGGCCAAGTGGGTAGTAGTGGTGTCTGGGGTGTCAATGAACATGATGAATAAACTTTCGTCAGGGAGTAGGGGCCGTAATAAGCGTACTGTTGACAGTGGCATTCTGCCAAATTTGAAAACCAACATTTATGACTTTAAAAAGCTGAACAAGAACCTCAGTCTTGAGGTCAAGTAGAATTATCACCATGCATGTCCAGAGGATCGCTTTTCAACCAAATTTAACATGTTTATGGTATTTCAGCTGGATAAGAAAATGCAAACAGTGAGAATTGCTGTTAGAAAAACAAGGCCTACTGACGAACATCCTTTGCAGCTTGTGCTTTCAAAACCACACCGTATGTAGGCCTACTGGGGATTTAAGGATCTTTATCCTGTGGGTAAAGACCAGCAGTTTCCACCATGTCACTGCGGACGCGGATCAACGGCTTCACATCATGGGTGAACCTGCGACTCAAGCCCTACAACATGCTTATGAACAATGTGATCATGGATCTACTGAAGGGTACCAACCTCAAGATGCTGCTGCAGAGTGAGTCATCAAGAAAGGCACCTTGATCTTAACTGCAGCTTTCCCAGTCCCAGATCCTGCAAAATCCACCAGGAGTTTTTGGAGGATTTTGTAGGATTCAGGCAGGTTTAGCAATGCCACTTTCACATAATTTCAAAGAGCAAGAAATGCCTTGTTAGTTTCATACATGTATACAATGAATCAGTTTGGAGGATTCTGGAGGTTTTTCAAGCAAAGATATGTTGGAGTGTAGTAATTTGGCTGATACCATTTCCAGGCAAAGCTTTAAAGAAAAGCTGTGCATGATCTCAGAAACAACCAACGTTAATTTGGGGGGCTTAATTTTCAGCAAATTTTGGGGGAAAATTGAAATTGTTTTTGGGGGGAGTTAAGACCAGAAATGGCAAGAAATTATATACTTCAAAGTATTTCATAAACATGAAAGCCACATGTGATTTGACTTGTCATTGACAGAATTGCTTATCCGGGAATAAAATGATTTCTTTTTCAGATTCTGACTCAAATACATGTTCCACATCTGCAACTCTTTAATTGCAGATGTTCTTTCCAAATTTTGCATTCTTCTTAAGCTTTTCTCCATATCATTTTATTTCTTATGAATTTTAGGCATGACAGGTATTGATAACAAGAAGTTACAGAACTTTGATGGGATGACGCAGCAGCAGAAGACGACCAGGGTGGAATGGATCGTCAAGGAACTGAAGGAGTCGTGAGTGTCAGTAAACTACAAATGGCTGGCAAAACACGAAAGCGAAGCCAAATTAACCCCGCCGTCATGAAATATTTCTTGCAAACTTTGTTCAAGTTGAAATGTCTTCAACTGCGAATTCGCAGCAAAAAAAGTGGATTTGATGTCACGATTTCCAATTCGTGTTCACTTCCATGCCATCTGTGAACTTGCCTGAAGGAGTGCCCCAGCAATGGACAAGTGCCGTATTGTCGGGAAAGTCTCATACTTAGATGCTTGAACTGGGGCTGTTCTTTATGCAATCATTCAGGGACATAAAAGCTTAACATATGTTGATATCCGCTCCGAGCGGAACAAAAGAGGGCGTGTTGTTTTTGGTACTCACCGCATAGGCGCGCCATGAGGCGCGCAAGTATATGCGCGTTTAATGTGGAGCACGCTGAGTACGCGTAACCAATTTATTGCGGCATGTATGGTCTTTGTGTACATGCTGAACGCATGCAAGAACCCGATCGTAACCACCTGTCTTTCTTTCGCCTATTGATGGTGCACTTCAGCTCAGGGCGGATAGCCTAATCTGACTACCAGAAATTGGAAGCTGTTGCTGAAGACTTATAGTAGTGTTCTCATGCATAGGTTGCAGGCACGCATTAAGTGGCTCTTTGACCAATAAAGACTGGGTGCTGTTGTCTTGATAAAGGCCACGCCCATCTCAAAGTTTTGGAAAGTAGGCAACTTTTGGTGTAAACACAGAAAAGTCCAATCCTGTTTCTCCCTCCCCCCTAGAGCAGGAACGAGAGAGGGCCCAGTTTTCAGTGGCACTGGAATGGAGCAATGGAACTTGGAAGCTCCTTTGGTGGGAACTGCATTTAGCTAGTTCACAAATGCCTGCGAAATACATGTGTTGCGGTCGCATTGCTAACAACAAAATGAACACTCCCAACCAACCTGGCTCTTTTCAACCTGTGAGGGGGTGCTTCTGCTCAAGGCGGATTCCAGAAAAGGATCAGCCTAATGGAGCAATTATGCAAGGGTCTGCCTTCCACGGTTATTGTGTAACACAAACTGCATTGAGAAACCAATGTTGAAATGCAATGTTTGTCGTTGTGTTGTTTACTGTTTACAGAGAGGTCATACCAGATGATGTTTTTGTGGATTGTCGACTCTTTGCCATGAGACACGCTGACCATGTGAGTAGACAAACAGCATTTTAACCTTCAACCTCACAAATTTGACTTGAAGAATTTTGTTTCAAATTAAAAAAGAAGTTGGTTGCAAAAATGTGGTGATGTTATCACTTCAAATAGAGCACGTTTATCAAAGAGAAATTAATATGTGATGAATTAAGACTCTGCTGGTTGCGTAAGATAAATTTCAGCTGGTGACATTCAAACTTTTATTCGTCTTTGCACCTCTTTTGTCGGTAAGGTTTTTGATTTGCTGTGGCGACTCTCTTCCCACGACATCTGGTTCACCTGGGAACGGCTGGAGTACCTCATGCACGGCGACGATAAAATCCTCTGTGAGGTGCCCTTCGAGGTTGGCCAATCTCTGGATCTTTCAGACTGTCGTAAAAAAATGCATTCCGTATCATGTGTCCAGAATTTGTCTCACAGAAATCCCGTGGAACTTGTCCCGTTACTCGAACAAGCATTCTTGGCGAAAATAATCTCTCCATTTGGGCCTCTTGTCAGGGCTCTGGTTGTTTGTCTATTAGCAAGGAATGTTGGTTTACAACTACACATGCCTGCATACCTAAGCTAAAGTACAAAATGTTGATGCTAGACTTGTAAGCATAGAAAGATGCTAGAGTGTTGTTATTTGGACCTGCATGGTAATGTACCACGTTTCAATCAGATAGCATGTCTAGTTTATCGCAAAATGTTGATAAACCAAGCCTCATCTCATAGTTTTCATCAAACGGACCATATCCTTCCCGAGTGATTCCCCGTTCACCGCGTCCCAGGTTTGTAGAGGTATTCCAGAGGTCCTAGGTTCAAACCCTGCTCCAGTCAATTTTCTGTGATCATATACATCGTCAGTATAAAATCAGGACCACCAAGAAGAGAGTGAAAAGGACGTGTTACTTTGATAAATCAACTCCTCACATACCCTTTCCTTTTGGTCTTCCATTTTTGGTTCCTTTTTCAGTGGACTCCAAGACCACCTCCGGAGAAGAAGAAAAAGAAGAAAGTGAAATATAATAAGTCGCTGCTGTCCGGCTTTGGGGGGGCATCTTTGGTCGCCGAAACTCACCCATCGTCTCCCGTGAGTGAACTACTAACTCAGTTGGAAATCTGCAATTGCAAAAGTGCAGGAAAATATGGGTGACTCACAATATGGTGCGCCACCAAGAGGTCGTGGAGAAGCCTTTTTTTGCAATGTATTGTGGGATATGGTCAACCAGTTTTGTTAGTCAGCATTGCAGGGGAAACTGAGAAACGCATTTTGAAGATATTTGGATCAACACACACGCTTTTACGGAACATTTGCCCTCAGTGTGGGCATGCACCTGATGACGCTGAATACACAGTTGTAAATTTCTTTGGAGATGACATCCCAAGAGAGAGATCTATCGAGTGGAATTTGCAGTTACTATTAAATGAACACATGATTAGTAATGCTCTCTTTCTATTTAGGAACCACCGGAGCCAGTGACAGCTGTCAAGGGGCCGCTGCACATCAAGTACCCAGGCGAAGACTTCTGCAAGAAGTTTAAGCCCAGCAAGAAGTCCTGGCCCCAGCCCAGCCCGGAGGATTGCATCATGGAGATGGTCAACACTCTCTTGAAGGTTTGGGACAGCTCAAGCATTACCTTGTAACCCACCCTTCGAGTCGAGTCCATCGCAAGTCCTTTCACAAGTCCGGTCCCGAGTCCTTTCGTAACACCAGTCTCGAGTATTAACAGGATGAACACTGAAAATGGAATGCTTCTGCCACACTTCCTTGGAATAGCTTGGGACTTGGCTTGCATCGGGATGGCTTGTGATTTGTTTGTGATGGATGGACTTTGACATACGATGCACCCCACTACAATACAGGCCTCCACAAGAGTGCAGATTTGAGTAGCACAGCAACGCCATATCATATATCCAAAAAAGGATTGAAACTTTGTAATTGAATGTGTATACATGTAATTTGAAAAAATACAGCCAAGGAAAGGGGCTTATTGAGTATGAACCCTCTGAAAGTTTGTCGTGAATCATGAATGGTGCGTTGTTAGAGTGTCCGAACTATCTACATGGAAGTACGGTATTGTACTACAATTGGCTTAGAGTTGGGTTGTGTGTCCCAATCTAATGGTTTGGTCAAAGTCTAGGTCTTTCGTGGTGGCAAATACGTGGCCATACACTTACAATTGAGGGTTTGCATGGCTGCCATCTTGCAGGCCACTGCTTTTGTTCCACAGGGTATGCACAAAGGAGGTTTCCCTGTGGAATAAAAGATCTGTCCTGCAAGATGGCTACCATGCAAACCCTCTCTTGACATAGCTGTAGCTCTGAAAGCTGTAACGTCCAAATATTTTGGCTATGGTAGAGAATAAGCATGCAGCCATGAAAGCCACTAAACACTGGCTACAATTACCCCCAGTAGACTTGTGTGTCGTCGCTAGCCAAAGCCAAAAGCCCAGACGTAGCATAAGAGCCCACATTACCAGCCAGGCTTGAGTTTGGACGTGCATCATGCAGTTAGGTTGTTGGCTCCAGGTGACATTGCTGATGCCTTTAAATATGAGCCAGTGAAATGGTTTAGCATGAATATGTATGAGATGTTATAACACATCCTGCGCTGGTTGCATTCTGTGTGTTCTACTTTTTTGCAGACGACAAGAGAAGGGAGGAAGCTGAATGTGGAGGTAATGCGCTATTTTTAGATCGTTTGAATCATCGGTGTTGGTAGTTGCAATATACGCCATTCAAATGGGAGAAAATTTGCAGTTATACGAGACATGAATGCCATTTCATTTGCTTTTAATTTCAATGAAGTCTGTCATTGGATGGGGAAGATATTTTGAAATGGCTTAAACTGTTATCTCAGCTATGAGAAGGACAACATTCTGGAGTCTTACAGTATGTCGTTTAACCATTGTACAACCCCAAACCACTCTGCCTGTTACTCCTTGTACCATCAGAAACTGTCACCAATATCGTATTGATGTACAGATTTGTTCATATTGAGATGTAATGTAGTACGGTGTAATTCGCTCAGAGCGAGAACAAGAGAGGGCGTGTTTTGTACAGGAAAACTGTGGACTTTTGGTGAGAAATTACCGCACAAACGCACAAGTTTATGCACATTTGGCGTGGACCTGCTGTGAGTACTCACAACCAATTCATCGAGGGATATACGGTCTTTTGAATGAATCCAGTTGAAAAACTTCCCACCAACCTGTCATTCCTTTGCCTGTGAGAGTGTACTTCAACTCAGGGTGGATACAATTGTAGGTGGGCTCCTACACTCTTGGGCTGCATCCGAATCTCTTGTCTAGAGCTAGGTCTAGGTCTTTGCTCCATTGGAATTGCGTTGAGACCCACAGACAATAGACCTAGCCGTAGCTCTGGAAGCCCATTTCGGACACGGCCTTGGTCTGTAGTTGTACAAGATATTCTATACATCAGTATTTGCACTGGCTGCGCTAGTAAGCAGGAGGTTGTGGGGTTCGAATCCGACCAGAGTAAGCTCGTGAATTTTTTCACAAGCCCTCAGACAACGTTGAGTATACATTGTCGTGATTACCAGTCGAGGGCCAAACCCCCAACGTGAAAAACAATTTAACATCAGTGGTCATTTTGAGTTTTGCCTGTTACATTGATTTCAGCGCCTGGACGACCTTGTGGACAGTCGCGTCCTGTGCGCTCTGGTCAATGCCTTCGTCCCGGGCACCTTCACCAGCGAGGTCATGCTGAATGACCGCTGGACGATCAACCTTGCTCTCAGGACCTTTGACAAGCTGGTGCGCATTGTGACCCCCGTTGACTCCCAAGATCTGGTCGAGGTAGGCCCGATCAGATAATGTTGCCTTTCTACGTCACAGATTTCATCGCTGCCGTGTGTTCAGAATGTCTATTAATCTGAACGTGTTGTTATCTTCTTTGATTGGCCCAACCTGCTGATGCATTTCCTGTGTGACTCGTCACCTTAAAGCAGCCACAATTAAGTATTCTGCAATGTGATATTGGTCTGGTGTTGTTAACATAAAGGAATATGAAGAGACAGAGGGGGACCAGTTACAAAGAATAAAGATTGCCTGAGATGTTGGTCGGTTACCTGTTGAAAAAAAGAAAGTCTTCCTCTGTGCGTAGTGAATTCCTTGCTTAGCAGCTCTCTGGCACTTTGCCATCTTGGCCATATTGCACTCTCATCCATGTTTTTTAACTGTCCACTTATCTCCTCTAGGCCGATGCTATGGCCGTGAGCACCTACATGGCAGTGTTCTTCATGTGCGGTTTCAAGCTACGCCAGTCCAAAGCTGTGCTGGGCAGGCTGGTAAGAAATTTTCACAGGAGAATATTAAGCTGTGTAAGTTTAAACCGCCATGACGCTTATCGCCATTAAAGGGGGCCACTGCAAGCGACCAGTGATGGCGTTACTATTGTCACAGGATTCATCTACCCTTGACTAGTTGTTTAAAATCAGCACGGGTCTAGTCTATCAGAATCCAGGGAACTTACAAATGTTTGCTCAGCAAACTTTTGTTAACTCAACATCAGATTACTTGAAAATTCATGTGTACCTCAAATTCATGTTTCATTCTAATCAAGAGAAAGGGATATGTACATGAATGGCTGTGTCTCAAAATACCCACATCAGTACCTCCGTTTCACTCAAAGGTCTCTTCAGCCGATACGAAAGAAACGATTCCCAAACAGTGTCTGTTATTCACTGCAGTGCAAGAAGATGGACCAGGGACATGCCCCTTACCTTAGGCAATTGGGGGCTCAGATGTTTTTTAGAGGACAGAAAAATACCCCCAAAAAGGTATTTTCTATAGTCTCAGGAAAAACAAATAAGGGTCTGCAAGTCAGAGGAAGGAATAAAAAATGTTCTACCCCTCCAAAAAAGGGACCAAAACTCACCAAATTGAAATCGTGACCTCCCATGGGCCGGACAGCAGAGCAAAAACACTATTTTTGGACCTTTTTTTGTAAACTGTTGGTTGGTGGATCCAATAAGCAATTTATTTTTTTTCTAGTTCTGAATCTGGGAGGTCGACGGATTCAAGCACCAACTTAAAACTCTTGTTTTAGATTCAAAAGAGTTCCCCCTCATATGCTTGCCTATGAAATGCTGGATTTCTTAATGTGCCATGTTCCGGCTTGTTGCACAAGACCTCGTACAGTGATGACGAAAGAGAGAGAGAGAACGAGTCCCACTTCTGCTGCGCTTTTGTTATCTGCCTTTGCACTCTGCTTTAATACACAGGAGCAATATGGGCTTGTGCTCATTCTGGTGAAACTCAAGCTCCTACGCTGTGCATAATGCATGTGCAAACCACTGTGCACGTGCGATATTGGAGCTCTTGTGTCTAGTCATCAGCACACACAAGGAGACGATGAAGATTCATGCATATTTAAATTCTGCGATAATGAAATTTACTCCCAAGATGTCCTCTCTCATTTGCACACGGCTTCCATACCCGAAACGGAGAGCATTGCGAAAATCCACACAAGCCTGCATATTTTGTGCTGTTTTCTTACCAGTTACCATCATTGTTATTTGTTTCTTCTGACAGAAAGAGCTGGAGCATTTGACTCGGGCTGCCAAGCACGAGCTGGATGCCCTGCCGGAGATTCTCAGTGATGTGGACATGATCCAGAAACGCAAAAAGCTCAATGAGGTCCTGCAGGGTTACGAAACAGGTGGGTTGGATGCCACTGGCAAACTTGTTGAGTCTCCTTGGTTGCTAGGCTACACAGCATCAGCTCCATTTTGGCATGTTAGATTCCACATACTTTGATTTTGTACGCATTCAGTTGAAAACTGAATCACGGAGTGATTTGTACCATTTGGGTGGGGCCAGGACCACAATGCACACCAACTGAATTACATCAACAATCCAGTTGTGGAAGTTAGCTCTTTCAACAAACAGGCTACACAAGGCTGCCAACATTCCCGTGCTAGAACTCGTGACCAATTTAATTGTTGATTATGTCAATATTTATTTGCCTATCAGAGGTGACCAAAATCAAGAGCAAGTTTGACGTCAAGGCGTGTGAGGACTGGCGGAAGCACGTTGCAAATATCCAGGCTGAGGTATTATCATTAATAAACCATAGACGTTGTTTGAAAGTAGGACCCCAAGGGATCATTGGCAGTAAAGAGAAAATAAATTTCCATTGAAGGCCTTACAAATCAGACAGTGAGGTACTTGGTCTGAATTTGTCAACCAACATGTGTGATTATTGATAGCGGGTTTAAAAATTTAGACTAGATATGATGGGATTGAGGAAAGAGCTCAGACTCAAGTCGGTGTCATTTTCCAAGGTATGCTTGTACATTTTGTGATTATAAATATTTATAAATATTTGCAATAAATGCATATTCAATGCATTTGGTTATCAGAGCCTTGATAGCAGTGGTTAATTTCCCTCTGTCTTGCCATGTATTTATCATGGGGTCGCAGAACCAATGTCGAAGATGAGACCATCACAAGACGAGACACAGGACCAGACACAAGACCTGACACAAGACCAGACACAAGACCAGACACAAGACCACACACAAGACCACACACAAGACCAGACACAAGACCAGACACAAGTCCAACACTATATCAAATGCAAGACGAGTCACAAGACCATTCACAAGTAACAGGGTGAGCAATGCCAAAGGAATGGTTTTGTTGCAGTTTGAGTAGCTTGTGACTTGAATTCAGACTGGAGGTCTGAAAATTGTCTGATTGTGCTAGACTTTCTGTGAAGGACTTGATTTTTTCGGTCTGTGCAGCATGAATATACTTGATTGAAACTTGATCGATTGTCAATTTTCCTTTGTTTGTTCTCAGACCAGAGAGATCGTTTCCAAGAAAATGAGGGATAGATTTGACGCACTGACAATACCAAGGTGAGAAGGAAACAATTCAGTGCATATCTATCCATCCATTTAAGATTGATTTTTCTGTCAATCGTTGCAAACCATCCTAATCTCATTCTACATCTCTCTCTTTTTTCTCTTTGCCAGGGGAGCCACTATCAACGACCTCTGCCTGTCCCTGGTGGTCAACCTCACCCTGACCAACGGCTCAGGATTTTACCTCTCCAAGGGGCGGGAGATGGTGACCCCCGACCGGCGCATAGTCCTGCGAGACCTGAGCACGGGGGAGTTCATCGATGACTTCACCCACGGCAAGGGCGTCAGTAAATGTGAGACTAGCGAATTCTGGAATTTGAATAATTGAATAAATAACCGTCGTTTAACTTGTTGACCGCCAGCAGTATGTATGCAGGACAGCTTCTTTGCTAAGCAATTTCTTAATCCTGTTGAGGTGGGAAATTTTAACACAACCACACAAAAAAAAGAAAAAGAATTATACCATGTCACCCATAGATAGAATGGTGAAGAGCTAGTCACATGGTATTCTCTGTGTTTGCTGTCTTATATTTGTTATGGCCAAAAAGTATACACAGCCGAATGACTGTACCTGACAAGCAACCAAATTACAAAACCTGTAGCGACCAAACAACTATACACTATCACCAGCATTGTTTAAAAAATGTATACAAGTGTGCGCATTGCATGGTGCACACATTCCAAAGTGCTAGTCCTACCCATTTCTAACTCAAAACATAGACATTCAATTCCTGTTTTTTTTTCAACCTTTACATTAATTGAAAAATAATCATTATTTTTCATCTGTGTAGCACCTTTCATTGAGCCAATGATTTCCAGTTATCAGATCGTGGTGAACAATTTTTTTTCTTATGACAATACAGGGCTTGGCCATCTGAAGCGAAATGTATGGTAAAAATGCTTGACTGAAATCTTTCCATTTGTATTGAAACTCCTTACAGATCTTCTTGATTCATATGTCTAAATATATTGGTCAGACAAGTGCCCATGTTGATTTATTGTTTCATTCCATTTTCTTTTCAGTTAATATCCGCAAAATGCTGGGAATCTCAAGCTACGACGTCGTCGAGATAAACCCAAATGATCATCCACAGTTTGAGGTAAAAATTCTTGTCTTGTTTCATGAAAGATGACAGAATCACTGCAGAGGTATTTCCAACGAGCCTGACATAAATGTTGCATTGGGTTTGGAAGCAAAATTGGAATGGTTTAACTGTTGCTGTTGCAAAGAACCTTTTCTCACGCTTACGTGAAGGTGATGTGACCAAGATGTAGCTGACAGACATTTGCTTGGGACTGCAAGGGTACAAGAATAAAAGCTTGGAAAATAATTTTAGCTTTCCCATTTAAAAGTTTTGAAGCCGTGTTCTCCTTCCTGCCTGCCTTTCTGTTTATCTCAAACCTGTGTGTGAGAGGTATCATTTGTCACTTTATGTTCATCAGATTTTTCTGGAGAGTCCGTCCAAGAACAAGCTGCTGAAGACTGGAGCAGTGTAAGTCTCTGATCTGGTTTTGATGTCACTCTGTGGCAGAGCAATGGAATGTTGCAGAATACGAGGTTGCAACAAGAAATGTTGTACAAACGTTGTACATGATTATCACTGAAATGTTGTACAAACGTTGTACATGATTATCACTATTCAGTATTTGTGGCATTTGGTTGTTTAGAATGTTGGCTGGTTTATCTTGCCTTGATCAAAGTTCGAGATTTTCTACCCCAAAATGACACCGTCTACTGTGGTCATATTACAAAGCGTGTACAGCTATACATGCAAAATACTTGTGCATGTGATTTGTCTTTATGAAGATCAGAAATTTTAATCTAATCTCTGAATTTTACAGTGTTCTTGTAGCTTGCCCAAGATGGCTTCCCCCAGCCTGAAAGGGCTCGATTTGGAAAAATGCTCACTCATCCATTTTCTTGCTTTTCTGTCTCCTCAATTTTTCTTATGCCACGTCCTTCCCGACGACGCAGATTCCTGTACCAGGTCTTCCCGGGTAACTTCTCCCAGTGGGAGGGGCTGTTTTTCAAGGCCTGCAAGTTGGGAGAGCTGGACATCGTCCAGAAGATGGTGGTCTTTTTTCGGGACAAGAGGCCCGGCTTCATCAACGCCAAGGAAAAGAAGACAGGCAACTCGGCACTGCACATGGCAGCGAGAAACGGGCACTATGTGAGTATGGTGAAGGTGACCCAAGAAGGGAATGAAATGTGTTGGAGCAGTTTTAGACTTGTTTAACAGGATTGCTGGGGCCGTTTTCCAATACTCAACTTTGTCTCCGTCTCAGGCTTCATTCCCAAAACCAATCCCCGATTGTGGGCCTGAAGCATTTAAATTAAATTGGATTACTGTAATTTTTGGCTCTCTTGCATCTTATTTGATGTTTTGTGGCACTATTAGACTAATTACTGCGCTTACATCTTCAAAGTCAGCAAGTTAAAAAACAGTTGAAGCCTGAGACGGAGCCGAAGTTGAGTATTTGAAAACGGCCCAGCCATCTTTAAAATTGGGGAAACCTGGAAAAGGAGTTTTCCCTTTTTTTTCTAGTCAGACAAAAGGCAGTAATGTTTAGAAAAATGACTCGCTTAAAAAGTCATGAAATTTGATTGGCCTAAAAGAGAAAGAGGGATGGGGTCACTGAAATGGCCTAAAAGGAAGGCAAGATCCATCAATTTCATGAAGCTTTTTTGATGGGAAAAAAAGAACAATGAGTGTGGAGACGTTCATTTGTTGTTCAGAAAATGAGGCGTCCGTTCTTTCCAAACAGCTCTCCCTCGTGTTTCTTGGCAGTTTCACTTTCTTATAGATTTGGGCATAAAATGTACTTTTTGTTTGTTTTCCAATTCTATAATGCAGTGAGAATGTTGGAAAATCGAGGAGTGTATATCTGAAAAAAAGCCTTAGAATGTTAATTATCAATAAAAAAATTGATAATGATTGCACCGTTTTACAGATTTCTAGCATCTCAGATATAAAGGTACGATCATAAAAACATGTCATGTAACTGCACATGTCTGTCTTTGGGAGCTCACTGTATAGGCTGATATGTTTTAATGCCCAGGATATTCTACTGTTTCTACTGGAGAACGGAGCCCACATCGACGCCAGGAATGCTAACCTGGCCAGTGCCTTCTTCAACGCTGTGGAAGGTCTGAACAGAGGAATAAGCCAGGTAAGTCAGGCTGCCACCAGATGGAATCCCTCGCTGAACTCGACTCTGACCTAACGACAGTCTGAGAGAGAAAAACCATTAACACTTTCTTTGGAGAAACCACATCAATCAATAAAATTCTGTGTGGAATATTTTTGTTCATAATTCTGACAGGCACCATTTCTTGTTGCCTTCGCAATGATCATCCCTACCCCCCCGGTCATTTAGCTTCATCTCTAAAACCTAATCTCATTCAGAAAAGTCATGGCCCTAACAGCAATAATGCATCTCTCTCTTTGCGGTTAACATAGAGCATCCAACCTTACCTGCTATTTACTACATTGAGAAATGCAATTATGGTAAAGTGCCTTGCTGAGGGACACAAAGTCCCGAGGCTCCATAACACTGATGTCAGAATACATGTGCATTATCACAACACCGAGTCAGGGGACCATATTTCCTGCGGATGTCCAGATACATTTTGGTGACATAACCAGAGGATTACATTTTTATGTGGGAGAGTTGCTTCCAAATGCCTTGTAAAGCGACACTTCCAGCCCATACTGGGGCAAGAACCCAACTCGAAAATAAAATCGATGTCGGAAAGCAATCCAAAATGGAGCCCCAAGATCCATTCATCCCAGCGTAGTTTTAAACTGCCTCGATTAGGAACACAAAAGTTACCTTCCTGGCTTGCTTTGACCCATTGCTCAGCACATGTATGTAAGACTCACATTATCAGTGTGCTATGTTATTTAATGTATTTTTAAACTCTTAACCATTTGAATTGAATATTGTTCAGTGACTTTGCCAGATAATGTAATTAACCCATGACGATTGTTCCTGCTTTTCCCCTGGCATGATTTCCTTTCCACATTCCCTCCCCTTTGCTCTGCAGCTTTACCGAGTTAGTGACGGGACAGGAAACGCAGTCTATGCTCGCAACATGGTACCAACGCTTTGCTTACCTGCTTTCACCGTCAATCCCAACCCAAACCCTAACCTCAGCCCCAAGCCCTACCCTAACCTTGGCCCTGAACCCAATCCTAAATTCAACCCTACGCTCAGCCCTGAATCCAACCCTAACCTGAGCCGTATACCCCATCCTGACATGAGCCCTAAGCCCAACCCCAACCTGAGCCCCAAGCCCAACGCTAACCTGCACCCTGAGCCCAACCTTGACGTCAGCCTTCAGCTCAACCCTAACCTCAGCGCAAGCTCAACCGTAACCTTGGCCCGTAGCCCCAACCCAAACCTCACCCTACCAAAAGCACTGCTCCACCCATAATGATCCTCATTGCACGTCCTAACTCTGACGTCATTCCCAACACTGATTGAATCCAACTCCAACAGCCTTCAAATCCACAGAGAATGTTTCATCTGCCCCCGCTTAACCCTGTTAATCCCAGTGTCATAGTGCTTGGCCGACTACTTTTCGTACTTTTGTCCTAAGAACTTAATTTTCACAGCTGTGATTGTCTGAAGTCTTTAATTTAGTCCAGTTTCCATCAGTTCAATCCAATTTCCATCAGTTCAGTCCAATTTCCATCAGTTCAATTTCCGTCATGTACTTCAGCTTTGGTCACATCTAACCAGTTCAACGTTTGGAAATTGGTATTAGTACTTGAAAAGTGCATGACCACATCACTGCTGGAAACCTACACGTAACTCTCACTATTTGGAATCCGGTCACAAATCACTCAAATCTTACTGTTCAGTAGTTAGTACTGTGAAATGTTAATCTTTGTGTGATCTCAGTTTTGTGCAGATACATTGGAAACTAATGACTTTGTGTAATGTTTAAATTTGGAAAATTGCCATTGCATTTAATGCGTTTTGTAGAATTTTTAACTAACGTTGTTTCACGTATTAATTCATCACTTTGAAAGCAGGTAAAAATATGTCTTACATGTTTTGATAAAACAGTTTCTCTGCATTAAACCTACGTGTATCTTTTCGACTAACAAACTCCAAACTTAATTTGCTGGTATGTGATTGGTGTTCATTGAGCTACTAACCTGTTTTTTTTCATTTCATGGTAGCCAACATTGAGCTCTGATTCTTCTGCCTTTTCTTCTTTCCTATTGGCTCAAGCTGGACCTCACTTTCTGTGATTGGTCGAATTCTGACCTGGGCTGGTATGCATACTAATAACCTTGGATGTGTACTTGTAACTCGGTGTTGTAGTCAAATCCATTACAAGTCCTCACACGCTCTCACACGTTCTCATACATCCTCACATGTCCTCACAAGTTTATCACTACAAGTTAGTCAAGTCTAGTCTCAGTTTAAGTCACAAGTTGTCCAGATGACCCTCAATGAAGACATTCCCTTGACATTGTTTATCAGTACTTGTGACAAAGCTGTCATGTCAGTTTGTGCATTCCTCTTGTGCCTTTTTAATGCTGTGTTAGGGGAACCCTGTAAACTCAACTTAAATAATAATAACAAACACTTGTAAAGCGCCATCTATCTAGTAAACTATTCCGAGGCCCTGTATTATCATTATCCCTGCACATTGGGCTCACGCATCATTCTGAAACCATCTCAGCTCCCTGGGGAGTGTACTAGCCCAGTGATGCCATTTTGGCATAAACGGCTAAACGTAACCGTGTCTGCCCTCACAGGTACCCATTTACTCCTGGGTGGAGAGAGGCACATAGGGGTAGAGTGACTTAACCCAGGATCACAACATGTTGCCACCAGCTGGATTCGAACCCCTGAACGGAAGCTACAAACCCTAACCACTCGGCCACATGCCTCCCACTTGTCAAAAAAGACAGTGACAAACAAGTGCATTGGTCGTGCAAAACTTAGCACACTGAGACAAATCTCTCTAGAGACAGACGGGTTGCATGGAAAATAAAATATCCTAAATCTTCAACATATCCAAAATATTGATGTTGTTCAGTGTACACTTGATTTTTAGTATGTACGTGCTCTTTTACTTTCTTTTTTGTCAGTCAATCTAAAAAGTGAGTTGTGTGGTCATTTTACTAACTCAGGCCGTGTCCGAAACGGGCTTCCAGAGCTACTGCTAGGTCTAATGTATAAGCATCTCCACGCATTTCCAATGGAGGGAAGACCTAGACCTAGCTCTAGACGAGAGATTCGGATGCAGCCTCAGTTTTGGTCTGTGTTGTGTAGTGGCGGTGGAGGTGGATATCCTCAATTGGACAATCTTTGATATCTGTGTACTTGATTGGGCAGAGTGTCTGCCAAGATTTCACAGTTTGACGACATCGAGGTTCATCATCCTTTGTCTTTCTTCTTTTATTTCCACCTGATAGGGACACCATAATAATGCAGCCGAGGTGAGCCATTAGAAAGAGATGTCACAGTTCGTGGGGCAGTTTGTTGCTGTATATGTTAGTTGTGATAGTGTTGGGAAAAAAAGAAGCAAGATCGTTGAGAGCTGGAAGTGAGATTTGGACAGACTGTTGTATAGAGTTGTGTTAAATAAGTCAAGAAGCTAGTCTTGTCTTTATGAGTGTTTTCTTTTTTGTGCTTCACAATACGTCTGGAAGACGTGTTGTCTCATAGCTGTTAGTCTAATGCTGTTGTGAAAGACATATCCACTGGGTTGCTTTGTAAAATCTGTTTCTAAGGACGCAGGCATAGTCTTGTGTGATATTTTGTTCTAAATGTGACCTGCTCTGTGAAAACAAGTTGCCCGGGCCACTTTTGAGTTTCGGGCCTTTAGAAAAATCTTGCACCTTGGAAAGGAAAATAAAGAGTCTATTCTTTCACCCCCACAGTGTCCATTTTTAGGTGGATGCTAAAACGAGAGACACATCAACAACTCTAAAAGCTCAGCTAATCCAGTCTAATTTCAACTGTAAAAGAAATGGTCTTGTGTCTTATTTTCAAAGAGTGGGTCACAAGGAAGCTTTTGTAACATAGTGTTGATCGTCTAATGTGGTCTAGGTAACAGGCTTTGGTTTTTTGCATTGCGCAGGGGTTCTCGATTTTAGCTCATTCCAGATCTTGAAGAAAAAAGTCTGAATTCCTTAAGTCTGTACAATGCTTCTGAATGGGCCATGTGATGGAACTGAGCAAAACAGGACACGAGACAAGAAAAAGAGCACAAGTATTTTAAAGGACAGTTTTCCTTTTGGTTGGTGATTCCTCCACGCAGGTCATCTGATTGCGTTTTGGAATCAGTCTGCACATCAGGCCTTGCTTTGACTTCAGTCATGTCGCAAAGCTAGTAGCTCTTGTAAGCCACGCTAAGTAGAATAACCCTATCATGTTACAGAGCTCCCTTTCCATCTCATTGAATTGCTTGTGCAGAATCCTGTCGCTTGAACACAGAGTTCATAGCCACAAATCCTCCCTTCTAATCTGCTGGCGTCAATGTCTCCCAGCTTCCAAATTTGTAGCAACGTAGTAAGCGCTGTGGAAAGTCCGCTCTGAAAACCCACGTGTAAAATGTGATTTTGTCTCGATGTTAATGTACAGGGTACAATTTGTTTTTCCTCAAATTTTTGTATGCTGTAAGTGTTGAGTGTCTTTGGGAAATCCACACCAGGTATTGGCAGATTGCCAGTATTCAACGGCATTCGGAATCGTTTGAGGTCAACTGTGCAGTATTTAACCAGCATTTTAACTGGTATGCAACTGATGGGGGGGGGGTGAGTGGGTGGGGGAGGGGCTTGTTGAGTTTGGTCATGGTACTAAACAACACAAGCCTTTTCCTTTCTTCAGATTCTGAGGAGGGGCACCAGGGTGGGGAGAGGGGGCAGGGAAAATGTTGCAGGGGCTCGGGGGAGGGGATGTGACTCTTTAGTTGTGCCCCTGGGCTTGATTCAAGATACTGGAGGAGGTACCTCAAGGCTTTTGTTGTGTCTTTTCTTCACAGCTCCTGGTGGAGTGGGGCACCAACATTTACGTTAAGAACAAGCAGGGTCGCACAGCATTTGACGTGGTCCGGAGTGATGAGCAGAAGAACACCATCGTTGGTGGGTTGGGCTGAACATCATTTGAAAATGCCCTGAGATCTGCAGTTATGGGTTGCTGACTTGTGGCACTTGTGTCCTTGAGCAGGAGCCTTTACCAGGATAAAAGATATCTGTCTGCTCCCTGCCAATAGTAAAGGCCATCGGAGCCAGTGACCCCTCTGTGAATATCATTTATTTCATTTTTCGGGATAATACATACAATAAATTACAGACAAGAAAACAAATGTATCACTCCAAGGGAGACTTAGCTAAAATATTAAATAAATGAAAATTCCAGCTTGTTTATACATATCATTCTAAATGAGTACCTCGTGGCTAAGACTGCAGATTTTGCCCTTTTTTCGCAGCAGAGAAAAGCTGTAGCCAAGATATTAATGCCCATTTTGGACACATTGACTGCTCTTGTCTCCTTCAGAGTACTATGACCACCTACAGGCCTGCATCCCCAAGCTGATGCGGGGCGACACCCAGCTGCTTAAGAAGCTCGTGGAGGACCATGTGTCGGGGGTCCTGCGCTTTGCCAGCCTCAGGAGCAGGTAACGAGGTCCACTTACGACATAAACCCAGTAGGAAAATTCCAAGGCATCCATAGAGCAAGCTGAGAAGATGCCACTTGCCATGATGTCACTGCACTGGTGCAAATTTGGCACTTTTCTTAAACGGGATTTTTTTTGCAAGCTGAGACACCCTGTTGGTTGAAGTGACATTGAACTCTCACATTAAGCGAATTTATTCACTCTTGTACACATTACTTGAAATCGGTCATACATACTGTGCGCCATTCCCATGTCCAAACCTTGAGTTCCAGCATGATCAAGCTTACTAGTAATTTCAAGTTGATACCTCATCGTGATTGATTTTTAGTGCTTTATTCCATCTGGAGTGATCTCTTTACTTGCCTCATCCACGACAGGTGCATCAACGGCAGCACCTTGTTGCACACTGCGGCCTACTTCGGAGTCATCCCTGTCGTGAAGGAGCTGCTTAAAGAGAGAGTGGACGTCAACCTTCTGGACTACAAGGGGGCCACTCCGCTCCATCGGGCACGGGATCAGATGACAATCAGGGTGGGCTGCTTTATTTAGAAAAAAGTCAATCATTTGTCAGTTTCGACCCATGGCCTAATTCACTTGATATTTTTGTGGCATCTCTTTCTCTGATGTGTCTTCACAGGTTGTTTTTTTTTTCTTTCGTTTGAGTGTAACATACAGCGTGTCCATGTACCTACCACCTCCCGGCTGTTTGAAAAACTGATCAAACTTATTGAGTTCCCCCTCCCCCCAAAGTGTGGCCCTCAAATAACCCCCCCTCTGAAAATAACTTGACTTGCTTTGACAGCAACTTACAGCTCAATTTGTCAGGTTGGTGTCAGAGTTAACAAAGTCTCTGTACACGTATTTCCCCAAATCATTTCTGTCAATTTCTTCTTGTCTTCCTGATTGGACAGCTTTTACTAGAGAGTGGTGCTGAATTGAATGCCATAGATTCGGAGGGGAATACCCCACTGCACGTCAAATGCTACGGGGAGGCGGGCAAAGCAACACCCATTGACTGCATCAAAGAACTGGTGAGACGGCTGTGTAGTATTAGCAGTGAAAGTAGGCCGATCCAGTAAGCCCCACCCACTGTGCACGAGGGTGTGTAACCGATCCAGTAAGCCCNGCCCACTGTGCATGAGGGTGTGTAACCGATCCAGTTAGCCCCGCCCACTGTGCAGGAGGGCATGTAACCAATCCAGTAAGCCCCGCCCACTGTGCATGAGGGTGTGTAACCAATCCAGTAAGCCCCTCCCACAGTGCCAAGGGCATGTAACCAATCCAGTAAGCCCGCCCACTGTGCATGAGGGCATGTAACCAATCCAGTAAGCCCGCCCACTGTGCATGAGGGTGTGTAACCGATCCAGTAAGCCCCGCCCACTGAGGGCACGTATCGCGTAGACTTCTCCAATACCATACCACATACGCACGCGCATGCATGCCAGACTTTTGGTCCACGTGTGACAGACACATATCATGGCTGTGATCTGTCAGAGCACAATGGGGTGAGGTTTGATGGATCAGTCTATTAAGGAAATGGGAGATTAATGACAAAAAGACCAAATAACTTCAGTTTCACCATCGGATCAGCCAACCAGAGTTGCCGTGTTTCAACTACTTGCCAGAATAAGACTCACGTGAACTTCAAATGAGAGATCAATTTTGAATTTTCTCTGTATTGGTGTGGAACTGATGATGAGCCAAACGTAGACATCTTATTCGAAAAGTAATACCTGTTGTTGAAAAATTGTTAAAATCATTAGCAGGGAGGAGCATAAACTCTCATTTTACTTGCACTCCCCCTTTTCAGAGAGTTTGAGTGTTAGATTGTGAGCTTTAAAGAGGAGGTAAATTTGATGTGATTTGAACACATAAGAGACTTTTTTAAAACATCTGACAGTACCTTTACTCTAAAGTTGGTAGCTGAAGACGATTAAGGGCAGTTGAATAATTACATCAAATTTATTTTGTCTCCACCGTCACTCCAATAACAGTTGTCCTGTCCTACCAAATTAAATGACACTGGCTACAGACCCATCCTCCAAGCTATTTTTCCCCTCCATTTTGTTCTCTAGCTGGCGGAGAACATCAACCTGATCCACCGCAACCACAAGGAGCTCCTGGCCATCCACTGCTGTGCCATGCAGGGCCGCGTGGATGCCATCCAGCTCCTGCTGGACGCCGACCCAACAGAGACCATCCGGGACTCCCTTGGGAGGGAAGACCCCAAGTCCCCACCGAGCCTCCCCCACTTGGCCCTGGCCAACGACTTCCTAAAGTGCGGGGCCTGGCTGGTGGAGCAGGGGTTCAGCTTCAAGGAGCATGAGCAGGACATCCTGGTGCACCGCATCCTGACCGAGCAGATCAAGAGGTGAGAGAGATATGGCTGAGCAGAGCCGAGAAATTGTAACCAAGTGGGGTTAAAAATACCCAAAAAAAAAAAAAATAATGACTAAGAAAACACAGATGTGGTGACACGAGTCTTTGTCACATAAAAGATATAAATTGTATTTTAATACAGCAATTTCACACAAAAAAAATTCAGTGGGTGGAGTACGGCTTCTTGTTAAATTTTTTTTTAAATCGACTCCAAGAACATTTACACAAAGTAATGGAAAAAATAATTTTGGGGCAATTCTGTGAAATTACAGAAAGAGTTCATTTCATTGGTGTCTTCAACAAATTCGCTTTCACAATGTGAAAAAATTCTGTGCCCAAACAAGAGATGATGCACTTTACATCACAATGAAATCCCTTTGAGTTGGGGCACAGGAATTTTTGTGTGAGCTTTAGGCGTCAATTTTAAACTGGCCCTCCCACCTTGGATCTCTTCTTTGCCAATGAGAGGGATAGTTCTAATCAGCCGTCTCTCCGTGCCCATCAGGTGATGGCATCTGAGATGTGGCATATTGGTCGAGAAAAGATATTAGGGGCCTGTTTGTTTCACGCAGATCCGGATCGTGATCAGTGATCTGACGTTGGTTCGCCGACACCAGAGCCTGCTTAATGGATAGCGGGAACCAGCTTTGGGATCACTGACTGAGATCCAGATCCATGAGAAACAAACAGGCCCTTTTTCAAAAGCCGAGGCGATTCTCAATTTGTACTTCACAGCAAGCAGCGACTGGACATGATGAGATTCCTATTCGAACACGGAGCCGACTTGGACCAGCGATACAGCGGCGGCAACACGTGAGTTACTACCCTCTCAGCTAATACTGACCTTTATATCATGACACTGCCATGTTTGTCGTGTTCCCCGTAGATCCACTGGCAATAAATACAACTTCACATATTGAGAAAAGGGAACAGACTATTGTTTCTTTCAGCCTCAGTTTGGTTACATTGTTGTGAATGGTAGAAAAGCAAGATGGCTGCCCCATGACATAAGTCTATGAGAGGATGAGAATTTGTGTGTTTTTTTTAAAAACAAGTAAATTAAACTGTGCTCTTAACCCTAAATGAGTGGTAGGGGAAAGATTCTGCCATCCCATTTATTTTCTCTCATATCATATCTACATTTTGTTCACCGTGCCATGCCTGAGCTGTTGACATACTGTTCATGGACAGACGTGAATTTTTTTCTTGCTCGAAGCAACATGTGATAATTAGCAATACATGACTGTGAGCAACACATGGGGCATTCATTGTAATGTACGTGTAACCACAAAACCGTTTATCCATTTGGATTGAAACTTCACGGACGGATGTCCTAGCACGCATGTCATGTCAGAGAAAAATCTTCCCTGCGGCAGTGCAGCTCTGGCAAGGGGTGGAATCCACCCCGTCGGCTTGGAGAGAGTCTCAATGACTCCTGGCTTTTAAGGGTTAAGGGTTAGAAGAGTCATCCCATGACAGGTAAGAGTTCTATTACTACTCCAACCCCTCAGACCTCTGCACTACGCTGCCGGTATGACCGGCCCCACAGACATCCTGGAGCTGCTCATTGAGTACGGCGCGGACGTGGACGCCGTGAACGAAGACATCTGCTCGCCTCTGTTCTTCGCCACTCAGGCCAACAACTACTATGGGGCCAGCATACTGCTGCAGGCGGGTAAGCGCCGTTTAAGGCTCTTTCATTGCCTGCCACCTCTGCGGCCCTGGGCCGGAGTCCCGCCTTGGTCGGAATGTGGATCAGGTTTTCGGACACTACCTGATTTCATGGTTTATTCTTTGAATATCCATCCAGGGTTTTCCTCCCACCTCTGAAGCTGAACACTTCTTCATTGTCACTTTAATATCCGCCTTGAGCAGAAGCACCCCCTCATTGGTTGAAAATAGCCATGTTAGTGGGGGGGGGAGGGGAATATTTATGCTTCTGGTAACAACGCGATCGCAATGCATGTATTTTGCAGTCGGTTGTGAACCAGGAATGTACAGTTTCTGTCAAAGGGAGCCTCTGTTGCTAGGAAGATTGCACCCTCTCTTGGTTCCGCTCGGGATGGATAATCATTCTGTAATTAGTGCTAAATGTGCTAGAGGATAAACAATGATAATAGATAAAGAAAAAGTTAGAGGCCAGTTGGGGAGACGGGTTATGCTAGGAAGGGGCTATCCTTACCCTGCACCCAGCATGCATACAAAAGAATTCTGCTCATGTGAAAATTAATCTTGCGCTTCTCACCACCATATGCACATGAGCCATCGCACTCCCCTTTGTGCACACTGTCATGGACCTCCTATGGACTCCGAGCTGGACCAAGAGAGGATGCAATTTCCTTAGCAACGGAGGCTCCTTTGGTAGTAACTGCTTGTTGCTGGTTCATGAATGACTACGAAATGCAAGCGTTACAGTCTCATCACCCCCAACAAAATAGGCACTCCCGACCAACATGGCTCTTTTCAACCGATGAGTGAGTGCTTCTGCTCGGGGCGGATTGTCCTGTTGTTCATACCTTACCTTTCCGAGGGCTACCTCTTAGGGTTGGTACACAGTTTTCAAATCATGGACCCTGTTGTCCCTGCTTTTGAAAGTCCACAATTTGAAAGTTTGCATATGCAGTTTGTCAGTCCAGCTGGATGTCATTTCTGGGTGTAAATGTTGCAGACCGGGTTTTGAGATATTCCTGTTACCCGTTCTTGTCTAGGCGCCAATGTGAGGCACAAGAACCTCCAGGGCCTGACGGCATTTGACTGCATCTTGGACTTTGACGAGTGGTTGGAGTGTGGCTTCTTCACCGATGAGATCAAGGCCAGACTGAAAGGTGAAAAGTGCAAATTATCATAGCAAATGCACAGTGAGATTGTAGCTGCCATTTAAAAATTTGCACGGTCATCTTGTGGATTGAAGTCAATTTACAAACATCAGTTCACCGTATTTTTCACTGAATTCTGTAAGAATTTAGTGACATTTTTAGATCCAAAATTTTTGAATATTCCTTGATACTTCTGAGCCATTCCTACATCACGAAGTTTGATCTCCAGCCCGCACAGAAACCAGTAATCTAATTCTTTGTTATTATTGATTTATTTTTCCTAATCAACCTGAAACCCACAGCTTACAGCCTGAAGCATGCCCGGGACCTTGTCCGTGCCATCACTCAGAAGGTCAAAGGTCATCATGGGAAGGGCCTCTACGCCCAGGTCTCGGCACTCTCCCTGGGTGTGGGAGGAGGAGGGGCCTCCCCCCAACGAAACCTGGCCCTCTCTGCCTCCCTGAGGCAACGGAAGCTCAACAACAGTCCCAGCTCCCAGATGATGAGGGGCAGTAACACTGGCACACTGCCGCCCCTGAGACCCAGAGGATTCCTGACCAAATGAGATGTAAATAAAATGCCACGCCCGCCACTAAACCACACCCACTTTGCATCATGAGACAATAGCCCATGTTCTCAGATACTGAGGGGCACCAGCACTGGGACACTGGCACCCCCTGAGACCCAGAGGATTCCTGACCAAATGACATGGAAACAAAAAAGTGCCACACCCATCACCAAAGCCACACCCACTTTGCATTGTGGGACCGTTGAAGCACAGTAACAATCTCATCTTCCACTGAGCTGATGTGAGACAGCAGCACCAATACATTGCCACCCCTGAGACTGAGAGGATTTCTGACCAAATAAGCAGCATAAATGTGCCACGCCTGTTGGACCGAAGCCACACCCAATCTGTATCATCAGACAGCACAGGCAAAGTAAGATTCTTGGCTTCTATATGACAAGGTCAGTAACACTGGGTGTTTGCCTCTGTTGGAAGCATCAGCATTCGTGAGCGAATGAGACACGACGTGGTGCCACACCCTGCGGCAAGACCACACCCAATCTACATCAAGGAGACAGTAATAGCACAGCAACAGTGTTAGGTTCCAGCTAATGAGAGCTGTACATTGAGAATTTCCACTCTGAGATGTACAATGTGTCGTGCCCGTTTTTCGAAGTCACACCTGCTCTCTGGGCACACAGCGGCAGAAAATCAGGTTCAGTCCCAACTTCGAGATCCAAACAATGTAATCTAGAGAAATTTCTGATAAAGAGCAGAAGTTGAAATGTGCCACACCTTTTTTCTAAACCACGCCCTTTCATCATCATGAAACTTTGGAAGTTCAACGGAAGATCGGTAGGACAGATTATGAAGCCGTCAATTCCTCATTCATACTTTCCAAAAGTGAAGCAGAGTACCATTCTAATGTTGGGAATAGTGGCCACACCTTCCATTTGTATGAAGTTCCTCTGTTTTAAGCATGCTCCTGGGCTGTCTTGAGAATGTTTTGTTAGTCGTGAGCCTTCAAGAACTTTTGCAAATGTGATCAAAGATTCTATTTTTGTAAATTTATTGGCATTGACCTCTGCAACAGCTTAATGATTTAATTTATTTTTTAAGTACAAAATTTATCTTTTTATCTTTTCCGTGAAATTTGAAACCAAAGACATTTTGTGTACAAATTTTATACTGCAAAGGAATCACAGATATTTGATTGGAACTTTTAACTTTAGCTGTGATTTCTTGTTACCAGTTCATACTTGGAGCTAAAGCAATCCCAAACAGAAAATTGTGATATCAGATCAAACGTTTGCGCCGCGATGTTGCAGAAGGTGAACACCTGTCTACTTAGATGTTTTGTGCAGCTTTTGTGTTCAAAGAAGTACATATCAGCCTTTAGGAGGGAAAAGGAAGACATTTGAAAAAAGTTGCACATCTTGCCTCAAGCCTCCGACTTCATCAAAGTCTGTGGGTCCCGACAGAAAGAGTCGGAGTACTTACGAAGAAAATGTCCAATTTGTTTCACCCCTAATTTAGTTTTCTAAATCAGATTCACAATCTTTTGTTGTTGTTTTCAAGTCATATTTAAGAAGACAAGTGGTGGCAGGACGTGGAACGCTTGTGTATCAGGCACAAAACATGGAAATCAGAGAAAGAAATCATGAGGCTCTAACCCTAACTGCTCAAGGGTTGCTGGACCTAACCTTCCCATTCACACTAAGTTAAACACCCATGTGGGACTTTGTGCACAGAGGCTGTTGGACTTGGTTTTTCTGAGGTATGCCAAACCCAATGCAAAAGCCAGCTGCTATGGGCCTACCAGACCTATCCCCATGGAATTAAACACTTCTGTTTAATTCTGTGTGGTTGGGGGAGGTTAGGGCTAAGGTACTAGACTTTGTACGTCAGTTCTTTTTCAACTCCATTCCAGAAACTTTTGGTTTCTTGATTGGATGCAGAAAGCTTCAAAAAAGGCATCAAAGAACAACCATAAAAAGGGAAGACCAAAAAGTAAAAACAATGACATAACAAAAACCAAAATCCAATCCCTGAACCTATTTGCTCATGAACATGGTGTCATTGCAGTACTGTTAATTTTATGTCAACATGTAAAAATTTCAAGTTCATATTCAATCCTTTTTAAAGAACAATCCTTACAAGATAAAACTCTATTCCCTGAAACCAGGTCCACTTGTTCTTTGTCTCAATATCGGTATTCTACAGGGTTGTAGTGTTTTCCTGTTTCAATCTATCCATGATTATTTTTTCCCATTACGTCTGACCAGAATAAAGAGTTATATTAATATTTACATTTTATTGGCACAGAGAATCACTAATGATGCACTGTACCATTTGACAAGTCACATTACCAGAAAATTGCAACTATTATGTGCGTTTGGGTACTATTTAGACTTTTAAAATTATTTTGTGCTGATACTTTGCAGTTAACGAGAGTAGGAATACTAGACTGTAAATAATTGTTTCTGAGATGGTGCATTGTTTTTGCACTCTCCTGGCAAGGTGCATAAATAAAGCCTCCGTTTTAAGCTGAATCGAGAGTGTGCTGTGTAGAAAGCTCACCTCTTATCTTTCCCTTTCGCCACAGGTTACACTTCAGTGAATGACCTTCATACTTATGTGCTCCCTTGTAGACAAGGGTAGATTCAGAACCTCATTTTTTTGGGGGGGGATTTTGGAACATTTTATGGCCTTTCTGAGGAGTGAGGCTACATTTTGTAGTTTTTTAACATTCTTTTGGAAGGAAGAGAAATGAAATAGACCAAAATAAGAATAACCCTTCATTAGACAATTTGGTTCTTTTTTGGAGGGGGGACTCCGCCCTTGTTTGTAGACTACAGAAGCCCATGTTCATGACTGCATTGTGTCACGTCCCCTGTACGGAATAATTGGCCTTGTCAGTTTGTCCTTTCTCGTATTTCAGAATAGAAACCTTTCAAAGATCCAGAGAATTTTTGAATCCAAGAATCTCTATTTGTATTGGCAAATCTACCACCCAAAAGGAAATTATCCCATTTTCAATTGTACCCCCTTGAATATTTTCAGCATAAACAGATGTGCAATCTTCTATTCCCATTTTTTTTTCAGTATTGAATTTGGACCTCATCCATTCGTGACATTCTTCCACACATTTTCAAAGGACCATTAGAAATATGTGTTTTGTGTATGTTCATATTTCACCTCGTATTTCATTCAGTGTTCCAAGGATAAGTAAGAAATAGGGGGAGAAAATAAATATAGAGGGGAAAAATATCGAGACCGTCATTTTAAGTTTGCATTCACGCGTGTTGAGAGCTACATATCTCTATCGCATTTCAACTGATGCCCCGCCCCTAAAAAGGGTAAGATGCAACTTTCTAATCTTGGTTCCATCTTTGCTCAGCGTATCTCCGATTGCACTTTATCCTGGGCCCACAAGAATCCTTTTCGTCTTTTGCCATGAGCTTAGAGTAAACATACTCCCGACCTGTGATTCCCAAAAAGGCGCATTCAGTCGCAAGGTGTCAACTCTTCCACGAAGTCGTGATCCGTGCACGTCTAAAGAAATGATGCTAGTAAGGGACTGGTGCAAGTCTAACGATTGTTATCTAACTAGCCAGCCACTGACCCAATTGTTAGCAACCTTGGAAATTTTGCAGAGCTCGCCTGACGCGTACGCCGAGCCGAAGAAAGCTATGGTGATCGTAGCTGATGAATGACGGGTTAGTGTACGCGAAGAGTGCAAGGTTCTTGATGTTAGGGAAGCAAGTCCGGAATGAACTGCATCCTGTGAGATTTGGAGAACTGGGGAAAGTCGTTTTTCGGGGGGAAAGTGCGGTGAGGGTTCAGCACAAACACGTAGCCCTACTACCCGCACTTAGGTCTGCGTTCAGTGATTGTGTACGGTGCATGCAAACATGGACATGATCATGGAGTTGGCCATGACGAACAGCTGCTGTGACTACATGTGTATGAGGGATTAGTGTCCACAGTAAGTGTTTTACCTTCGTGACCTTACAATTTGCCGTCACTCCAAGCTCAAGCAATGCAGCATGTACGTATGTGGACACTGACTGGGTGCCTTCCTATTATTTTGTCTAGTAGAAGTTGGCCTTGGCCTACATGTACATGTACGTGTATTAATATGTTGGGCCCAGACGGCAGATCTTAAAATATAAGCCTAATTGACAAAATGTGGCCCAAAGTATCATCTTTAAAGTTACTGTAGCTCTATTTATGGACGTCAGTAATTATTCCCCACAGTGACCTGTAACCCGTCAGAAAGCAAAAACATGGCCAGGAGTAAACAGGTCGTTTACTTATTATTTTTCAGACCAGTCTCATATCCCTGCATATAGGGTTTGTGTTCTGGTTGTCAAGCAGCATCTGGATATGGAGCTCTTTACTATCGTCCACTCATTGGCACACTTTCATATGATTGGTCAAACCTTTATCTAGGACACCACATTGCCATGATTAATTGCTTTAATTTGCCCAGTAATAGGGAGGCTCATAAATTATTGAACTGTTTTGTTGGCCTTTGGGATCTTGTAAACTTTACCACCACTGAATCATTGTACATGTACTGTAATGGCCTACACGTGCTATTCATGGCTTTATGAACATACAAACATCTGACTGCGTATGTGTCGGGGTGTTTGCTCTTCAGCGCGACCTTTGCAGTCTCCCCATGAACAAGTTTTCACCAGTTGCCAAAACTTTCTGACGATAACAGGATGGAGACCTCCGACTTCTTTGGGTAAGGCCCTGCATCTCCAATTGCTTTCCAAAGAATGTGGTCACCCCTTTGTGATTTCAGAGACATGGGCAACGCTAGACCATTATAAATGGTCGGGGGGGGGGAACATGAAATTTGCTGTCGACATTCCCCAACCTGCCTCTAATTACACTTCCCCCAACCTTTACCCTTCCTTCTCCATGATTTTGCCGACAAAACTGATTAATTGGGGGTGTGACACCTCCCACAACCTTCTCTAGCTACACCCGTGTTCAGAGATGCTTGTCAGCTCGCTGTAGTAGAACTGATTCCTGGCCCCTGTCAAAAGTTTCAGTGAAGTTTCGTCATTAGCAGATTTCTTACAGGAACATTTATAAACATTTTAGGAAACTGGGAAAGTTACAGTCCAGTTTACATTATATTGATGTATCTTTTGGTTTTTTTTATCATTGGGCCTTTGGCAGAGAGGAAAGTGACGATGACATCAACAATGAGAGATACACCTCAGAGGAAGACAAGAGGTGGGTGTTGCCTTAGAAGTGGGAAGCGGTCGTCAGAGGTTGAAAGAAAGGCTGGGAGCCTGTGGCTTTAATAATATGACAGTTTAAATTGCAAGCAGTCATTTGATCTCAGAAGCAAATATAAATGATAGTCTTGTGAAATGTCTCCAAGGATGTGTACAGTGCCACTCATCTTGTTGCATTGTGTTGCATTTAGCATGGTGCCTGGAGACAACTTGTTGCATTTTGTTGCATTCAGCATGGTTTTCAACTGGACTGTGTTTGATTTTGTTGCATTTAGCATAGTGCTCAGACACAACCTGTTGCATTATGTTGCATTCGGTATGGTTTTCAGGTGGACTGGGTTTGATTGTGTTGCATTTACCATGGTGCCCAGAGACAACCCAATCGGTATTCAATAGGGTTGGGGTAAATAGAAGAGATTCTGCTTTCAAAAAGTCTGACAAGTCTGTTTGCATTTTTTTGGTGTCGTTGCTTAATTTCTGACAGGCAAAACCACAGCGAGATCGAGAAGCGACGGCGGGAGAAGATGAATGCCTACATCCAGGAGCTATGCACCATGGTGCCCACCTGCAACTCCATGAAGTCCAAGCTAGACAAGCTGACCATCCTACGGATGGCCGTCCAGCACGTCAAGTCGCTCAGAGGTTAGGCCTGGGTTAACACTGGGATCTTGTACCCCAGAAGGTCTTAGACTCAAACTGTAGAGGGTGCTATGCAGCATGTAGTCATGAGACCCGAGTGAGGCTGTGTCCGAATCAGTCAACCGTGGCTAGGAGAAGTACATGTACATGCACCTCTTGGAAATAACCGCTCCCACTAGCCTGAATGGCATTTTTATTTCATGTTGAGATACAACAGTCTCATGTTGCAGATATCCAATTGCGATTCACTGTTGTGACTATTGTTTTCAGGGTCTGTGAGTTCAATCCATGAGACCAACATGAAGCCGGCTTTCCTAGCAGACGACGAATTGAAGAGGCTGATTTTAGAGGTACAGAAGACAAAGTCATTAATGTGTATGTTGAGTCTCATGTAAGAAGACCAACACAAAGTACTTGTGTATTTTTTATTTAAAACGGGAAACTTCCTTATCCAGCAAACGACATTTGTCAGTAAGAGAAGGTTTTGCTCATACTTTCCAGGCGGCTGAGGGATTCCTGTTTGTCGTGAGCTGCGACCGGGGTCGGATGAATTACGTCTCGGAGTCGGTCAGCCATGTTCTCCATATAAGCAGGGTAAAATTCAGCAAGAAACTATGAAAGTCTTTGTGGAGATTAAAGATGTTATGTCACTCTGGTGAGCTGCGACATGCAAGGTTAAGTCAAGAGATACACGGTGAAGTGTAAATTCCTGCGACCAAGTCTGGTCAAGTCCTGAGTCACTCCGATGAAGTCTCAAGTCACTCAGGCCAACTACCTGTCAAGTCTTGAGTCAACCTGGTCAAAGTTTTGAGCTATTAAGCTTCAAGTCACTCTCATCAGTCACAAGTCACTCTTAATCAGTGTTTGAGTCGAGTCCATCACAAGTCCAGTCACAAGTCCCTTCACAACGCCAGTCATAAAATTATTGGTGAACAATGACAACAGAACGCTTTTGTCACAGCTCATTTCAATAGCTTGTGATTTGGCTTAAGACTGAATGACTTGTGATGGACTTACAGGGATTTCTGATGGCGTTACAGGGACTTGCAGGGTGATGTAGGGACTTGCAGGGACATGTAGGAACTTGCAGGAACTTGTGATGGACTCGAATACAACACAGCTCTTAATTCACTCTTGTTTCTCAAGACGCGCTGTTAAATTTCTAGGCACTGTGGCACAAATTGTTTTGCTATCTTCAGTGTTCAGAGCGTCGATTTGAAATTGTCCATTTAAAACAACCAGATGGTGTTGATAGTTTACGTCTTTAATTCTTTCATGTAGGAACACCTTATTGGCCAAAGCCTATTTGACCTGATGCACCCAAAAGATGTGTCAAAGGTGAAAGAACAACTCTCATCCTCCGACCTTGTCCCCAGAGAAAGATACATCGATGCAAAAAGTGAGTGCAGTTTTCCTGTTACGCTGTTTGCAGAAAAGTTAACAAGTGTGGCATGTTCGTTTTACTCAGTCACTTAGCTTAGCCATTCAGTTGGGTATTTTGTGGCTGTGGCTTCTTCTTTTGTTTACAGTGGGGCACTCTGAATAGCTGTAGCCATTAAAAATGACCCCTGTTTCAGGCTAGGCCTTTATCTGATGGGCCAAACTAACATTAGGGGCCAGATAAGTCTGCCAAACACATTTGCTTAGCGCAGGCGCACCACCAGTGTAGGTCCCATGTAATTCGTATTGCCCATGTCTGGTTACCAGTCCATGCCATGCGTTTGCTTAGCACAAGCGTGCCACCAGTGTAAGTCACATGTAATTCGTATTGCCCATGTCTAGTTACCAGTCCATGTCATGCATTTGCTCAGCACAAGCGTGCCTCTAGTGTAAGTCACATGCAATTCGTATTGTCCATGTCTGGTTACCAGCCCATTCCTTGCAGAGAGCATAAACTTCCAAGCAAGATTTTTTGGCTGTGCCAAACAGTTGGACCCATAGTGCATTTCGAATGCGCTGAACTAAACTGAGAAAGAAATGGCCTTAAGACTCTTGTGTGGGATCTAGTCACAAATATTTAGCAGCATGTGAATCTGAAGGGCCCGCCGGCCTTGCTAGATGCTAAACCTTAACAGTGCTGTTTTTCTCTCTGTCTCGTTGCCACGGCAGCCGGTCTTCCTCTCAATTCAGACGTGGCACCCTCCCCACCTCAGCTCCTCTCTGGCGCCCGGCGGTCGTTCTTCTGCCGCATGAAGACCTTTAACCAGCTGCTGATGGCCAAGATGGAGGACGACCAGATGTGCAGCAAGAAACGCCTCAAGCAGGGCTCTGGTAGATTAATCATTTCTGGAATATCAGTTGTTACTCTTTGAGAGTTAATACCCATATAACATCTTTCAGCCCATGCATTTTATTAGTTACTCTTATCAAGTCAAACTCAGGATAATGGTGTACCGAGTGGTATATGTGACACAGATGCACTACATTATTCCATGTTCCATGAACACAAGCGTGATAACGGATTTATCATCAACTTGACGCACAGTAACAATGTTAAAGGGGTTGGCGTGCAAATGCACCAGGTTTGAATTTACAGTAAACTTTGCAGCTGTGTGTTTTGTTATTCGTGTGAGAACAGCGCAATGCGTGGAGAGAATAACACATCATCTGGGATTTGATATGAACTGTAGAAAACAGGTATATGTCATGCTGTTTGTTGCCATGGATCGACCAATTGCAATTGAGTATTCAAGTTTGCTTGAAGATAATGTGCCATGTCTCACTTCAGAGTTTTGGCCAGAAAATTATCATTACAGTTTGAAATTTTTGAGGTTCAAAAAGCATCAACGTGCCGTCAGTGTAATAGATCATCTCTTTTGCATGCTAGCCAATAAGAGGCGACTTTAGAAACTGTGACGTCATTCCGTGCAGAAATCTGCCGAAGACCTTTGATTGCTCGATAGGTGTCAGCTGACCTTAGTCTAGTCAGCTGACCGGCCATGCTTGAATAACCAAGGCGACAGTCTGCACAGAATGCATGTCCGTGAGTGAGTCCGACCAGGAAGTTCGCCGTTTTGTTTTGGAGACCCTGGATGTGCTGTTTATGGCATATGCATACACTTAATAAATATGGAGGAACTCTAACCTAACTTCCTGTATCCTTGTGATGCCAAGATTTTTCTCATACATCACGGGTTTGCAGATTGTGGCCCGTAAAACTCGTAACTACTGATGGGTCAAAATTCTCTTACGAAAGGGGTATTGTCTTCCACAGTTATTCACCAGATATGCTCACGCTTAGATGCCTGTTTTGAGAGCGGCTGGTTCATGGGTTTACAATTTTATGATTGTCTACTGTCCAAGGTGATTCTTGTCAAAGCTTTGTCTTGGTCATAGATCTTCCATTTTTTTGTCACGTGACATGCCTGCTTTGCCCACAGACCGGAAGAACTACGTCACCATCCACTGCACGGGCTACCTCAAGAGCTGGCCCTCGGCCAACTTTGCCAGCGGCATGGACAACGAGAGCGAGAGCGATGGCTGCAACCTGAGCTGCCTGGTGGCCATAGCAAAGGTAGATTTGCACGCTTGCCCTTTTTTTTAGAAGGAAACGAGTGTGTCTGAACTTGTGCTAAAAATCCTGAATTACTACCAATTTGATTGACCCTGTCAGACTTTAACATTTTTTAAGAATCCTTTAGAGCCGATGGCATGGGCCACATCTTCTCTGATAGCCACAGAAAGAGATTTTACACTTCTATCTTGTGATCATTTGTCTACAAATTTTGTGGAAAGTGGAGTGAGCATTTTCACACACTGCTTATTTTTCCAAGAGTCGTGTACCAAAAATATTCACATTACCCAGTGCTCAGTGAATTAAAGACAATGCATATGAGATTAAGAATCATAAATGACCGTAACAACCAAACCTTTAAGGAAACTTCGCAGGTGTACTGATAATAAATGTCTTTAATTAACCCTAACCCCCTGGGCCCTTTTTGCTAGGGACCCTCCTCAGTTCTCCAGAATCTTCCAATTTTTGGGGTGAAAAAAATTGGATTCTTTCTCAATCCTCCGAAATCCTCCAAAGTTTCTTGCAAATGTTACTTGGAGGTGTGCGTACTGCCTCAATCCTTCAAAATCCTCTGGTAATTCCTGTCATCATGTTGAGGCAGTGTGAATGGCATTCTTGAGCACTGCAGTTGATTCAAAAGAAGCATCGGGCCGAATTTATGCATGACTAAGCAAGAACAACACAAGGTCTAACCCATGACCTTCATGCATGGCATCCTTCGCACTTTTGCCATTCACCCTCAATCCTCCAAAATCCTCCGAATTCGCCCAAAGGATTTTGGAGGATTAAGGAGGGTTAGGGTTAATACTTGCATGCTATGTTTCAAAAGATGGAGTGTCTGACAGCTGAGATCGTGGGGGAGGCAGATTCATCCTCACCCCAACCCTGAGATGGTTCCCCCAAACCCAACTCTTTTAGAGTTAATTAAAGACCATATTTCAATTTTGATGTAAATTTTGAGGTCAATTTCTCCTTTTATTCTCGTGCAGCCTATTCAAATGCCGCACCCGTCCACCAAAGATGCCACCACCAGCCAACCAGCAGAGTTTGTATCCAGGCACGCCGTGGATGGCAAGTACACCTTTGTGGACCAAAGGTATGTGGCAAGTAGCTCTTAACGATCTCTCCCTGGGGAGAGGGGAGGGTTGCTTGTGGATGGATGATGCCTTTTAAATGCTAATTCACACATCTTCTTAAGGCTCCATGCAGCACAGATATTTTACTACAACTCTTAAATTTTTGTGTTTTTCAAATAACCATATTTTTCGTATGTTTCATGTTTGGTCTTGCTACTTTAAGAATATTTTGGAGCACTGTTAGTTTTTACGCTAATGCGAAATTCCATATTCATGAGCAAAACTGGAAACTTCCATATCCCTTGGCACTGAACCTCCGTGTTGTATGGATTTGTGCAAAAGATTTGCTGGATGTTTTATATATTGCTATTATAAACGTCCAGTTCCGTGGTGATTAAAGTGCATGACAAGAAGTAACCTTTTTTTTTCAGAAATATTTTTATGTTTAATTCAAATTTGGACACAGAAACATGTAAACTGTACAGTGCCTCCCCGATTTGCATCACATCAAAAATTTCCCTCACTTGCCCAGAAAAACTTGGACAATTTCTAACGTTTAAACAAGTGCTCTTGTGGAATGTCAGACAGGTTTCATACATTGAAGAAAAGTCTAAAGATGCGCTAAAAATTCACTTCTTGGAGTGCATGAGTGTTTTGTATTTAAAAAAACATTTCCCTTGTATGTGTATTGACGTTCATCTAAGCACTCATCGTGTGCCCAGCAAAAGGTCGTAAGCGCACTGTTGCCCTTTCGCGGAGAAGCGTGATCACAGAAGAAAAAATGTTCCCGGCAAAAGGGCGTAAGAACCACACTCTCTTTATTTAGTAACACGGATGAAATTTACCACAAAATCAACACAGGCTGTGCCAAAAGCAACCTTGGGATAACATATCAAATGACTTGGGAATTTTTTTTCACTTTTGCAAAGAAATCTTCATATTTCATTAAAATAAAATAGTTCCATACATATATCCGTTTGCTGGGAAAATTTTCTTTTGGTAGTGATAATGCTTCCTGGCAAAAGGGCGTAAGCGCTTACGTCCTTCCAGGCACACGACGCACTAAAATGTAAAGGGCGCCCTTTCTGGTCACCAGATTTGTCCATATTGTGTCTGTTCAAGAGAAATTCTGCAGGTGATGTAACAGAGGAAATATTGTGATAATGCTCTTTAGATTCATTGATGTATGCTGTGCTTATTTTCAGGGCGACAGCCGTGCTTGGCTACCTACCTCAGGAGCTCCTAGGCACATCCTGCTATGAGTATTTCCATTCCGATGACATTCATCACATGGCTGAGAGCCACAAAGCAGGTACAGGTTCATAGGAGACCCTCCGTTAGACTCCCAGAAATGTGGGCCAGCAATACTGATCAACTACGGCTTTAGCACAGGTCGTGCACATTTCAAGATTTCATATGGGGGGTGGGGCCAACCGGGTCCAGGGTGTGGAGGGGCATAAACCTCCACTGGGCGTCCTCCCTCCCCCTCATCCCCACCCCATATTTATGCCTCTTCAGTGGACCCTGTTATACATGACTGAGGGTACTTTGTTGCCTAGCAACCGCATCCTGGAAGGAGGTGCATTTTAAATTCATGTGTGCAATTGTAGAAGTGTGTTTGCTGTAGAGTATGCACAGACTTGTTTTGTCTCTTGAGGTCTTCAGTTCTCATGGCTGAAGTTTGCTTAAGGATAGTATTGTTTATTATAAAAAGCGGTTTATGCACTGACCATTTTCCTGGATGGCAAAGTAATCTTTCAGGTTCCTGTATCTTTCGCAAGATGCTGTATTTTTGAAAATATTTCTTTTTCCTTTCAACCCCTGTGTCAATTCTCACCAACCCCTTTGGAACCATCTAGTCTTGGTTGCCAAGGAGAAGATCCTGACCAACATCTACCGTCTGCGCGCCAAGAACGGCATCTTTGTCCCATTGCAGACCAGGATGTTCTGCTTCCGCAACCCGTGGACCAAGGACGTGGAGTACATCGTCTGTACCAACACGGTGGTCAGGTTAGCCCAGTCAACTGCCCTTCATTTGAATGAACATGGACAATAAACACTGGAGTTGGTCTTGAACCCTAGACCCATGACCATGCGAGTCCAGTGCTCTACCCAGTGAGCTGAGCAGTCGTCTTGTTAGCTTTTGGAAGATGTCACTTGCTTTTTTTAAATTGAATGAGCAAAGATTTAAAAAAAGAATGGAGCTGGATGTAAACCAGAGACCTGTGATTTGCAAGTCTAGTGCTCTACCTACAGAGCTGTACAGTTCCATTTGGTTGAAATCTGTATTCAGCGGAACAAGTTGTTAGTAACTGATGTTGAATTGCAAATATTAAATCAAGCATTTCCGCTTTCCACTCTAAATTATTAAACACATCTGACAACTTCTGAAAGGTATCCCGAGGTCCACAGTCCATACTCCAACTCTTCGTTTTTATGGAGGCACTGAATTCCTCCATAAAAATAATGGTAGAAAATTTAATGGTTTATTTGTGTTTGTTGTTCAGGCCTGAGACCGTGTTGGAGACGTCAGATGCTGGAGATAAGATTACTCGTGTTGACAGTATCATCCATGAAGTGGGTAGGTTTGCCAGGTTTTGGACCAATATCAGTCAATGCTGGTATTTGAGCCTGTTCGCCATTAAGTCACACAGAAACAGTGTATCTGCCCATATGGCCATCCATATAATTCTGGATAAAGAGAAGGGTGCAGTTAGTGGCAGAATGCCCTGCCTAGGAGCGTATGGTGGCAGAAGCAGGGGGCCAGTGGCCCCCCTATTTTGTCAAGTGCTCCTCTCCCCACTTTTGGCAGGTCCTGCAGTGGGCCAGGGCTTAATTGATCGGTCTGCTATTAAATGACTGATGCCTGGTGGTCTCACAACTGGCCTCCCCCCTCCCTTTGAAAATTGCTCCTGCTCCCCCCCCCATTGAATATTGCTCCTCCCCCCCCTTTTGAAAATTGCTCCACCACCATTGCACATACTGTTACCCCACCGGCTTGACAAGATCCCCAAATCCCAAAATTTCCTCCAGATTTTTCCCTTTGGCACCCCAGGATGCTCTACAGATCTTCATGTTTTGAGACCAAATTGTGCAGAATCACTTTCGATTGGCCAGTGCCTCTGGGATTGTGGTAGAACACGAGACAGGGCACGATGACAGAAGGTTATTTCTGGTCCGTTGGCAGGCTCTTCCTCCAAGACCGTGTCTGTCCCCGGAGTACCGCTGAACACCCACCTGGGGGCTGGCAGGATCGGACGCATGATCGCCGAGGAGATTTTGGAAAATGAAAAGTAAGAGCAAAATCTCTTGGGCTTTGACTTCACCCCTGCCACCACCCCCTGTCCGTCCTTTGGGCTTTTTGGCTGTACTATAAGTGGTAAAACTTGAATTCAATAATGCGGCAATTTTCTTTGTAAATCTAAGTGAAGAAATGTTTCACCCAGTAGATAAATGTGGAACTTGTCTTTAGCCTGCTTGGCTAAAAAGGAGTTTAATTGTTGAAAATTAGAATTATTTGTAATTTTATGAGGATGGATTTTGACAATTGTTGCTTCAAAGTGGTAAAATTTAGACTTTTTTGCTGTAGCTCGACAACAAAACCAACCCAACTTTATCAAGTGTCCTTGTTTCCTCAAATTATTCCAATTTCAGGACTGATCCGTCTTACGGCATGAACAGTCCCAGTGATGTCATGCTGAATGGATCCCGAGCCCCCACGCCCAGAGCCGAGAAGGTGGTTGAGGCCATACCAGGTGTGAAGCCATATGTAGTGCTGCAAACTAATGATTAGAATTGTGTGACTCCAGAACATTGGGTTGGGAGGTCGCACCGCCGGCGATCAGTAGCCGAATTCATTTGTCAGGGTGGAGAGAACCGTTCACATGAAAAGGATTGAACAAAATATCATGGACTGTGAATGCCCGCAGGAGATGCAGGCGGTGGCAGGATGAGACAATGAGATTTTACAAAATGGTGTGACAAGTGTCATTCAAGTGTGATTGTATGGCATGTGCAGTGTTAAAAAGCAGTAGCACTTATGATACAACTGATAGTGTAGAATTGTATTTGAATTTTTTTTTTTTACTTATCAGCCCATCAAGCGGAGAAGGTCAGCTTCTTTGGTTCGTCCTCATCGTCCGGTCAATCCATGATGCCCAACACCTCTCTGCACCCCTCGGACAATCCGCTTCTGGGTCAGATGTCATCCCTGCTGGCCATGACGTCCACCAGCGCAGCCGGCAGCATGCCCTCAGCCAGTGGCAACGGCGACAACGGTAATGGCAATGGGGGTGTCGGCGGAGGTGGCGGCGGTAATGGGGGCGGGGACGGCTTGGCTCCGCCCCCTCCGGCGGGTGGGGACGACGAGGCCATGATGGCATTCATCATGAGCTTACTGCAAGCCGACGCCGGTCTAGGGGGCTCGGTGGACTTCACCGACCTACCCTGGCCGTTATGAGAGCAGGCTCTTGTTGATACCACACACCTCACCGTAGTCTTAACCCCGATCCTCCTAGGCCCAGTGTCATCGGGAAGGTAACCACTAAGCATGAAAGTTTTCCAGACAACTCACAAAATACTTGCTCAATGAGAAAGCGGTTGCCAGCCAAGCGCGTGTGCAATCCATACCTTTTGTGGCTGGTTGTCAGCTAAATTCCCTTAAGCAACTCCTTCTACATGCTGTGGCCCTGCTAAGTTGGATCCAGGTCCTTTCAAAATCCCCCAGGTTTGGAAAATGTTGCCGAAGCAAATGGCAAAGGTTGCTCTCTCTGTTGCTAACCTGTTGTATAAAAGTGCCATTGAATTTTACCAAGTACGAGATTGTGAAGGCTCATTCTAGGAGAGTTTTAATTATTAGAGCAGACACGTTTCCTTATAGAGAATTCATGCCACAAATTGATCAAATCCCCCACTTGGCAGGGCCTGGGACCTCGGGCTTTGGTGGAAGATTGCCTTGCTGTTGTTTCTTTATTGGGGCAAGTTTTATCTTTTCAAACAGTTCCTGTCAGTTAATACGGTTTTGATAAATCCAGGAACTCACCTGTAAGGGCGCATGAAATGCAAAAAGATCTTCAGGAGTCGTTCTTTTAATTGCGTCAACTTAAACAACAACCAGTTTGTGTCCCACAATTTTCAGTTTCAAAGGATCCGTACCGGTTGTTGAATTGTGATGTTCATGGTTTGAATGGATTGGAGTGTATATTTTATGCGCAAGATACGTGCTCAAAATGTGTGTGATGTTTTTAAATAGAATTACCTGTACATGTATATTTAATGTAGAATATGTACTGAAAATTGTCGTATGTATCGTCCGTAGCAGTGCTATTTTTAACCCCTTATACGCCAGTAGACGGCGACAGCCGTGGCTTTGTGTGAGGATTAGTGCATACCACACATACATTCTATTCATCGTGCAACTGCGGTTTCAATATGGGCCTGCTGATGGACAGAACTTTGCATACTTGGCATACTGCAGCCCAGCAGTCAAGGTCAAAAGAATCCCGGCGTAAAGGGGTTAATTCTTGTCAAAAGTCTAACGGAAACCAGTCTCGAGCTACATGTAATTGGTAAGCAGATTCCTGTATTTGTGAGAATAACAAGTGCAGGTTTTGAGTTTAAATTCTCTGGGACTTCAAGATGGTGCAGCAGTAGATTCAGACCACAGGCACCAGTGGTCGGAGAGAAAGAGATGTGAAGGACGCTTGAACACATTGTTGGCCCTGCAGCCAGGCACCGATGCAATGGAACTGTGCATTTGTGCACATTTTGATGAAAATAGGACATTTGTGGTGCCTGCTTTGCTCCATATGCCCTGCCTTGAACCCTGTATTGAATCTGCATCACCCAATTCAAGGCAGGCCGTCACAAGATGCAAGAGATTACTGGCATCAGTACACTGCAACATCACGGGCAAGGATTGAAGGTTATAGGCAGGACCATTCCCAAACCTGCAGGTTGCTGGCAACGAGGCTTACTCTGAGAAGCATGACAAAGCAAAACTTGATATAGCCAGACATTGTTCAAATTGCATTGTGAAATTGTATGTTATAATGCACGCTAGTATATAACCACAATCATGTTTGAATTCACTTTGTAAGCGTGCCAGATATAACTAGGCAGAAAATACATGTACACATAAATATGAGTCTTTGATGGTGCTTTCCGACAGTATGTTACCAGTTGCTCGGTATTAAACAATAATATACTAAAGTATAACTATAGTATACTATAGTATAGCTATAGTATACTATAGAATTAAAGGGTTACAGAAATAGAAATCATTTTATGCATGTGAAGTATTTCAAAAAAACAATAAATATGTAGCCATTACAAAAAATTTTAAATTTAATGTTCACTCCATTAATTGTGACCCCAAAATGAATAAAAGGTTCCTGCATTTCGCCGCCCACAAAAAATCCCCTTTTGGCCGTTCATGCTCCCAGGCTGATTGGATGACGTCATCGCCAGAGCGATGCATGTACAGTGTACATGCACATAGCGCACAGTACATGCAGTATCGCACGCAATAGACCAGATTGTGTTGGATGTAGCTTGGCCCACAGGCAAACACTGTCTCAGTTCAAGGTAGGAACTAAAAGACACAGTCCTACCGCGTATTTCTTGAAATGAAACAGTGTTTGCCTTGTTGGCTAAGCTACATTGAACACAATGTGGTCTATTGAAGCATGCGATACTGCATGTACTGTGTGCTATGAACTTGTATCTTGTACGTGCATCGTTCTGGTGATGATGTCATCCAATCAGCCTGGAAGCGCAAAAGGCCAAAAGGGGATTTTTGTGGGCAGGGAAACACAGGATCTTTTTATTCATTTTGGGGTCACAATTAATTGATAAACATTAAATTTGTGATATTTTTGAAATGGTTATGTATTTATTGTTATTTTGAAATACTTCCGGCGAACTAAATGTTTTCTATTTCTGTAACCCTTTAGACTATAGCATAGTACCGTATTAAACTATAGCACTGGAAATACTTAACAATTGGTGCTTTCAAAGCAGTATGCCTGAATGTTTTTGGTATATATATCTGGAAAGGAGTGTATATTTTCAACATATTTTTTGAAGTGATAGCTTGCGGACCTCTTTTGTACCGAGGCATTCCAGTCAGGTTTTTTCACAAAACAGGGTTAGGTGGTGGAAACATCAGATTTGCACTTTGATGTTGCCAACATTGTTTGAAAAATGGAAATATTGGCAAGAAAATTCTTTAATCCTTGTCTACAGAGTACCAAAGTGTGACGTCACTGTGAACCAGAAAGTGCAGTGCAAACGAATGGAGTACGCGCATGTGTTGGTTCACGCACTGGCTCTCGTGCTAATGCCTTTTACACACTAATTGTGGGCGTGACGTATTCACTTTGGTACTCTATTGTGCAGATGATGTTCCTTGCACCTTTCTATACCATGTGACCTTAAGAAAAATGTATCCTTCTTACACGGTGTTGTTTGAACACTTAAATCGTCCTTAAAGGCAGTGATACAGTCAAACCTCTTTCACAAGAGGAACTTTGGACTTGGCAAATGGCCCTGTTAGAACAGGAACCTTGTATTATCAAGAATAAAAAAAATGAAAAACCAAGGATTGGGACCTAAAAAGTTCCTTGTTATCAGAATCTTGTATGAACAGTGCTCTTGTTAACAAGGTTCGACTGTATTCATAAAACAAAAGGGGTGTCCCGGAGAACTTACTTTATCGGGAAGTTGAATGAATTCCTTGCTGACACTTTAATACTGCAACAAATGAGTTTATTTTAAGTTGAACAAAAATCACAATTTACAGTTACATGGTTGCCTGTCTCCTCGGCCTCCTTCTAAATGGATTATTGTAAGAAGGAGCATTCCTTGGTTAGTTATCACACGAGTGCGAGTGGAACATGGAATAAGGTCGCATGTCTTAAATACCACTCAGCGTTTGCCCTTGTGGTATATGACACACAGACGCACTATATTATTCCGTGTTCGGCAAGCGTGACGACGAATCTTCAAACAAATGACGCACAGTGAAGATAAAATGTATATTACACATGTGACAAACACCATGGGAGTCAAACGCCACATTTTAATTTATTTACAGTGCTGTAAGCGTAACATAGCACAATACATGGACATAGGGCAGTGCAGTATGTGGGCTGTGATACAGACTGTCCATGCAGTAATATGTCACACTGTGTTGCCATGGATCGACCAATCAGAATTGAGGATTTTAGTTTGCTTGAAGATTTTAATACCATTAACAGTGTGCTTCCAAACCATTCAGCTATGGCTGCCTGTACTGCATGTACCTATGGAAGATGAACTTAGCCGTTAGCAGGCAGTTCCATTGGCTCATGTATGAGGGGGCAGCCATAGCCAAATTGGGACTTGGCTATATTTTACACATTTCCATTGGTAGCGGGTCAGAGGTGATCTACATGTCAAGAGCAGATGATCTTTGACCCTCACCGCTGGACTACACTACTGTGGCCGTCAGTCTGTTTTCCCTGGGTGTGCCTTGCAAGTCTGGTTCAAAATGTGCTTGTCAGTCATACAACAGGCATGAAGTTTTGCATTGAGCAGTTGTGGCTGAAATTACCCTCTTCCAGTGTGTATTCATATGCCTGCATTTATGGAAGCTTCAGTGTTGTGAGTCTGGCAAGCTCACGCTGAAGCAAAAATCCCTCGGTTATACAGCCTTCAATAATGCACTGCAACTGGGGGCCATGAATTTAGCCGCCAGCTGAAATCGCTTCCATCCGCACGATCTTAGCCATACAATTTGGAGATGGTCTTTTCATATTTAGTACTTGTCAAGATGAACACTGCTTCATATTATACAGCCAACACAGAAGCACATGTATTTGAAAACACCAGTGGTAAATACAGACCGATGTGCTTGTACTTTGAGCATGCGAGGCTTAATATTTTTACTGTGACGACAACTACACATCTCAGGTCCAGCATCATTTGTATCGCATTTTATACTGCCGAGAGCAAAAAGGTTTACAGACTAATCCGATTAGACGCTATCTGTGGGGGCACCGCACTCGCATGCGCATTCTTCAGCTTGATGCGGGCGTGCGTCTGGCAGATCACGACATCCTATCGGTCGAAGAGGCGTGTAATGAGTGCTGTGCCACCCTTCCACGAGCCTTGCGCCACCGCAGCAATGGCTACTGAAATCTGGTTGTGCAAGTACACTATGTACACCATTTCTTTCTGTGGTTCAGCTTAGAATATCCTCTTCATTTAACATAGATTGTGAATTAACGAACTAAAGAATGACGGCTCAGAATGGGTAGTCAGGTCCTCATATAATATTAACATGTATATGTACTTCAAGTGTTTGTGAACATTTGACAACTGTAATGGGTTTTATTCAAATTAATGGAACCCGATGGTAAGGGAGTAAAGCTTTTAAAATACATAAAAAAAAAAAAACCTGCTCTAAACGAATATTTTTCTTTGTTTCCAAGAGAACCTCTGACCATTTTCCAACAGCTGTCCATGATTTTCTTTTTTCTCACCATTTACATCCAGTATTCCAATTCTGTAAAGTACAAAATTCTTTTGAACTCGGTGTATATGTCAAGTACATCAACATTAGAGAGAATTTTTCAATGTATTTAAATGCACAAAATGTGTTCAAAAATGCCTTTCACTCTGTAAATGGGACCCATGATGGGTCTTTGTGTCAGTGGATGTCATAAATTGCAAGAAAAGGAATGAGTTTGTCTATACTTTGATTCAATTTTGCTCCACTTTAAGTGGTTGGAAGTTTCCTAGTCACTTTCCTCATCGCTCACTCCAGCCTCATTCTCCGAAGCTCCTCCTCCTGACTCCGCCTCCTCCCCCTCCCCAGCTGACTCCACCTCTTCGCCGCCAGACCCCTCCCCTTCCATGCCAGACTCAGCTCCCTCGCCTCCTGACTCCACCTCTTCCCCGCCTGAACCTTCACCATCCTCTGAGCCTTGCCCTTCCCCACCAGACTCCTCCCTCTCTCCCATGGACTCCTCCCTTTCCCCACCAGACTCTGCCCCTTCACCTCCTGACTCCACCCCCTCGCCTCCTGACTCCACCCCCTCGCCTCCTGACTCCACCCCCTCGCCTCCTGACTCTGCCCCTTCCTCTTCATCCCTGGACCCTGCTTCCCGGCCAGACTCTGGATCTGATCTCGCCCCCTCGCTGCCGGACTCGTGTTGCTCACTGCCTGACCCCTGACCTTCGTCCTCTGACCCCTGACCTTCTGCCTCGTCATCACTGTCAGATTGCAGCACCTTGCGTTTTCTGGGCTTCCTTGCAGCTTCTGACTCCGAGCCAGATGTCTGGGAGCCTCCCTCGTCCTCTGAGTCTTGTTGGTCCGATCTACTCTCATCGGATTCCGAGTCTGACATGACACGACGGATGCGACTTCGGCTTTTGAACGGAGCAGGTTTGTTACTTCTAGATGTCTCATTGTCACTGTAACATAAAATAAACATTGACGTTTAACTTCTTTTGCCATGTTCCTGCAGCAGGATTAAAGATCAACAACCACCGACCCTAACGCACTCTTCTGCCTTTGGATCTCTTCTCTCCAGCCTTGATTGTTTGTGATGACATTGACTGACTTCACAACTTGTGGTTATACATGATTGACTGGGAATAACTTTGGACACCATGATTTTAAACAATGACACTGATTTAAAACAACTTGTGATGACATGATTGACTTGGGATAACTTGTGATGGCATGATTGACTTGGGATAACTTGTGATGACATGATTATCTCGGGATAACTTGTGATGACATGATTGACTCAGGATAACTTGTGATGACATGATTGACTTTGGATAACTTGTGATGACATGATTGACTTGGGATAACTTGTGATGACATGATTGACTTGGGATAACTTGTGATAACATGATTGACTTGGGATAACTTGTGATGACATAATTGACTTGGGACAACTTGTGATGACATGATTGACTTCGGATAACTTGTGATGACATGATTGACTTGGGACAACTTGTGACGACATGATTGACTACGGATAACTTGTGATGGCTTGACTTCGTAACTTGTGATGGTCTGATTACTTGTAGTTTATACATGATTACAATCCTGGTATAAACGGATATAATGTCAACAACAGCTTTATACCTCAAGTCAAACTTCTTTTGAGACAACTGTGCTTATTTGCTGAGGGCAGAAAATGTAACAAAAAGACAGACCTGGCCTCGTCGATGCGTAGCCTCTCCCCTTCCGAGTCGGACTCGCTGGACGAGACAATGGCCTTGGACTTGAACTTGCCAGGCTTCTCCTCCTCGATCCGGGCCTCTCGGGCCATGGCCCGGCGCTTCTTGGAACTACCTTCCCCTGGCCGGCTGCCGCTGCGGTCCTTACGCCTGCGGGGGGCGGACTCTTCCCCTTCTGCCCTCTTGCGGGGTCTGGGTTTATCAGACAGAACAGACATAGATCACTGTTGATAGAACTAGAGGTGCAAATGTCACAGGCTACATTTTTTCTCTGTTAACTGTCCCTATCTTAGCACCTGTGCTCTTCTTGACAATTTCTTCGGGGGATTTCTTGCTTCGTGATTGACTTTGAGACCACAGTTTACCCTTGTGGCTACCTCCTTTGAAGCTACACAGGTTTGGGGGCGTTGGGGGAGTTTCCTCAAATGATCTTAACCACTTGCTGCCGGGGTTCCAGAACCGGACTCCTTGGGTTTATACGCCAAGCCGGGCTGCCCGAAATCAGGCCTTGTAACTAAAGACCGTACTCGGAATAAAAGACCGAGCTGCTGGGAATTTCCAACATTTCTTCAGTTGTCAATAGCAGAGGAAATCTGTCATTATTTTGAATTATTATACCGCTGTTTGTGGCATTCAGCGTGAGCGGATTATCAACAGGGCAACAGTGCTCCAGTGCTCTGGTGATGAGCGATACAAATCCTGCTGCATGCTAATCTGGCCACATTTGAAAAGATGCCAGCAGGGCAATGGGCCAGCTTCGGGAACAAAAGAAAATTACATAACGACGCAAAATCTTGGCCCTCTTTACAAGGCGGCAGGTTTGGCTGAAATACTCGGGTGTCAATAGATGTCTGTCAGTAGCCACCAAACAGTCATTTGTGTGGGTGTAAACATCCAGTAAACAAAGTTATGAATTTTTGAAGAACTTTGAAAATGGAAAAACTTGAAAATCCCCCGGATATACGTCATGCAACTTCAAATTAAACTCAGCAGCATATAGATAATTTTTTGGGGGCCCTGGGTATGTAACCTAAAGTGGCCGCATTCTTTAGACAGAAGCCTCATCTGGGGGAAGTTTTGGCGAGTTTTCCTACTCCTCGACTGACCTTCGTTTCTTGGACCTGGGTTTGCCCTCGCTGTCCCCTTCCTCGTCGCTGCGCTGCTTCTTGCGTTTCTTCCTGGGCTTGGCCTCTCCTGTCTCCATCTCACTCTCACTGCCTTCGCTGGAGACCTCCGCTCGAGTTTTCTGGATTGACAGAAAAAAAAACAAATGAGTGATGAATACTCCACCACTGGCAGATACGATATTTATAAGTGGAAAAATCATGCCGCATATCTCATCTGTTCAGTACCACAACTTCTTTTTGGTGAATCCTCTTCGGGTTTTTTCCAAAGCTTGAAAGACCTGCTCTGTGACAAAATGGCAGAAGTTGCTGGAGCCGCTTTGGAGTTGATGGCCTCTCAAAATCTTGCACAATGTAAATCACTGTGAAATCAACTTTTTTCACCCACCTTGCATCCATTTCCATCAGGATACAGAGAGCTTGGTTTCCTAAACTTTCCTCTTTCCATTACTAACTAAAGAGAGAAAAGAGGCTCTGGGTGGCTTCTGCATCATTTTCACAGAGCAGGTCACATATCGTTGAAACAGAACATGTCTCACACTTATTCATTTGTACGACTAGTTTTGAGAGGCCAATATTTTGAAATCTCACCGAGTATGCTTGTTCAAGTTCAGTTTTTTTGTCTAAGAGGACCTAGCAGTGCTGGCACAGTCACTTATTTCTATTCCAAACTACTGTGGGTTTAAATGCAATGGCGGGATTGAGGGAGAAAGTTGCTGAAATTGCTGCTGGCCACTAAGGGAGCTTGTCCAAAAGGTCGCTGTGGTTTAACCGCACACGGTCACCGCGGTTAAGCCCGGTTGCTAGGAACTTTGGCGACTGCGTTGAAGTTCACTCATGCCAAGAACATTTAATGAGGCAGCCCCGGGATGAACGCAATTGTTATGCTGATCATGTCTTGAATTATGCATGCCTGCCGCAGCGACGCGGTCAACCTGAACATTCTATGCGTGGTGCACAGACCGACGCTCAGTGTACATGTACATGTGCATGTACATCTACTGGTTATCCTCGGAATGTCGGCGCTGCATCTGCAATTCAAAGCGTCGGGGACACTTTAAAATTACATTTTACTCGGCACAACGTCGAATCACACACGGAAAGCGCTATCCAGTAATTCAACACATGCGCAGGTGTTCATGTAGATGTACATGTACAGCATCGTTCGCGTGCATGTGTACACCCAGACTTGCACAAGGATAATGGTGTGACTTTTTGTCACTTCGTGAGAATTGAGAAACACTGAGGCTAAGCTTTTTGTTAGTTGTTTGTTTACAGTTACTATGAAATGAAACAAAATTTTGCTTTGAGACTTTGCTAATTTGTTCTTTAGATCAAAGGAAGTAAAATGGTAGGAAAAGCTAGAGATTGAAAAATTTTCGATTTTCCGCCGGCGGGTTTTTGTCACTTTGTGAAAATGCCAACGAACTAATCAAATACATTGTGATGTGTTTAGAATAATAAACTTTACTGTCATATAAAAAATGTTAATGTGCACGTGAATTTAAAAAGCAAATACATGTGAAAGCATCGATCCTGGGATTTTTAAAAGGCTTCCGATCGCCATGGATGACGACGAAAGCTAAACGGCATGCACATGTAGGCCTATGTGTACCTCCAAGAATGTGAAGATTCATCAACTGAAGCCCCATCCATGTAAGTAGTCTCCCCAACACAAATGTGTCATGGAGAGACACTTTTATTTTATTTTCCGTCTGTCTTATGATTTTCGACACTTAGCTGCATGACACGATTTATTGATAGTCCGAGTTCACGGCCGCCCACGTGCGAGATGGTTGCTGAGGAAGCACGATGTCATGAAGGAATGCATGAATTGTGATTGGATAGCTGTGTCTTGCAAAATGTACGTCATGAAAACGCACACTCTCATTGGCGGGTACGCTAGATCTTTTGTAGCAATATGAATAGTTCAGTGTTGGGTGATTAGTTGGGCTCTAGAGATGTGAGAGTAGTCAAGCGAATTTATTTGGCCGTATTTTAATCGGAATTGGGAAGGGAAGGGAAATTTTGTTTTGACATTTTGCAATCAATGTAAAAAATCACTGATGTTTGCATTGTACTTTATGTTTGTCATGACTACAGGAAACTGGCAAACGATGTCTGTGTATCCAATCACACACTGACAAACTCTGTGACACAGAAGTGCAACTTATAAAGAAAGACCTCTAGGACTGCAAGTCAACTGAACATGACTCTTGTGCAACAATTAAGGGCTAGGGGATTGAATTCCAATAAATTAAAATAGACGCGGCGGCCGTGGCTCTCCAAAGCGTCTGAGGAACCGACCGCAGCCGCCGTGGTTGGATTCTGCTAGCTGCGCCCAGTGTAAAATTTAAATAACAATAGGGGGATTTGTTAGTCAGTTCCTTTGATATGGTAGGTTGGCACGGGCAGTGGACAGTTGGCTGGTTGCTAAGGACCTGTGAAAACCGCGGTGTCCGCGCTTCAACCTTTTGGACAAGCTCCCTAAAAGTGCTGGCCGGTTTACAGGTCATCTCAGAAAAGGTTTCCATGTCTGACGTAGGAACGGGACTGACCTTTCCCCGTCGTCCCCCGCCACCTGCGCCGGATTTCCGGGGCGGCTCCGGCTCACTGGTGACCACCAGGATGTTCTTGGTCTTCTCAATGAACTGGGCTCTCTTCTCCATCAGGGCCTTGCTCCGTTCCTCATCCGCCTGCTGTCTGGCACGCTATAAAAATAGAGGGAAGGAGGGACGAACAGAATAAGACAGGGCACACTTTCTACAGGATCACTGTAGTGATGAATTCTTTGACACTACTGCAAATTTCTATATTTATAAACACAGCGGTGATGTCATCAGGTATAGGGGTTTCCTGATGTAGTTTTTTGAGCTCCAAATGTTGCCGATATGTGATCTGCCATTCCAAACCAGGCTAAAGAAGGCAACCATGATGTTTCATAGTTCCTCTCTCCCTTTTTTTTTACACTTGAATGTGATCCAAAGTCTAAATTCTATTTGCAGAAAGCTTTCGTAATAACGGGCAATGTCAGTTCTACGAGAGCCATGAACATGAACAGTGGAAGTTCCACTACTTTGGGGATGTAAAGTTGCTTATTTCAGCCTGGTTTAGGAATGGTCGCATTTTGGAAATTTCTTTATGCAGAAGTAACAATTACATGAAGTCAACGCCTTGTAAAAATCAACCAACAATTTACGACGAGCCATTCTGCACATTTGTACACTGCCCTACACTCAACTCCTGGCTCATCGGGGAACAGATTGTGATAAAATGCCTTGCTCAGGGACATCGCGACCACGAAAAGCCCCATGTGACTGCACAACATTTCACGGTACCTGTTCCTCCAGCTGTTTCTGCCGGAGCGCGTCTCTCTCTTGGTCCTGACGTTGTCTCAGTAGGCGCTCCTCTTCGTCTTGGCGACGTGCCCGGGCCACGTGGTACTGAGCCTGGCTCAGTAAATCTGAGCACTGCCTGCAAGGGATATGGAGAGAGATGATGGCGTCTTGTTAAACGGATGTTGCAAGGGAGCATTTCTTGAACTTCATCCTTTGACAAGCCTCCGTGGTCCAATGCCGACCCCTTTTTTTCACGGCCATTTAAAAAGAATGTTTCAAGAAATTCTCCATCTTCTGTGGAGACCAATGCATCCTCACCTTTTTGTTTTAACATTTTCAAAAGCACAGAAACGAAATCACGGTCACAGTTTAAGTCATTCACAATACAGACGAGGCTGCTTTACCTATGGGACACTGAGATAACTAAAAAATATTTGTCAATAGTGACTGACAAACGTTCATCTTGCAACTAGCAAAATGGGCTTAGTTTTAAGTCAAACATGTCAATGACTGTCTGGCACTAAAAAGGCGGCCTGGCCCAGGGTGTGCTTTTAGTAGGCTTTGTCTGGAACGCATGTTTCCACAAACATTGTTTGGGAGCTGTAGAGGTTTTCGAAAACTTTTAGAAAAATAAACCAGTGACAAAATATCAAAAAAGGGGGAATCCGCAATTTATTTGGTTGGGTATCGGGTTGGCTGGAAACTCATCACAGCCCTAGTCACGTCGTTGATTTCAATGTTGTGTCTTACCTAGCCTCCACCACGGCCTGTGCCAGGTCAAACTTCATGCGGTCCCCGTGCTTGCTGAGGTAGGTGAAGTAGCGCTGGGCTGTTTCCAGCTCTGAGACGGCACTCAGCACCGTCTTGAGGTTGCTCTTCTCGTCCTTCAGCACAGCCATGGCAATGCGCTGCAGCACCAGGGCGATGTTGTACAGGATCAGGGTGTCATGGGGAGCCACCCGCCGGGCCTTCAGGTAAATGGGGACGAGAAAAACGCGGGTTTAGAAAAAGTATTTTCCATCAACTATTTGTAATATTTATAACATCAAAAGCAAAAACACACCAGGGAATCTGTATGTTTTTAGTTCTGTGAAATTTTTGAGCCCAGCTCAGTTCCACCAAATTTTGAACAATTTCTGCAGCTTATAAGATGGGTGATAAAGATCATAACAATGACGTTTGTAACTTTCACAGGATTTCAAACAGTTCTTTACAATTTGCAAAGAAGTCGCGATTCAATATATTCAAAGAAATTTTTAAAAAATCCAAAATTTTTCATAAGCTTAGTTTTCAAAAATTAAAAAAAATGTTCAAGCAATTATGCAGCTGCTAAAGATACAAAACTTCCAGAAGGGTTTCCCTGACTTCCATGACTTTTTCCAGGCCCCTCGTTTCCCATACCTTGAGCAGGCAAGTCTTGCATTCCTTGAGCTTGCCGGCCTTGATGTAGGCCCTGGCCAGGTAGGTCAACACTTCCGTGTTGTGATGCTTGAAAAACTTCTTGATGCAATTCTCGTACTGTGTTCACAATAAGGGAGGGGGGGTGGATTATGTTCTTCATAACAATTTTCATTCGTGGCTGGACAGTGTCTTTATTTTACGACTTCGATGTCTGGATTTATTTTCTTGTGCACAATCCCATTTACCTATCTCATGGTGCCACTTCATATTACCCCACAGCATTCCCTCATAACAACACACCACGGTTGGACCTCATAACACGATTCCATGGTACCACTTTAAAGCCCAACACTATGGCACCACATCACGGCCCAACACTGTGACCCAACCTCACAATACAATCCCATGGCACCGTTTCATGGCCCAACCCCATGGCACCACATCACGGCCCAACACCATGACCCAACCTCACAATACAATCCCATGGTACCATTTCATGGCCCAACCCCATGGCACCACGTAATGGCCCACCACCAAGGTACTACCTCATAATACAATTTTATGGTACCACCTCATAGCATAACTCCATGGCACCACCTCACAGTCCAACACCATGGTATTACCCCACAATACAATCCCACGGCACCATCTCATAGCACACCACCATGGCACCACCCCTACCCCTTATCCACCATGCTAATACAACACCCCCATGGACTAATATGCTATCATCCCATGCCACTATGCCATGACACTGCCCCATAGCACAGTACCACAAGAATGCTGCAATGTGTGACTACAGGGGCTACCCCATGACAGTCTCTCAATGCACCACTTCCTGAATCTGAGCCACTGTGTCTTACCATCTGGATGGCGCTGATGTACTGCCTCTGTTCAACGTAGATGTGAGCCAGGTTCAGCCACACATCGCACATGTCCGCCGTGGCCTCACGAACCTGCAGAAAACACAGTCACAATCATATCCATGCTGACGTCAAGTTGCTGGGTTAGGTAACGTGGAGTTTCAGTATCGATGAACCCCATGTACCCTTAACTTGGCTGTGGTGAAGCAGGGCCCACACAGCGCCCTCAAGGGGAGTTGCGCAGAGCCAATGTGTGGCCCACACCAAGAAACTGAAGACTACAGAGCGAGAAACCTTTCCATTTTTGGGGTACACATCAACAGAAAAGTCATCATGTTTATCCCGTCTGTGTCTACATCAGGATGTCAAAGTGAGACATACACAACACAGAGCCCACCATGCTCTTTATGCGCAAATACGCAAGATAAACAAGTAAGTGAATGAATGTACTTAAGCCTCATTTTGTGGGATCACGTCACATGCACTTGCCTGTGAGAAGACGTCCCTAGACTCCCTGATATAGCCTTTCATGGCCAGTATGGCGCCAATGCCGTTGGCTGCATACAGGTTTCGCCCATCGTTACGCAGGACCTGCTTGTACATAGCCAGGGCCCTGTCCTGGTGACGCTTTTCCTTACGGACAGAAAAACAAAGTGAATAAAGTAACTGTAATGAAACAAACGGATATGACACCTTACACTGCCAAACAGGTCACGATCACTGGCTTAAGTTTTTGGAAAGACTCGGTTTGAAATTTTGTTGAATGTGCTACGTAGTCTTAATACACTGAAGACAGATTACTACAAGCAAAAACCAACTACAGCAAACCAACCATACAAAGTCTTCAACAGTTCTTGCAGAGATCTTAAACCAAGACACCCATCAACACCCCTTGTCCACTCAGATGCACCCCACTGACCACCTCCATCACGCCCAGCTACACCCTTTCCATATACCCATCAGCCTGTAGGTGCTCAGCTGCACTCCCTCATGCACCCAAATGCACCCTTTCCATATCAACTCAGTCCACCCTTCAAAGCACCCACCAACACCCTCTGCACCCATTGACCCTTCCATACAACCATCAATCCCTCCATACACCCAGCTGCATCTCCCTGAACACCTAGACTCCTTCCACATACCCAGCTGAACCCAGTCCAAACACTCACTACGCCTCTCCACGCACCCACCTTTGCCCCTCTGCACGCCCACAAACCCCTTCCGCGTGCACCCAGCTGCACCCCCTCCCTTCCACCCACCTTCTCTTTGTCCCTGGTAGGCTGGTACAGTGTCTGCAGCCACACGTTGCCCAGCGACAGCAGGGAGTAGGAGTCGTTCTGGGTGGCCTGCTGCTTCAGGATTCGTTCAAACTTCTTCTGGCCGGGCCCCCACTCCTGTTTGGCCAGATGGAGGTTGCCGATGAGAGACCAGGCATCAGGATGATCCTACCGAGAACAAGACAGTATCAAAACTGGAATTGTAATGACTGGTTATGTATTAAAAGGCATTTTTTTTCAAATTTGGACCGAATTTGGAGGTCATGTTTTCAAATACAGAATATATTCCAACTTCAACTGCAGGAGCAAACTTGCACCTCTACATACTTAATTTCACCCATTCTGGTACCCAGCTGCACCCCTAAATCCAGTTACACCCCATATGAACCCCGTAACAACCTAACATGAACCCAAATTAATCTCAACACTAACCTACACCCATGTGGGTATCCAAAGGCACCCACGGACAAGTCATTCCTCCATGAAAATGATCAAAACTTCAGAGAATATTCCCCGTGGAATATTGAAGGACTTTGGCACACATGACGTAATCAATTTATAATCTGCAAGGTTTGGCAAGGTTTTTCAGCTTTGTTTGCCTCTTACTTCAGTCGATTTTTCTTTGGTCAACCAACAACAACAGATTCAAGATGGCGCATGCTTACCTGGTTGATCTGCAGCGCTTCTTTGAACCAATCCGAGGCTTCGTAGATTTGACCTCGGTCCCGGGCCATACATCCCAACCGTAGGTAGCCTGAAAGCGACAAGCCAAAATTTGATGATCAAACTTGCAGATTCAGCAAGAATAATTGACTGTCTAGTAGCTCGTGCTGGAGCACAAAAGCTCAGAATGCAATGACATTGCCTATGATCCTTCAAAACCTTTTCTCATATTCAAACGCGTGTTCCCTTGAATGAGCCATAATTTTTCAGAGCATTCCCATCATGCTTCTGACACGAATATTACTTGTTTCCCAACACCCCTTTGTGTATTATCCAGGCATTTACGGGACTTCTCGTGAAACATCCATTAGGAACACTTCAATGATCTTCTAGTCAAGTCTTCTAGGTCACCTATGACAGTTTATCAAGCATTATCTATTAAAGATACTTTTGAATTTCTTCACATAACTTATGAAAATCCCCCCCAATTTCTGCAATGTTCATGATTTTGAGATTCTGTCCAAAATTGGCAGGCCACAGAATAGCGGACAAGGCTACTCACAGTCGACGTAGTTGGGGTGCTCCCGAAGGATGTCTTTGTATAGCTTCTCGGCCTTGTCGAACTGGAACATGCTCTCGTATAGGCGGGCCAGGTTGTAGGAGACGGAGACTGAGATGGCCCCATAGTAGGTCTCGTCGTGCTCCGCCTCCGCTTTGGAATGTAGGAGGGAGGCCTCGTAGTAGCGCTGCAAAAAGAGAGAGGCAGTCTCTCAAAAGCTCTTTGTGAAGTGCTCTCAAAATGAGTGCCAGGTTTTTCTGGGAGTGGGATTCGAACGTGGGGCGTCTGGAACACGGAACCATCACTCCATCAACCAGTGCCAGGCTTAGGGCAGTGAGAACTGAATCCGCTACCTCTGAAGCACTGAACTGGTGCCTTAACAACTCAGCCGCCCAGGTCTAACTTGCAGAGTGTTGGAGTGAGGTTCCCGTGGTCGCAGGTACAAATCCTACTCCAGTCAATTTCTTTGTTCGTGTTGATTATTATTGCGCAAGATCCTTGGCCACCCCATATGGATTTGTATGAAAATTTCATGAAAATTTTGTTTATAATTCACACAGTGGAATGTTCTGTGGAGTGCATTGCCCATTCTCTGCCTCTGCTCAGCTGGGAAATGGCCCTAGGGGTTATGATCCATCTTCCTACTTACCTTTGCTTCTTGCAGGTTGCCGAGGCGGAAGTGCAGCGCCCCCACATTGTTGAGGATCTCCGGGGGGACGTCTGCTTGCACCTTCTCCTTTAGGATGCGGGTGGCCGTTCCGTAAGCCGCCAGCGCTCCCTGGAGCCAATTTGAACAACAGTTCAAGAGTGTGACGGCGGGTTTACTTTTTTTAAGTCAGCATCAATTATCGCCTTGTGGCAGGATACATTGTTGAGGCTCTAGCCGTTGAACAGCTTTGCAGAGTCAAATGTGGCGCCCTCATTCACTGATGCCTTACAATGCGGCCATTAGGGATGAGGCAGGGAATGAGAAAGACGTGCATGAAGGGTCGTGTGTGAAATCCGATAGGAAATAAGTCAAAACATACTCAACTTTTTCCCATCCCTTGACTATAACACTGAATTTGAAATTTACTGACACTATTTCTTTGCAGGTACTGTACGCTTAGTGCCTTCTAAGGGTTTACGGGGAATATATTGACATGTACAAGTTTACAGAGGCGGGATTCGAACCCGAGACCTCCTCTTTACCTGCCAACATGCCTAACAGCATAACCGCTGAGACTTTTCTATTAATACCTGCACGTCTGTGAGTTCAAGGATCTGAGCTAGCTCAATCCAGGCTTCCACGTCGTCGGGGAACTCGTCCACTACTTTCTGGAGGTGGCCCTTGGCCGTCTCTCTCTTGGCCTCATCCAAGGAGGTGGCGTAGAGGGACCCCAGGATCTTCATGGTCTCGTAGTTGCCAGGCTGGGCCTTCAGGACCTTCTCAAAGCACTGGGCGGCCTGTCAATAAAGAAAATAGAAGCAAGTTTGCCGAGAGTTGACTTTCTGTCATATTTCCCCTGCAAAAGTACTCAATAAAAATGATCTCAACTCCCAGGCATGCAACTTGAACTTTGACAAAAATAAGGATATTCCTATCTTCGCTAGACTATTTGCAGTGTTTTTTCAAGTTTCAATGGCAGGAGTGTGGAGTGAAAAACGAGGAAATCAGCTGATCCGAGGAAAAGTTACATGCCTGAACTCCGATGGTTTCTCAAAGAAGCGGGAAGCCTTGCATCCTTTTGCAAGTTTTATACATTCAACTGAATCAAGTCTTATGCCATTCTCATCAAGTCTCAGGTATTTATGGTCAAGTCTCAAGTCACTGTGGTCAAGTCTCAAGTCACTGTGGTCAAGTCTCAAGTCACTGTGGTCAAGTCTCAAGTTACTGTGGTCAAGTCTCAAATCCATGGTCAGGTCTAAGGTTACCCCAGGTCAGGTCTTGAAGCACTCTGGTCAGGTCCTAAGAGACAGAGTCTCTTCACTTTACACTTATGCTGAGACACAAGGTCTCATACCACACCATGGCACTTAGGAACTCACGTTTTCGCTGTCACCGCGGTGAATGTACATCTGTCCCAGTCCAAAGTGAGGCAGCACAAATGCTGTGGATGCAAACTGGGTAGCCTGGTAGTAGTACTGAAAAGCCTGGTCATAGTCATTCTGAGTGGTGGGAACAACAGGAGGATAGTAAAGGCTAGAAACTTTGGTTTGTAGTCAAACTAAGAGCAAAACCAAAATACCACAAAGTCTGCACTACTTTGATGAAACATGTTAACTTGAAGCTAGTCAATACCACCCCCCGAGTTTCCAGGATGCTGATTAAAAATAGATTTTTCACTATTGGTAAAACAGAAATCTTTTCTCTACCACGATTATTGCTTACTACAAAAATGAAACAGAAATCGCCCCTTAAAACCCATATTTTGAATGAATACAAAGCCTTCAGAACCTGAAAATTTTACTAAGCACATGTATAATGGACATGTTCGGGATTACAAATTTGTAGTTAGTCTAGAACAAGTGCCCATCAATGTGTACGTTCGTTATCGGTATATCGAGAGCTCCACGTTTTTCATGCACATGGGACAATTGTATGGTCGTGGCAGTATTTTAACTAACACCGCAATGCAGTGTTTGCCTTTAGTGCAATGCGCTGCGCACGATGCGAACTGTACATACATGACATCGGTCAATCAGGATTACCCTGATTAATTCTCACGTACGTTGTTGTGTGCAAAATCACTGGCCTAGCCAGTTTTTGTGGTATGCAAAATGCGTATCATACTTTTTCTTAGACCTGAATATTGATTTTCTTGCAATATAAGAAAAAAAATCAGGATGGCATTAATGCCCTCACGTTTGGCATTACTGTCCTTTATTTCAGCCACTCCACCAATGCCAAATGGCAGTGCCCTAAAAAAAAATGATATTCGAGGCCTGCTCCCCATAATGCGGTGTGGGCTTAATACCCACCAATTTCACTGGCAAGTTTACCCTAACGGAGACTTCATGGCATACCTACCTGTACGTGGAAGGCCCGGGCCAGTTGGTAGCAGCTCTCGGCCTGGATAGCTTCATTGTCCGTGCCGTGGAAGGCGTGAAGAGCCAGGTGCTGCACCTTGGTGTAATCCTACCGTGATACAATCAGATCAACAGGGCATTTTTTTGTTTTGTTCTGTTTTTTTTTTTAAATGACCTTATCCAACGGTGTGCATGTAAGAGGAGTGGGGGAAGTTGATAGACTACTGAAGTGAAGGTCAGATACCCAGAAACCCCATAAAAAAGAAACCTAACTTCAAAATTGAAAGGAAGGGAAGAAATTAAACAAGAAAAACTGTACTGAACAACCTTTGAAAATATGATATTTACATTTCATAGCATTCCATGTGGCCTGGAGTTTACTTTTAAAATTCAAAACAAAACCCTTTAAAAACCTTACTCTTTACTGACTGGAAAGTTACAGTGAAATGTCACATCATTAACTTCCTTGAACCATGCACCATTAACCCTGACAGTCCCAAATCCTCCGATTTCAATACAATTTCAATACAATCCCAAGACTCCACAGGACCCTCACAAAAACATAAGATCTCCAATCCAAATTCAAGGCACAAGCTAAGCAAATGAATAGCGACACATGCCTTCCATTGTCATTGGTCATTCCGATACTTGTGACTGATCTTGTGATGGTCTCCGTTACAACGCTGCCAACAGCCACGTTCCCAGGTACCCACTCCGCTATGCACTCTCCCCTCCTTGGAAAGTGAACCAGATCTGAGCAGGAATGTTTTTGGGGTCATTTGTTACCCTTGTCTGTTTCAGGCTGGCACGGCGGTGTCTTTCACCTCTGCCTCACCAGGTTTAATTCCTGGCCTGGTCCACGCTTGGATTGGGTTTTCAGCGCCTCCCTGTACCAGATTCCATTGGTTTTACTAAGAATTTTCTTAAGAGGGTTTCCTCCTGCCTCTAAAGCTGTATCAACTGGTTCTCATTGTCTCCTCTCTAGAGGTTTCTTCAGGTTTGTGAGCAACAGTGCCTTCGGTGCTTTTGAGGAATCTTTGGTTCCATTACCAGAGAAGCTTCATTATAATAATCATACATTAAGAATAATAATACCTTCTTGAAGAAGAAATGATTGGCCAGGTGGTTCAGCACCATGGGATTGCTAGAGTCGATGGTGTAGGCCTTGGAAAGGAGCTGAACGCCGGTCCGGATGGAGTCCGCAGCCTTGCTGTTGATCTCCAGGATGGCCAGCCCTACGATGGCCCCCACGCACTTGGGGTCCAGCTCCAGGGCCCGCTCGAAGGCCGCCCGAGCCTTCTCAGGCCGGTTCAGCTTATTGAAGCAGTGGCCCATGCCCAGACGAACGGCCGCTAGTGGGTACAAAGAGACAGAGGGGTTGGGCAGTGTTGTAACGAGTCACTAAACTTGGTGACTTGAGTCAAGTTGAGTCATTTTGGCAGTGTGACTTGAGTTGAGTTGCGTCATTGGGTCAAGTCAAGTCCCTTGGTGCTGAGTCAAGTCAAGTCGAGTCAAGTACCAAGCTCAAGTCAATTTGAGTCATAAATTACATGTAAGTCATTTTTGGTTTTTTATTTTTAGACATACTGAAAACATACTAGGGTGACAGGTATAGCCAACTGCAATTTTGCTTTTAATATTTTTGAGACTTGAGTCTTATGAGCTTGTACTTGAGTCAAGTCTTCATGACAGATTTGAGTCATTTGGTCGCAGAGACTCAAGTTGACTCATTTACCCGTCGGGACTGGAGTCAAGTTGAGTCACCAAAAATTGTGACTCAAGTCGAGTCACTGACTTGAGTCATTACAACTCTGAGGTTGAATTGTCGTTAGATTCTCGCTCTCTTGATGCTACCTCTTATCAGCCAGCCGGATAAGCCCAACTGGAGGATGAAATACCTCTTTAGCAAGGACTCCAAATGAAGTGATCAGGAGGGCGCTCAATATTTTTGTATCGTACGGTAAATATGGTGTTCTTTAGAATGTCAGATTACCCATCGTTCTGGTCACATTTATGCAGTGAAGTACACTGTATTTTCTTAATGAGAATACAGAAGTCATTTGGATGTGGCAAAGCAAGGGCCAAATTTGCGATGAATTTTTAGAAGTCTTATTTTGAATTGAAGATGAACAAGTCTCAATTTTAAAGGCAAATTTCCCAAAGGTCTCTGCTTTGTGTTTATGGGCCTCAAGCTGCACCAAGAAATGGCAACAGAGGCTCCTTTGGTCAAAAGTGAACTTCACCAGTTCATGAATGACAAGGAAATGCACGTGTTATGGTCACATCGCTGCCAACAAAATAAACACTCCCGATCCACAGGGCTCCTTTTAAATGATGCGGGGGTGCTTCTGCTCAAGGCAGAGACTCCTTCAAAATTCCAGTCATGACCAGAAAAAAGACACTGACATACATACATATATCCTAAAATTTCACTGCCGACAGTATATAAATCAAAAGCGTGGCTGAGGTTGGAATGAATGAAACTCTCCTGACACTAACAACTCAATGATTCAACTCCATGATTCAACTCAATGATTCAACTTCCTGGGTGATGGATTCAAAGGCAAACCTTAGCTATGTTCAAAATTATAGTTAGTGAATGGGGGAGGGGTGCTCTCCAACCACACTTCGGCATTTTTTTAAAAATAATCCTCACCCGGGCAGCCTGGGTTTGTTCTGAGTGCCTTCTTGTAGAATGCCAGAGCACCACGGTAATCCTTCTTGTTGAATGATATACAGGCTTTCCCTAGAGATAAGAAGAGTGAAGCTCGTCAATAGAGTTGCTGCCGTGGAGGTATTTGTCTTGGAAGGGAAAGTCGCTCTGCTCTGCAAAGTTGTACAATTTAACTACTTATTGTTTTAACCCTTTTGCACCGGGAGGCCGCTAGACACGCCGTAAAAATTGAGATCCTCAGCCCGCTTTTCAGCTATTATTCTCGGCCCACGCTCGAGCGAACACGGTGAAAGAAGGCAGACCCTGGCTCTTGTATATATGGTGATTGGTCTTTGTGTGTAGCCCAGAAATGAAAAGACTGAATTGGCATCATAATTACCAGCTTCACAATAGTCCCCACTTTGAACAGAGGCAACGGGAATGTGGACGCGTGAGTAGCGCCACATGCCACCGAACAATCAGCCTTTTCACTGTGTAATTCAAAGCGTGCACAGCACGCAGGGCCACAAACCGAGAATTTGCGGTTTGGCAGGTGGCCTTCGTGGCCAAGCGAGGCTGGAATTCTTGGAGTCGGCTTTCGGAAAGAAATTCCCGTCGTCAAGGGGTTAAGCTGGAACTTGCCCCAGAATCGTGTGAAAGATTTCCTTTTATTTGCCCAGAACGGCAACAAAGCGGAAACACACTGCACAAAAACATGACAGCAGGTTTTTAATTCAACAAATAGTCTCATAATGACAACTTCCAGTACATTGAAAAATCACATTAACATGGCACTATGCTGTTAGAATTGGTGGTAAGTGTTATTTTTGTTCTTAAGGGACTTTTAAAAGACTGGATGCTTAAGAGTTAAATCCCAATCTATGGTAAAAAGATCAATTCACATGAAATTCTGGACGGCACCAACTATCACTAGACTGTTCGGCTGGAGTTAACTGGGCTCAATAGGCACACAGTAATCTTCACAAAAAGTCAGCCTTTGATTCGGATTATAAAAACAAAGGCTGTGATCTCCAAAACTGCCAAATGGTAGTAGGTAATTACCACTGGATTTCAACTATGATTTGTTAAGCTGAGGAACAGAGAAACTCTGGTTGATTTTCCACTGTCGTGTCAGAAAGCTCACCTAATAGTGCGGGGATGTTGTTCTGTGATTGGTTGAGGACAAAGTTGAACTGCGCATCAGCCTGGTCCATCTTGTCACCCTCCAGCAGGCAGAAGCAGGCCCTCCCAAGCAGGTGATTCTGACAAAGCAAAGGACAAAATTTATCGCATTACGCATTGTCGCATTAATGGATAAACTTTTAAGCCTCAAGTGAAGGCCAGTTTTTGCACCCTCAAAGGAGTGGCATCGACAAATATCAGCAGATGAGCGACAAGAGCGGTGAATTACAACAGCAAATCCGTTGTAGCAGCAGTAAACTGTAATGTTTTCATGGTTTTTCCAAAGCCAACAAGGGATAAATTCTCTCACAATTGGCTGAGACTATGTAGATCTTGCAGAGCTTAAGAGTAGTGACACATGGATGGTCAAACCTCTGAGAGTCCACATTTCTGAGTTCAAAAATTCCGAAAAATCGTGACAAATCACGTGCCTATTTTGGCAAGGAATAAGCAACTGCCACACTGAACCGAGGCTGGCAAGAATATGGCGCACCTTTGCATGCACATGTTTACGTTACAGACCTACTGTGAACATGTCTGTTTTTTTTCCGACAGAGTTAATGAAACCTATGTAAAATTTCTTGTTCTTCTTGAATTGTAAGTACAATTTTTAGCAGGATTTTTCTTGGTAAGTTTCCTTGACTGTTCCTCTTTCTTTTGCTGCAGATATTCCTGACTCCAAAATGCCTCTAAAACCTGTTTTCAGAGAGGGGCAAACTTGCGTGGACCTGGTTTGTCCACACAAGGTTCGCGCAGCCTGCATTGTGTGGACCTGCTTTGTTCTCAGGCCCACACAGAGACTGGCATGCGTGGCACACACTGGCGTATCTGACTCCAAATTGACGAATCCAACCACCACGGCCGGCAGTGGGCCCTCACCTGGTCGTACATGATGATTTTGTCGGCCATGGTGTAGAGCAGGGTGGCCTGGGTGAACAGGTCCTTCTTGGCGTCCTTGTTCTTCTCCTTGCGGGCCCGCTGGACGTAGTAGGCGGCCAGCGTGTCCAGCGCCGTCATTTGGTCCTTCTCGTTGCCCAGGTAGTCCAGGTTGGCGTCCGACTGCCAGGAGGCGAAGATCTTGATGAAGTCCTCCACCTGGTTTTGCTTGTAGTACTCCAGCTGAGAATGGAAGGAGACCACGAGAAACATCAACTTGGGTCAACATTTGCTGACTAATGAACTTCTTACAACAGGTGCATTTAAATGGGCCAGCTGGCGGGAAGAATTTCATAAATGGACACCGCTTATTTTTCCCTGCTCTGACATATCACAAAGCAACAGCGTAACCTGAAAAGTCCAGACTGGCAGGGGAAATTTCAGAAGCATTAACTCGGAAAACACTCAGAATTTTGCAGACCAGTCTAATAGGGTTTGTGCACAGGGTGTCAATTGATGCCTGTGTATGGAACTCCTTCCCTGCTGACCTAGACAAGCTGAATGGTTGAACGATGAGGGTATCTATGCTAGTAAAAGGAGTGTAACGTGACATGATCCCACAAACTGAGTCTTATGACCATTTTGCCGTTTGATTTCACACAGCTTTCGATTTTGAATTCTGATTTAGATTGGACATCAGGTGAAAAAAAACCAACACACTGAGGGCTCCTATTCATTTACATGGTGCAAAATTCTATCAAAGTATTTCACTCAACATGTTGCTCTCGTGACTTGTGACTCATTTTGTCATGCCAGGTCACAATCCTACAAAATCTTGCAAACCCCTCCTTTTGGGTCTGTAAGGATCCGGAAGGGTTCTGTAGGGTTCAGGTGGGTTTGCCCGTCTCACCCCAAGGGCCAGCCAGGTGTGCAGCGGGGCATTTTCCTGCTTCAGGATGCTCAGTACCTCCTCCCCTTCCGGCAGTTGGTCCAGATCCAACTCAATCACCTGAAAGGAAAAAACAAGAAGGAAAAGTTAGGGCTCGAAATTGCCACTGAAGTGCTCGCGCAACGCAAGTGAATTCTAACCAAATGCAAGTAATCCTTAACTCAAGCTTGAGCACGCTGGGAAGGCATCAAAATTATTAGCTACATTAAACATTTCAAAATGACAACCAGTATGATAGGAATAAAACTAAAAGAAGTTTAACACAAGTGTTTTACTCTAGCTTTTCTATTTGTCTTTGGTGTTCCAGCCATTGGCAGATTGGAATGCCACAAAATCCACATGGTGATATTGTACATAGTACGGTGCAGAATGCTAGGGATATTGTTGCATGTTTGCATGTGAGCGATGTTTTAACCTTGCTCTTTCCTCGCTAATTATATGAACGTCAGTCATTGGATGTACCTGAAACTATTGGGTGTGAGCATGCTTAAAAGAGGAATAGGCCTACTAACGCTCCACTACTAGCTACAATCCCCCCGTCTCTAATCCTCTCCGATTTCAATATGATGTTATATACACCTTAGGGTTAAAGTTAGCTCTACTGACTGGAGCGTTGTATTCCTCTTTTTCGATTTTGGACGGGATCGGTCATGCTAACGCTCTACGACATTACATATTGTAAAGCAGCATGGCGTTCATTGTTGTCCGAGGACTGGGCAAGGATGAAATCATCTGTTTCGCATTAAATCTTGATGATTTCAAATAGAACTCAAACCTTACAGTTTAAAGCACCTGCATAAACAACTGCATCATCTTTTGAATGATCAAATCAATCCAAAAAGATACAAACCTCGTCCGTGTCTCGGAGAGGGATCTCCACGAATCTCAAACCTGCGGCGGCCATTTTTGCAGGATGACAAATTATTATGGTCAACAGAGGGCGATGTACCAACTAGAATTAGGCGGGGGCCGGGGGGGGCCAAGTGTGAAATGAAGATTAAAAAAGTTTGTAAAAATGCATTAGGATAAAGTAAACAAAACTGATAAATTCAATGGCCATGCACCTCCCTATTTTGGAGGAAAATAAGACCCTCTCACCCCCAAAGAGATGCTTTGAGGGATGACCACCTTGAGTGTGATTGGGTAACGAGTGGGCTGAGGCAGTAAATGCTGCTAAGCAAGTGGACATACTGAGCTACTTCTCCAAAGCGTTTGAGACTGTCCTCCATAACTGAGCGTCTGAAAGCTAAGCTTCATATGTATGGAAATATGTGGAAAGCTACTGAAGTGGATTGCCAAAATTTCTTCAGATGCGTAAACAGAGTGGTGTTCAATGGATCTAGTTCTGACCGGGATTCTGTGGACTCCGGTGTGCCTCAAGGCACAGTCCTCGGCCCTCTTTTATTTTTGCTTTACATCAACGACATCACAGACAATCTTCAGTCAGAAATTCGTCTTTTTGCTGACGATTGTATTTTAAATATAAATATCCACCACCGGGCTGACTGCATCACATTTCAGGAAGATATTGATAAACTCCATAAATGGGCTTCTATATGGCAAATCAATTAAATGTCAATCAGCTCTTTTGGGGATCAGGTTTGAGTTTATCAGATCCAGGGATAGGAACTTAAATCAACTTTATGTCACTCCGTCTGCTCCCGAGGCTTTACATGGATTCAGTGAATCTGTTGCTACGTACTACAGAAAAAGGAGAAGAAGCAGAGTACAAAAGATGGCGAGATTGAATTCCATCTGACCAAAGTAAACATTATGCATTTAATCACAAAAATGCCGCTTGGCCCTTCCGTCACCTCATCCTTGACCCATGTCAAAACATACAACACTCTTTAAGTATAACTATATCCTTGCACATAATATAGCGACATCAATTTCATGACACCGAGGAGATCGGCCACTATAATTATTTTCTTTCAAAGTTATCCATTCTTTTGGGAAGCCAACAAATTTCGACTCGAAGAAGGAGCTGTCTAAGCATTAGGGACAACAGTTGGTTATCTTCAGGACTAGTCATGACGTCAGGGGATCTGCGTATTGATCTGAGATGTTCTGGATCAATCGATGATTCTCGGTCCAACAATACATCCATATTGATTTGGGAGCCCACAGCCGTAGCGCAACGCCCCATCACACGTACATGTAACTAATAAATACTTCAGTATTGTCCCATCCTCTGCTGTCTTATATTTAGAATCATGGCCACATCCTCACACGTCGAAAGATAGATCTGGACAGACGCATTACACAAGTTTCCTTTTTTCAAGAAATGGCGTCTACACGAACCAGGGCATTTCCTTCAAGAACCTAAAGGTGTTCTCAGCAACTGGTGAGTAACCATAATTATTGATAACGTCAATATGTCAGCTATGTTAGGTGTTCTGCTAATTCCGTCCCCTCATGAAGACTAGCACAACTGCAACTGGTCAAGGAAAATAATCATAACTTCACTTCAGTAACATAGCCAGGTACTCTTGGTACAATGTAGGCTCGTTGATGATGTACCGTATACCACCCTTCGAAAACAGAGGAGGAAACAGGTTGGATATAGCCTGCAAGTGCATGATATCTTTTGCAGTAGCAGTGCGAAGTTATTGGTGGAATGTATTCGAGTACGAGCAGTAAATTCATTTTATTTTTCAAACTAGAAGTTAGTTTTTAAAGATGGCTTTGAGAAGTTCTTGACACGTTAACACCTTCCATTCGATTTGTAAGACTTAACGCTGCAAATTTCAGGCGTTATAAAGGGCTGGAGTAAAACCAACAAGACGAAAATCTAGTGAACGAAAATAAATATTTTTGTCATGTACAAGTTTTTTCTAAGCTGTCATGTTATTTTCTGCAACTCAAAAAAGTTCGGAGGGACAAACAGAGGATGTGACATTGCAGAGCATGGCATGACCGGGATATAAACATAAATATTCTCGTCACGACGCATCTCCAGCACACCACAACAGCCACCGTGAGGAGACTCATTGATAAAGCTCTCCCAAGTCGGCCCTCGAGGGATGCAGTCTGCTAACACCATAAAATCACTTTTGTCTTCACAATCAGAAATAAAACTAGACCTGTCATTTGAAAGTTATCTTCAGGAACCTTAACCCAATTTGAAACTCGTGTTTTTCTCTTACTGTTTACAGGACTTCTGAAACTGTCACAGGGGGGCCCGAGCAATTCGTGCCAGCGATGGGGAAGGTAGACTATAATAAAGCTGTATCTTTCACCTACAATCCTAACGCCAGAAGTGCGCCTGACGAGGAAGATGAGGACCTTGTCAAGGAAAGACAGCGCCGGGAGGAGTCGCTACGGAGAGCCAAGGCTATCGAGGAGAGAAAAAGAGCTGCCAGGGGGCGAGGCAGGGGAAGAGGACGAGGTGGTCGAGGGGGCGGTCAGAGGAGCCGCCCGCCTCTTGGGAAGGGGCAGCGGACGCGGCCTCTGGAGAGCATCGAGGAGGCGCGCGAGACACCAGCAGTCAGCGAGAGGACGAGCTCGGCCGCCACCAGCCTGGCACCTTCGGCCCGAGGAAGGGGCCGTGGTACGGGCAGGGGACGAGGCAGGATCGAGCGAGCGCCGACTGTCCAGTCCACTCGGCCGATCACGTCGCAGTCGAACCGGCCTGTGACTTCGCAGTCCACGCAGCGTCCAGGAACAACCAAGTCCGTCCGGCCGCCAACGGCCAAGCAAGAGGAGAGACTCCCGACCGCAAAACCAGCAGAGCCCCCGAAAGAGGAAGAGAAGCCGAGGGAAAAGGAACCTGAAAGTGACCAAAAGGAGCAGCATAAGGAAGAGCAGAAACAAGAACTGCCAGAGCAGGCTGAGCCGAAGAAGCAAATGAAGTTTTCAACTGCGGTGAAAGTCCGCATGTTCATGCGATCCTTCTTTAAGAAAAGACGGGAACCAGAACCTCAACAAGAACCGGAACAAGGAAATGAAGAAGAAGAAGAAGAGGATAAAAGCAAAGAGGAAGAACAGCAAGATGAGGAAAACCCGGCCCAAGAGGAAGAAGAAAAGCCCACCGTGGCGGCTAAGGACGAGGAAGAAAAGGAAGAAGAGAAAGAAGCAGAGCCAGAAGATGAGGAAAAGAAGGACGATGAAAATGAGGACGCTGCAAAGGAGAAGACCCCTTCACCGGAACCGGAACAGAAAGTGAAATCTCCTACGCCGACGCCGACCGAGCCTGAACCCGAACCGGAGCCGGAGCCCCAACCAGAACCTAAGCCCGAACCTGAGCCTGAGACCGAACCGGAGCCCGAACCAGAGCCCGAACCAGAGCCTGAACCGAAGGCCGCGTCTCCTGTCCAGAGCAAAGACGAGGAAGAAGATGGAGCGGCGGCGGCAACGGCAAGACCGCAGAGTGTCAAAGAAGAACCAAAGGAAGAACAGAAAGAACCGACGCCAGAACCGCCGAAGGAGGAGGAGATGACCGAGGAAGAAAAGGAGAAGGCTCGCAAAGTACTGGGGACTTTGTTCGGCCGGCGCGCTCAAGAGCCAGCTGTTCCCCCCGCCTCTGAGTCCATCCGAGCATCTCGCGTCAGTCTCCGGAGCAACTCGACCGCGGATCCCGACGAAGAGAGCAAGGAGGACAAACCCAAGCGTGGCTTCTTCGGGAAGCTCTTCGGAAGGAAGAAAGCGGAAGACGACGGCACGGCCATGCGGGCCTCCCGGGTTAGTCTGCGAAGCAACAACAGTCCGAGGGAGGCCGGCGATAGCAGCGGCATGAACAAGAGCGTGGTCTCCGTGAAACAGGCCACGGAGACCGGAGCTTCCCCGCCGGAGAAGAGGGAGGTCGTGACGCCTCCCAAGGCGAAGAGTGTCACGCCCTCACCCCCGGAGGAACCCCCGAAGAAGGAACCGCAGCAGGCCGCGAGATCAGACCAAGAAACCAACTCAAACAGGCCGGTCATTATCATCAATGCAAACGCCAATGACGGGTCACTACAGCGGTCGATCATTCAGGCTCTCACCGGTAAACCTCCACCAGAAACCGAAGACCAAAAGCAGCAGCCGCAACAGCAACAACAGCAGGCTCCTACCGTTCCTCCAAACCTGGCATACACTGGTCTCTCCCCGCAGATGATACCGTATCCCACGTTCCAGCCACCGCCGTTCTACGGTCCGCCCAACCCGTATTTCTATCCACAAATGCCGCCAGCGTACGGCGGTTACCCACCCTACAACATGATGTCCATGCCGCCAGTGAATAACCCGGTGTTTCCATATTCGCAGAATGCAGGCTTTCAACAGCAGCCCACGGTACCGGTTCAACCTCAGCCACCCATTCAGCAGCCAATAATCCAACCAACCAATCAGAGCACAAATTACGCTAACGTCCAGCCAATGACAAGCCAGAACGTCCAACGTCAAGCAGTTCAACCGCAACAACCCGCCGGCCAATCGTTGGGCATAGTTGAAAAACTCGACGAAGCTCTCAGGGAGGAGAGACGACGCCCGAAAGCAGCCGAAGGTGAATTTGAAGACTCGGATTCAGACGACAACTTCTACAACACAGAGCAAAGGAAAATAAGGAGGAGAAAACGACACGAAAAAGAGAAAAAGAGACTTGAGAGGGAGAGACAATTACTGGAGGAAGAGGAAAGGCAGAGAGAAGAAGAAGCAAAACGGAAAGCCAAACCGAAAACGCCGGTTCCTCAAGTCGATCTGACCGGTTTGTTGTCGTTGATAGAGACCGGTGAAGAACCACCGGAGCCAGTCGAAAACGACCCAGCCGGCGGCAAGTCGCGACCGGAGAGCAGAACTAGTGCAGGAGGTGATGATCGACAAACAGACAACGAAGGAAACGGTGACGATGACGAACTGAGCCGTTTGCTGGCTCAGCTCGGGAGCGAACCCGGTAACTCAACCGAAGACAGCCCTCGAAAGGAAAAGAGCGCCAAAACGCGAAAGAAATCAGCCTCAAAACCAGAGCCGGATATGGACCGCGAAAGCACCCTCCTGGCCATGCTGAGAGACGAACAAAAGCAGCAGAAGAACAGATCAGCCGGTAAGGACCGTCGGAGATCCATCGCTGGCTTCGCCAGTCCCACTGGACAGGACCTTGAAAAACGGAATTCTGTGCCGAACCTGGGCCTTCAGCCTATGGCGAAGCCAGGCGAGCAAGTCACGCTGCCGGCTCTAGGACAACCAGTAGACGCGAACGGTAATCCCTTGCCGACCAATGCGGGCAAGATGTCGGCAGAGAGGTTGCTTCACGAGGCTCAGAAAGCGCTGATGTCGGTCCAGCAATCACTGCACTGAATGAATTGAAGACAATGATAAATTTATACATGTAACGTACGGGGGCGCTTGCGTAAACAATACATATCGCCGCGATATGATTGGTCAGCCGACAACCTGGCGTGAACATCATAATTTGGACATGCCAAACAGCAAAAGACGTAAGAGGTCAGCATACAACAAGACTCTGATTTCGTGGTGTGCGTCGATAAGGAAGGCATTCACATGAAACTTATTAATATTATGCCAATGCACCTTTCGCTGGAAAAAATCATTGGGATCTGCTGCAATGCAATAAATCAAGATCAAGTTCTTTTGAAAAATCCCCGTTATATTGGCAAACCACAACTGGCCGCCGGTCAAAAAGAAAAAGAATTCCCAAAGTGTTAAAATTTCCCAACGATACAAACACGAATTTATTTCTCTAACTACGAAATAAAAAAGGCGCCCCCTCTTTAACACCAACGGGGGCAAAAGTGCATTTTGAGGTGGTTACTGGCAGCCAACGGTGAGTTTTCAGCAAATTTAAGCCACCTGTACGAAATACTTACTTGGTTAGTTTCCTCCTGAAACGTCCCCTAGGGATCTTGAATAGGAGGTCACGGGGAGGGTCGGCGTCTAATTCTTAGTCGGTATGCAGTTGTAATGGTTTTGTTTGAAGGTCTTGTGCGTCTCAGAATCAATAACATGTTGGGGCAGATCATTCCATAATTTGATGGTCCTCGGAAAAAAAGATTTCTTGTATACAGATGAGAAGCTAACTTCTTTGACAGGAAACGAAAGGTCTGAAGAAGCTCTCCAAATTAACAGCGGACACTTTCTCTTCAGTACACTCGTTTTTGAATCCAAGCCTCGGACAGACAGAAACGAAGAGAGACACACACATTGATCTCCACAAAATGACGTGTGCATGTATTTGGATTTCAGTCAACCAAAAAGGGATCATTATGAAAGAACTTAACTTACGTTTTGCGCACTATTAATGTACAAACAAAAATAAGAATTAAATTATAGAAAACATTGCTTTGCAAAAAAACCCAATATTTCCTTCTCGTCCTGTATGACTGATATAAATACCATTCTTCTTAAATAAAGTACATCTCGATTCATATTGCGACAAATTAATAATTCGACAATTACATGCGATAAATTTTCACATATTTACGAGAGTGCATGCTTTCAAAGGCAACAAACGTGGACGTCTATTTCATAACCTCAACTGTATTTCGTAAAGTCACTGGCCTTTCAGAACAAATGATACAATTACCTATACAAGACTCATCGGCCAACCCCTTATTTAGGCTCCTTACATTTCAATTTTTAAGGGACTTATCCATTTTGATTTCAGATATAACAACTACGTGCTTGCTTGAAGAATACAAACTAGGCTTACAAACCTTTCCACAAAATTGCTTAACTATGCACTTTATTGGCTCAAGCAAGTGTGCTTTCCTTTGTGTAAAAACTGAGTAACATTGATTTAAATACATTTCATGAAGAACCTGCAACGTACCTCGTACATTTAATGTGAATACACTCTTGTGAAATGTCTCGCTGAAAACTCTTATATAATACTCCCAAATAATAATTCAAATTGAGCATTTCTTTGTCAGGTTGCCCTCCCCTGAGAAACAATAAGTTAAAAAAGGTTTACAACCACGTTTCCTTGGGTGACTGACTTACTGAAAAGAATGCTTTTGCTCATCGGCAATGAATATGGCTCTCTCACATCCACTGGAGTTAAATATCAATTTAAAAAGGAAAAGAAGAAAACAAACAGAAAAAACCCTATGGATTTCAAGTGCTGGCTTCACAGGCGCTTGACTGAAGTAGAAAGTATATTGTGGTTTTTAAACTCCAAAGCCACTCTGATCTCGACCCTAAGCCCTCAAAAAAAAAAAAAACCACTGATTTCCAACACGTGAAAAATTTTCAGGAAGGTTTCTAGCCTGGGAGTCTGAGGATGCAGTGGACTCGGTCAAGTTCAACAATGAAGCCTACTTTCCTTCAAATCCCCACCCCCCAAAAAATAATAATCAGGCTATCGCAGGAGGACTTCAATTCCTCTAAATGAAGATGAATTTCATTTAAAGAACAGTTCGAAAAAAGTACTTGCTTATTTTCAAACCAGTTGAAATGCATGCCATGTCAGCTACAACAGTATTTATAGTAACCACAAGTATACGCTGAGCTCACCCTTTTGGTAAGAGAATCTAATGTTCTAGTCGCACTGTGACTTTTTATTTTTGTCTTGTTTTTTTAAAATTTTTGTTTAGTCTATTTTTTAGTTTCGAATTTTGTTTGGTGAAGACATTACCACAGCGTTCAGAGAGGGGACTACAAGGTGTACAGGGACAATGCACACTGTGAGGTACAGGTGACATTACTGCGAGGGAAGTTGTGGTAATTCTGGCCACTACCATGGCAACACTGTCATCGTCACCGAGGCTCAGCCCGGTATGCATCCGTTGTAGTCACTGTCGATGGCAAAGAAGTACATGGAGAGGAGCATGAAGTAGACGATGCACAGCATGGCTCCTGATGGCCAAAACAAGTAAACAGAAAAGACATTGGTTTGTGTTTGAAGTGTATTTGAAATAGTCAATGGCAATCGTCACGTCTTAAAAACGTCCTGAAACTTTGGTCCTGAGTGTTTTTACTCCGTGGGCAAACCAAGGAAACAGTAGCACATTAGAGGGACCACTGAAATGGGTTTCACTGTTCAAGAACACGTTCTTAAAGGGCAGCAGCAATGAATTTTTTTCTAGACACACTTTATCTGCCAACTTTATCATCTTCTTCAGTGTATGAAAGCTATGTGACATTCCTTTGATTATTCACACTCGTCCACATTTTCCAGAATAACTGAGGGCACTGTTGCTGTGATATCATTTGGGGAAGACATGGTTCAGGGCATGTCTTTCTCCTTGAGTGTTAATCTTGAACTTACTAAATGAAAACATTTCTCAGAATGGGCTGCTCACTGACTTATTGCTATGCACTCGCACATCAATGAATCACCACAAAAGAACAAAATTCAGGCCAATAAAAGATTAAATATCTAGTAGTCTCTGTGCACAAACCAATGTAGCATATGGTTCTCTTCCTGTGATGTCATCAGTTTTGCTCATGAATATACAAATCTAATTAGCATAAAACAAAAAGGACAGCAGAATCCCCTACAAGATAGGGAAACAAAAACTGAACGAGGTTAATTGAGACACGAAAGTGTCTTTGAAGCTTTGCATAGTAAAATTGCACTGCGATGACCCTCCTTTAAAGCTGTCAGTATGTTTCGAAACACTTCATCCCTGGATTCTGCAGAGTGTGGAGATGTTCAAAAAGTTCAGCCAAATGCCATTGCAAATCTTTCGCCTGGTGAACATGTGTTGATTGCCCAAAAGAAGAATCCTGCTTGATAATGCGCTAGCCAACCAGCGCAACTGCCAACAGGGAGCTCTGCTTGCTTTTAACAGCAGAGTATTTTGGGTTGCTGTCTCCTTCACAATGAGGCTACTGGGACAGTCTTATATTCTGCAGTGCACAATCAAACAAGAATGGTCTGTTCAAGTCAACCGTCAGCGACGAGCTCTCGGCTTGCGTAGCTTGAACACTGATAGCAGAGTTTTCACAGTTACCTTGGAAATAGTTGCTCTTGCCATCGATGAAGATGTAGTTCATGATGATGGCGCTGATGATGACTGACCACATGTGGACGTCGGAGAAGATCATGTAGAAGTGCAACGGCTGTTGGGGGGATTTGATTGAGACTGTATTCAGACAACACTAATCTTCCATGCTTGTGTGACTCATAAGAGTTCTTGCCTTTCTGTGGCATCAGGGTACACCATCCACATAAGACGCTCCAGAATTGAGAAATGCACACGACGAAATATCCAAATTGCTAACTCAGATATATATTGGCACCGTGTAAGATTATAGGCAACTTGTCGTTGATCATGTGACCATAGGTGCGATAGCTAAAAATGTGCTTCTCGCTATTTCTGAGAATGACACTTTGGTTAGGAATTGGTCAATGGGCCTCAAAATTGGCGAGCAAATTGCTCAATGCCTGGGATTTATCACCAGGAAAAGAAAGAAAGCCAAAACCAAAATTAAAATTTGGGGATTACAACAAATCCATAATTTAGTCCTGTTTACAAAGCAAAACGAACTCATGACGTTAACCAATATACTACTTGATCAAGTGTTGATATCAAGAAGTCCTGACTTGATTTCTGTACACACTGTTGTCCTACAGCTGGCCATTCCATTATTTACTCACACTGGCAAACCCTTTCATCGGAAACGTCCAGGACAGAGAACAGTGCAAAACAGTTGTGTGCAAATTCAGTTAAAAATTGATAATGCATCCTGTAATTCATTCTAAGATCAGACTGAGGCCGCATCTGAATAAGCCGTCTATGGCTAGGTCTAGGTCTGCGCCCATTGAAAATATGCAGGGACGTGCTGACAACAGACTTAGCCGTAGCTCCGTAAGTCCATTTTGGACATGGCCTGATCTTCCGAGTATGCCATCAGTCACACACATTCAATCTATGAATGCTGCCCTCTACTGTGCGCATGCACAGAGCACTATGGGGTTGACTACGCTGGTGTACATGTACACGGGGGGGGGGATACTTACGTAAATAGCATCAGCCAGTATGAGGATGGGCACTTGAAGGAGGGTGACCTGCACGGCGACTGAACTGCCAATATCAATGCTGTATGGCAAAAAAAAAAGTGACCTCAGATTTGGATTTGAATAAGCAATCATTCGAAGTCGGGAAGCTTTTGAAAGTGAGATCCGATCCTGGAAAACCAGGGACAATAAAGCCAGAGCGATAGACAGAATTTTGTGATGCCCCACTTTGAGTCACTTTAGGCTTATGCTCCCTGCAAAGTCATTCAGTTTGACTTAACAAGTACGGTGCAAAAATTATGATGTTGTGAAAATTCTGTCGACAAAGAGCTCAGAGCGTAGGGGGGACATGCAATTCTGTCTCTGCAAGAACGCTACCTATACAGGCTACTACTCTGACCTGAGGTTGATGTTGTTCTTCAGAGCAAACTGTACGCCATTAACCATCTCAGGAATGTCAGGGACGATGGCGAGCAGCGTAACGCCGAAGAACATCTGGAAACAAGAAAAGTCATGTTTGAAAATAAGTGCTATGACGTGGAGCCCGGAACCCTGATTTTGATGAATATGTGCATTTAAAAAGCCGCTATCATTCTCATCCATACATCTGGTACAGAGCTGATACTCAGCACTGGCTCGATGTTCTGAACGACGACTTCGGCGCACAGCGACATCATGATGACGGCACACAGCAGGATGACGGTGCTCTTGATGCGACCCCAGTGCATCATGGTGTGCTCCTGTGACCCCGCTGCAGGTGACAACGAGAAAGAGGAACTCCGATTACAAAAGAGGGAAAGGAACTTTACAGGGTTTTTGGCAAAAGTATGTTAATTTTTGCCTTTTATGAATATTCATGACTTTTGATCAAGCAGAAATCAACAAACAGCATTTGCAAGGTTTTAACGGACCACGTCCCTGTATGTTAATCAACACTTTCCTCGTGTCTGGTTGCTGAAAACCTTGCGTTGAAAAGGTGCACATATTTTGGGAGAGAGAAATCTGTCCAACTTGACAAAACTAGTAATGCAATCTGCCAAAGCACTTTCTTACCAACTCACAGGGTGCAGCACAAAAAATAATTTATGGCTTTAAGAGATATGGGAAGGGGGAGTGAGAGATCTTCCCACATCCCACCCGACCCAGTCTGGTCACAGGGATAACCCTGCAGTTTATGTACAGGTCTATCATCGGGTCTGTCACTCGGAGGAATGTCTCATTAATCACCTGGTAACTGCAGCTGCTCTTCCAGGACATGGGAGTGGGTCTTGAGGGTGAAGATCAACCCCACAATGTAGGCCAGCAGCTGCAGGGCGGCGCAGATGTACACGATGGGGCGGACTTTATCCGCGTAGAAGGAGGAGTCTGGGTCAAACTGAAGGTAAAGATGGGGGAAAAATATTTTGTGATTTGCAAAGAATTGTGAGAATTTAGGAGATGCAAAGTGCCTGGTAAAAATGCCAAGGCATAATAGAGGACCCATAAAAAATAGTACAGGACCCATCAACAGTAATAGAGAACCAATCAAAAGTATAATAGAGGACTCATCAA